ACACAAATGCAAGCAAAAACACACAAAACAAAATAAACACTTTTTAAAATGTCAACTCATTTCAATGACTTTGGAGAAATCTTGAGGATCCCTATTCTCAGTGCCACTTAGAAAATTGTCCCGGTGTGTACCCTTACATTCAGCTGTCCAGGACTCAGGTCAGGGTAGAGAGGTTTGAGCAGGCTTGGGTGGTGCAGTTCATGCTAGTGCAAGACCTACATGTTGTTGGTTTTGTAGGCATGTGAAATCCAGGAGTTTTTCAGTCATGAAGATATGAAAGAACATCTGGAGAAGCAGGATGATATATGGCTGGAATAGAGACCCTGAAATTGGTCAATGTGTGAAGCTGTAAGACAAGGGTGGGGCAGATAAGCTAAAACTTCAGTAGGCTATATATGAGTTGAATGCTACTCAGGCAAACGTAATTGATTAGCAGAGGAACATTGTGCATTGTGGGAGAAAGCTGGAGGCAGCAATGAAAACAGATGTAGTTTAATGTGTCTTTGCGGTAGTAAATTTATAGCAGTAAGGGTCTTCTTGTTCCCATGGGGAGCTGAAGCTGTATTGAACCAACCTCTCTGTCTCCCTCACACATATTCTCTTGCTTCATTCCTTCTCTCAGTATGTTCAAAAGTGAAAGCATGCAGGCACGGACTGTTGTTCTGTGCGGGGAGAGTAAATATAAGAACTATATTGAAAGTGCAGTGAAAGGAACCAAAGTCATAAAGACTCTAGAGCTGCAGTGGGAAGGATACATGCAATTTTTTTTTCTTTTTGCTGTTTGCCTTTTAATCTAACCTTTTCAAACTTCAAACTGTCTTTTGTTAGGCAAAATGTGATAAAGAGAAATTTATGTCTGGTAGAAGAAAGACTGGGTGTGTATATTCAACTCTGATGTAAGCCTCTGGTGTAAGTATTTTAACTACTCTAAAATGTAAGCCGGGCAGTGGTGGTGCACACCTTTAATCCCAGCACTCGGGAGGCAGAGGCAGGAGGATCTCCGAGAGTTCGAGGCCAGCCTGGTCTACAGAGCGAGTTCCAGGACAGTCTCCAAAACAATACAGAGAAACCCTGTCTCAAAAAACAAACAAAAGTGTACAAGAAACATTTATCTAGGGAAAAGCACTTTGCTTAATTTTATTTCTTTCATTAGAGTAAAATTGTATATAAATTTTTAATAATAAATTTCATGTAAAATGATGTCCATTAACAAAAATGTTTACCAATTGTCATTTGTCTATCAGTGTCCATCAAGAGAGGCTGGGTTCATCTCACACTTGTACGTATTACTTCTAAGTTTACTGGTGTCATTTAAAAATAATTTTTTTGTGTTCAACTCTTAGCTTATAATTTTACAAGTCGCTTCTTTAATAGATTGAAAGTGTGTGTGTGTGTGTGTGTGTGTGTTATCCTTGGACAATTTCATACCTATATATACTGAATCCTGGGTTATGTTTATACGCCACCATACCCTCTTTCAATACACTCTCTCTCCCACTGAAAATTTACAAGTTTCAAGCTCATATATAGTCCCAAAAGCAGAAGTATGATAAAATATTACAAAATCTGGGCGGCAAGGGATCAAATGTGTTTAACAATGCTCATGAATTACTTTAATTAAATAAACCATAATAGATTCAAATGCATTTGTATAATTATAACTAACAAACCAAAGTATTGACTGGAGTTATCTCTGGGAAATGGAATTTCAATTTTTCCTTTTACACTTTAAATTTCCTAAATATGCACGTACAATTTATATAATCAGAAAGAGTGCACACTATTAAGATGTTGTTAGATTTAGTTCTGCACAGACAGAACTCGGCACCAGGTAAACACCTTTGTTGGAGTCCGCAGCTGCTACCCTGACCTGGAACTCAGTATTCAGAAGATGCCTATAAAGCAGGGCTGGAATGCAACTGGGCACCGATAAATGATCCCACACTTTTGCACCTGCAGTTTTATGAGTCTATATTAGAAACGCTACGTTAATGTAAGTAAAACTATTGTTTTGAAATTTAACAAGCATCATGCAATATCTGGAGGGTGAGTCAGCATATTTGAAAGCTGCTGGCTGGCTTAAATACTAAACTATTTATACACAGAGCAATGTCAACAACTTGGAGATTCCAAAGACTTATTAGCCCTTATTAGTATTCAAAACATGTTCAGGACCAATTATGACTACAATATCTGTCCTAGATTAAAAAGCAAAATGAAATATGCAGATAAAAATAAAAACAATTAGGTAAGTAAAAGGATAAAAAATGGCTATTAAACTCATCTTAAGATGTCAAAGAAGAGTATGTTAATGTGTAATTTCTTTTGATTTCTCAGCATTTTGTAGAGGACTTTTATGCTTATGCTTGTGAGAGATGCTTTTCTAGTTTTGGAATCAGAGTGATAACGGCCTTGCAAAATGATTTGTTTCATTTTTCCGAAGAAAATTGTGTTATTTCTACCTTAGGAGTTTTCCAGCAAAATTATGACTCCAGAGTTATACTGTTGGGAGGTTTCAAGCTATGAATTCAGTTTCTTTGATAGACACGAGACTATTAAGGCTACTTATTTATTTATAAGATGCCATAGTAGTTTATGCATATAAAGAATTTTATCTACTTTATCTGATTCCTCAAAAATCAGGTTGTATGCAATATGAACCCAGGGCCTCATCACACACATTTAGCAAACACTCTACCACTGAGCTACATCCCCAGCTCAATGACTCCTAGGGCTTCAGTGACATATTCTATATTTCTATACTGCACCATGAGCTGCTGAGGCTCTGTTCCTTGTAGTAGCCTCCTTTCTTCTTGTTTTTGAGCTGTGATCATCTCTTTTGATCCACCATTAAGTTCGCTGGCTCCTTCCTGCCATCTTTGTTCTATTTAGCAAATCTACCAATTCCCTCTATTTTTTTAACCACTAAATATAATTATAGGCTGTGGGTGTGGCTCAGTTGTTAGAGTACTTACCTGGCATACAGGTTTAATACCCAGCATCACATAAACCAGGTGTGGTGTCACACACCTGTAATCCTAGCATGGAGGTGGAGGCAGGAGGATCAGAAGTTCAAGGCTATTTTCACCCACCAAAGTATTCAATCTACAGACAAATCAGATTAGATCGACAGATCTCAGTTTGGACAGACTCAAGGTGGACCAAAGGCCTTAATTTAAAACAGGGAATGGTGAAACTGCTTGGGGGAAGCATAGAGATAACACTCAAATGCAGGTATAGACAACACTTTCTGGATAGAATTCTAACATCGGAGAGAGCAGCATCAAGAATTAACATGCAGGATTATGTGAAATTAAAAAATTCTGCAAAGCAAATGTTTCAATAGGGTGAAGACACGGGCTACACAATGGAACTTGGTCAGTTACACTTCAGACAAGGAGCTAATTAATATTCAGTATACAAAGAACTCTCACACACACACTCACACAGCTAAACAATAAATGTGCTAATGAATTGAACAGTCCTCAAAAGAAATACAATGACCAAAAAGTATTCTTAAGAGTTTAATGTCTCTGGCTGGCAGAAAAATGGAAATTGAAACTGATTACATCTCACCCGAGTCAAAACGGCTACCAAGAAAACAGATGCCAAGCTGGGTAGCTGGCTGTAGTGGAACATACCTGGAGTTCCAGGACAACCAGGGATATACAAACTGTTGGGGGGGGGCAGCAGAAGATGTGGGTAAAGAGGAATCCTTATTGTTTGTGGGAGTGTAAACTAGTACAGTCACTATGTCATTGTGAAATTCTCAAAAAAAAAAAAAAAACAAACCCTAAACTACAATAGAACTACCATATGACCCAGCTATACCATTTCTGGACATGTATGCAAAGGACTTTATATCCTACTAGATATGCACATTTGTGTTTATTACTGCTCTAATCACAACAGGAGTAAATGGAAATCAACCTCGATGTCTATCAGCGAAGAAAATGTAGTACCTGTAATCAAATTTTATTCAACCCAAACGAAGAAGTTGTTGCAGGAAAACGTATGAAGTGGGAAGTACTAGGTTCGGTAGCCAAGTTCAGAAAAACAAATACCAAATGTTCCCTCCTAAAGTAGATCTGCTTCTCACTTACACATGTATGTATGAGGGGGTGAGAATGGGCACATGTCATGAAACTAGACAGGAGTCTGTGATGCTGCTGTCAACTTGACAAGATCTGTAGTCACCTGGAGAAATTATTTTGATCCTAATTGAGATAGGAGGTCTTGCCACTGTTGATGGGACCTTTCTTCGGGCTGGAACCCTGGACCATATACAAAGGTAAAGGGCCACTGAGCTGACTCGCTTCCAAGTCTGATGACCTGAGTTTGGTCTCCAGGGAGCATACAGTGGAGAGAACCCACTCTCAAGTTGTTCACTGACCACCACACAGTGACACAGGGGTCCACATGCACACAAAAATAAAACACTTAATTTTAAAGGTTAGCTTAGAATACTGCCTCCTGCTTAACAGCGGATGCAATGTGACCAGCTCCCTCAGGCTCTCGCTGCTGTGACTTCCACATGGTGAACTATAGCCTCAACACAGAGCTAGAGTAAACCTTCTCTGCCCTAAGTTCCTTGTCGGAGCATTTTATCACAACAGGAAAAGAAACTAAGACAAGGCCCCCAGGAGGCAGAAAGGGTTTAAGGAAGGAGAGTGAAAAGGCGGACAGAACAGTAACATGCAGGTAGGACAGGACACGGACAGGAAAGTATCAGGGAAGCCTGGGAGGCAGATGTCAGTGGAGAGACACAGCAATGGCATGTATGGAAACGCCACACATGCCAATTAGAACATGAAAGTTTAAAGAGTAGTCACTCTGAGGTAGATACTATTTATTATTTCTCATTTTCCTCTCTTTGACAAGGGCTATCTTTTCTGAATTTTGGATTGGATTTTAGGTCAAAACTACAAAGATAAACAAATTATTCAGTAATAAAGCCAGCATTTTGGATGAAATTCAAAAATTAGTCATTGATACATAGATCAAGCATAAACAGTGTACTTTATTAACAGTAAAATTGTAACACAATAACTTAGTAGTGACAGATCCAATAATGTAACAAATTAAAGACAAAACTAATTAGCAGGCATTGCTTCAGCTCACACTAGTGATCTCCTTTAAACAGGAAGAACTACTGATCTAGTGGTTCTGGCCAGTCTGCACAGTACAGGGATACAGACTTGGTGCCTAAAACAAAACAACAACAACAAAACAAACTATGTGTAAAGCCCACCTTCAAATAACTGAATGAAATCTCTAGGATGGGGCTCAAGAAGACTGGTAAAGTGCTATCAGTGTTGAGAACTGCAGGTCTAAACTAACCAACAAAACTGTGCTCAAACCAAAAATCAATATACTGACCATATCCTTTCTTTCCTTTTATCTCTGAAAAGGGGAGGAGGGGCAGGCATCTACTTCTTACCATTCTTTATATAGCATCCATTGCCACTAGCATTTTAATAAACAGCAAATATTGAAAGTTAAAACAAACTGCCCAAATGGAAAGTTTCACTAATTTAAATTTATACTCTTTTAAAACAATATTAGCTTTAACAAACAATCTCATATTTTAATTTGCATAGATACTCAAGTCTATTTGTTCAACCAAGAGGAGCCAATAAAATATACTAGAAAGTATTTTTTTCTTAGCATCAGTTATATAAATGTATTCATTCCACATACCACAGATAAGCTTTCTGGTGCAGAGGAACAGTGGACAGAGCACGAGAAGAGCTGAGTGCTTCCTCTAAAACTGCCAACACCCCCTTTTCCAAGATAAGCACCTTCCAAGTTAGAGCATGAACAAAACTCTTTTCATTAAAAAATGCACCCACAAAGTATTTTGCCCCAGCTATATTATATCCTCAACAAGTCTCCATTAGGATATTCAGTAGTAATTACAAGTATTTAGCCTCACAATTCATCCTCATTTTTCAGGTTTGATAATGGTATCATGTCAAGTATGGAAAATAACATTTCCTTTAGTTCTCTCAAATTCAAAGAGTCCTGCTTCTTCAGCTCCTCCTGTCAGGGCTCCATGTCAATCTCAACTACTTCATTCTTGTTCCGAAGTGTTTCTGTCAGGCCGTCCACAGTTGCACTCAAGTCTTCAAGAGCCGATAGGTCAATAGGTGGCAGAGGGTTCCTCCAGTACTGGAATGTATTATACTGCCAAAACTCTTCATTGGGCTTTAAGGAAAGGAGAAAGATAAAAATGCATCACCAGCTTAGAAAACAACACCTCTCTCTCTCTCTCTGTCTCTGTCTCTGTCTCTGTCTCTGTCTCTCTGAAATAATCGCCTTCTTTCAGTTTGGCAGAATCACAGCACTAACTGAATGGAAGAGCTGTAAAGTTAAGGCCATCCTGGACTATCCTGTCTCAAAAACAAAAAGATAACTATGTATTTTGTTTGTTTACTTTGATTTACTTAGAGGTGGCACATACCACAATCGAGATCAGAGGACAACTTTCAGGGACCGTACTCCCTTCCACCATGTAAGTTCCAGGAACTGAACTCAAGTCCGCAGGCTTGGCAGCAAGTGCCTTACCTGTTAAAACATCTTGCCAGCCCAATAACTACTTTTTAAATTCCTAGTTTAAAAAATATATTCAAATATAGTTTACACACTCTTTCATTTTCAACAAACACAGTTTTGATTTTGAATAAAGCATTTCACATACCCAATCAAATCTGTGGTTTGTATTTGCTAATAATTTAATTTTAAAAGAATTTCCTCCAGGGGCTGGAGATATGGCTCAGCGGTTAAGAGCACTGACTGTTCTTCCAGAGGTCCTGAGTTCAATTCCCAGCAACCACATGGTGGCTCACAACCACCTTGAATGAGATCTGGTGCCCTCTGCTGGCATGCAGGCAGAAGACTACATACACAATAAATAAATATTTTTTTAAAAAGAATTTCCTCCAATAGCATCTTTTCAAAAATATATACTGCTTTATAATTTCTATTTATGTGTATGGGCATTTTGCCTGAACATATGTCTGTGTACTGTGGGCATGCAGTGCCTGAGGAAGCCAAAAGAAGGCATCAGATCCCTTGAGACTGGAGTTACAGAGTGTTGTGAGATACCACGTGGGTTTGGGGAATTGTATCCTGGTCCTCTGGAAAAAGGGCTAAGTTTCAATGAGAAATACGAGATTTAAAATACATATACACCTTTATGACCTACTTTTGTTTTTTTCCCCTGATGTTTAGTATTGAAACTAACATAGAGGCCAAAATATTTCATGACCTCCTATAAAGTTTAGGATATAAACCTGATAAAGAGAAGAACACAGGGGGCAGGAGAGATGAATCAGTGGTTAAGACTATTAGCTTGTCTTCCAGAGGTCCTGACTGAGTTCAATTCCCAACAACCACATGATGGCTCACAACCATCTGGAATGAGATCTGGTGCCCTCTTCTGGTCTGCAGGGATACATGCAGACAGAACACTGTATACATAAAAAATAAATAAATCTATAAAAAAAGAGAGAGAACACGGACTTGACAATTGGCATGACTGATAAATAATTCTACCAAGCAAAATGAGGGTTGATCCCTTAAACATCAAGCTGTTTACCCTAAATGATTACAAATTACTCTAAGTAGTGAAGTTAAAATTGGCACAACATCCTCAAAATACTCCATGCAAAGAGAGCAGTGTGGGAGACGCACACAGGCTGTCAGGGGACAGTTCTCAACATGAACACCCTTTTCAGATCAATGCCTTACTACATTTACTGTATTAAATTTACACTTGCTACAGCAACTCCATCCATGAGGAATGACAATCATACGAATTTACTGCTCCAATAACACAAAAATAAAAACAAGTGAAATTAACTGTAGTGAGATATTCACCCCCCTGCACCTGTGACCGGTTGAAAGGATTGAATAGGGGCTCAGAAAGCCCTCCTTCAGTTAGTGGACAGCATTTGGGTGGCAGGGTCTCTATGATTGGAGTGGGAGCCCGAGACCATCACCAGTTTCCCGTGTTATTTTTTTCCTGGTAAACTCCACTTCATCATACTGGTCTAGCATCCTGATTTCCACGCCCAATAATTCACTTTGATTTTATTTAATCCAATGTAACAAAAATATTGTTTCAACATATGTTCAGCATTTCAAAACAATGGCATAATACATTCTTTTCAAAACTAAGAATGCCCCTTACACTTCCAGTACTATTGCTGTGGAGTAGAGGCTACACAATACAGCAATGCTCAGGGGCTACGTGATAGTGTGGAAAGCAGTGTAAGCAGTCATGTTGCAGTCATCCTCTTGGGCTTTAAGGCAGATAGAATTAGTCTTTTGGGAATTTTTTAATATTGGGCTAAAGAAGTCAAAAGACGTAAGGCTGGCTCAGCAGATAACCAAATGCATGTGTCTTACACATGAAAACCTTTTAAAGGATGCATCACAAAAATTCCACTTTAATAATAAGCAAATGGGGTCAAAACAGTTACCTTTAGTTCTCTACTTATGAGTACACGGCAAAATATAACTCAGTGACCGAAAACGAACTGCCACCTGATGGGAGATGTCATTCTATAAATCTGTCTGTCTTACTGGTTGTTGAATAAAGCACTGTTGGTCAATAGGAAAGCAAGATAGGTGGGACTAGGAGTAGGGGAGGATTTGGGGAAAGAGAGGCACAGGCAGTCACAGGGTAAGACGCAGGAGAAGCAGTATGTGGACCCTTCCTCTAAGCGAAGACCACATGGGACTACTCAGATTAGTGATTATGGGTTAAATACTTAAGTTAGAGCTAGCCAGTAAGAAACAAAGCAAACAGCCAACAGCTTATAATTAATATAGCATCCTTGTGTGTTATTTGGGGGCTGAGATAACAGCAGGACCCAAGCAGCTAACTGCAGCAGGGCCCAAGTGACTGGCAGGAAGAGTATACGTTACAGCAACAGGTGTACCTCACTTTGAATAACTGAGGAAAAAATCTCCAATCTTACCTCATTAGAAACAAGAATTAGGATCTTTGTGAGAATTAAAAATTAGCATAGTAAATACTCACTATTGCTTGATATAACATATCCTCAAATGAATGTATCAGTAACTCTTTCCCTAATAAAAACATCCCTACTGTTACTGGATAATACGATGCAATATTGGCCAAGCAACTGATCTGCATAAAATTGTACTATTAAAGATTATCTTACATGTAACGCATGCACTCTTGGCTTTGCCGTAAGTATACAAGTACATTAAACTATCCCCTCTCTATATACACATAGAAAGTGTACACAGACGCGTACACATGGATGTGAGTGTGTATATGAAACAACACAGGACACATCCTGAAGCTTGACAACGCAAAGTAGATAATACTCGTGGAAAGAAGACATCTGTGGTAGCGTAGCGTTTCCTACATGAGGCTATGAAGTTAGGACAAGGATTGAAGCCCTGATCGGAGTAAACAGAAACCAGGCCGATTCTGATGTCAGTATGCTCTTCATTACATCCTTTTCTCCTGGACGGCAAGCTCTTAAAACAAAATCTTGTCTTTGGAGGCAAGAGAGATGGAGAATTTTTATCTTCTTATAGTTCTGCAGAAGAGAAGGAACTCAAGAGCAGACCTGACAGAACATTCCAGGGCTTTGCAATCTTCTCCTGGCTGCAGCTACACAGGGTAACACCTGCCAGATCTAGTCAATGTGTGAGGCAAGACCCAACTATGTCTAGCAGAGTTACAGCAGGTGACATGTCAGCTCATTAAAGGCTCCCTTGGCCAACTTGTCACTCTCTAACCCTCATCAGTCATGCACACATAGATAGACTGAGCCTACACTGCACACAGTACATTCTGGTAGCAAAGCAAATCTGCATATGGACAGCTTGCCAAAGGTGGTCTGGAGAGGAAGGTTTCACCCTAGGCAGCATAGTTGTGGAGGACTATGGTTCTGTCTTAAGGAAGCTGGTTTCAAACTTATTAGCAATCTACCGAGAGTCTAAATAGGGCCCACGTTAAATTATACATTCACAATTTGTAACCTCACCTAGAAACAATCACCACAGCACTGAAAATAACCTCTCCTCACACTTTTAACCCCAGCACTCAGGAGACAGAGACAGGCAGATCTCTGATTGGAGGTCAGCCTGGTCCAGGACAAGCCAGGGCCAAACAGAGAAACCCTGTCTGGAAAAACAAAACAAAAAGGAAAGAAAATCTCTCACAACCCTGGTGTGTTTGGGGGGGGGGGAGTGGCAATTGGGGGGTGCTGAGTTCCCAACTAAAAAATGTTATCAGATTTCTCACGAAAAACAATAGCAAAACAATCTCAATTATCTATTCATTTCTGGCACGACTGCTAACTTTGTAATAACATGCTTAAGACACTAGAGAAAGACACTGGGCAGATGCACCCAAAGGTGGCTGAGGTGAGGTGGATTTGCGGAGTTCAGAGAATTACATTTGCCAATCACTCCAACCTCCACCAATTTATACCAGAACTGCTTTAAAGAAGGCTAGGGGAAGTTCCTAAGTCAGGCCAAGCCTGTGTGGTACATATATAATATGGGTTATATACTTATTTGAAGTTTTCCAGTCACATTTTACAAAGTAAAATTAACATTTCATTCCAGCAGATACGTGACAAGTTACTTCTCATACAACACAGCACAGACCCTGAACCTTTTTTCCCCCTTTCGATTCTTCAGAGGGGGTTTCCCTGTGTAGCCCCTGACTATCCTGGAACTCAGAGATCTGACGGCCTCTGCCTCCCGAGTTTGAGGATTAAAGGCGTACACCACCACCTCCGGACAACTGAGTTTTTATCTTAACCAAATTTTAAGAGCCTACTCTTTTACACCAGGAACAACACATACATTTGGATAAGTTGTATTTCTAGTGTTTTCTTGATCACATGGCTAGCAGACAGCGTAGAGCAAAGTGATCCCCTACGATCCTTTGTCATGGGACTGAACATTATGAGTTAACGGGTCCTCTGAAGACCCGACGGCAGCCCTTCCCTTCTGCGAGACCAGCACCATGCTCAATTAACTGATGGATGCTGCTGGAGAACCGACTACAGGTTCTACAATACTCGCCGTTAAACCAGACGCCACTCTCACGTTTGCAGAGCTGACCTCTGGGCCACGGTCTTTACCATTAGGTCCAGCCCCTCGAGTGGGCCGGACTTCCGCAGCCTGGGACGCGGCTCCGGGCTTGAGCGGGGCGGACCTTACCTGGGCGTGCGTCCCGTCGGCTCCCCGCAGGCTGCCCGCGCTCCCCACCCCGTCGCCGCTCCCCGGGGCTTGGCCGACCCGGGGTTCCTCCTGCCCGCCGGGAGGTGGCTCTCCCGGCTCCAGGCCGCGGCCCTGCCGCTCCTGGCCGCCGTCCCCGCAGCCCCGTCGCTTGCGGGGCGCAGCCGCAGTCTCCGCCATGGTCCCCGCGTCCCCCTGGCGTTTGCGGGACCGAGCCGCCCCAGACGGCGGGACCCAGAGCGGCGGCTCCTCGGGGAAGCCGCTGAGCAAGAGCCGCTTCCAAGGCACGCGGAACGTGAGCGGCTCGGCCGCACGCCGCTTGGCCATGGGCCGGAGATGGGCGGCACGCGGGTGCCAGCGGGAGAGCGGAGAGCGGCGCGGAACTGCGGGCTAGGGCGCCCCGAGGGAGGCAGGGACGTTGGGGGAGTCCCAGCGAGGCGCCCGAGATTCGAACCTGCGCCGCGATGCGCGCGCAGTCGCGCCGGTCCGACGCGGCCGCTGGTTGGTGGAGGCTCGTGGCTTGCGTTCCCGAGTGCCCTTGCGGCCGGAAGTGTGCACGTCGAGGAGGCGGGGCGCGGAGGGGATGTGGCTGGTGGGAAGCGGGGCAGCCCCTCTGCCTCTATGAGCTGGCCGACCCCCGTGCACCTGCAGTGTTGTTCGCTTTCCCCGGTGTGCTCGCCTGTCCCTAAACTGTCCCGGAGGCAAGGACACGGGCGGGGACCGAGACCCGGCGGGCTCAGAAGTCCTGGCGGGAAGCGGGCTGGCTGGGGCCCTTTCATTTCTCATTGTGAATCTAGTGCGGCCGAGGTGATGGCTTAGCCCAAAGCTTACCCTGCGCTAACCCTGCCCGCCGGATTCCAAGACCTTCTTTCTAGCTGGTGGCATCTGGCGTAGAGAAGTGTAAACCCTGATGGTTTTGCTTCAACCTGTATTTTAGTCGTGCGGTTAAAGCAGTAACTAGGGACCGGGGCCATAACTCAGTACTTGCCTTCTATGTCCCAAGGCCGTACGTTTAATCCTTAATGCCGTAAAGGAGAGGAAACGGAAGAAAAGCCATAACCAAACAAAATCAAAGAGGAAAATAAGGCCATCAGTACTCCGAAGAAACATTGTTATAGAGGGGAAAAAAAAGCATGCAAGGAAGTTAATTTTGTTTTAGCTATAGGTACTGAGAATATTACTCTAAAAGAAGAAAATGTTCTTGGGTATGTTTATGTATGTGTACCAAATGCATGCTTAACCACCTGTACTCTAGAAGGTTGGAGGACAGCAAGTTTTAACAAGCACAGACAGTAGTGTACCGGCAAGTTTACCATAGCTCTTCTGTTTGATCTCTCCAGTTCCTGTTTGAAGTTGATAATTCTTCCACCTGGAACAAAGGAAAAGTTTGCCTTTTTCAAACTGGTGACACAGACCAGATAAGAAAGAACTTAGTCCTTCAGATTTGTTCTTGTAGACCCTGCTCGAAAACGATAGGATACAGCATGGGCAGTGGCCCGTGCCTTGCCTCCTAATTGTGAGACTTAGCTTATGTAGACAAGCACGCACATGGCTAAAATAGCCATAAAAGCGTTCGAGTTGTCTAACCCAGTTTCAGAAGCAGCACAGTGCCAGAAGGGCTAAAGAGCATCTTGTATGCCCCCTACTGGCACCACTTTCTCTTTTCTGTGCCCAAGTAGTCTTGTTTCAGACATTATCTATTACTTCTTTGTCACTTCCCCACTAGCCACTTGCCTATGTATATGTATTTGTAAAACGCTTTTGGTTTCACTGATATTTTAAGATTTACTTAGGTATAACTCACAGACAATAAACTGCTTCTATTTCAGGCATGACGTTTTGCCATCACATACGCATGACACACATGAAAGTGCACATATCCATCACTATAAAAATCTTTATCTAGTGCCTTTCTGTAATCTCTCCCTCATGACTCCCTTCATATCCCTTAGGTGTCAGATTTGCTTTCTATCACCTACTACTATGCATTTTCTCTATTTTATAGTAATGGAATAATGCAATGCACACTTTTGTTTGCCTTTTTCTCCTGGCATAAAAGTATTTTGAGATCCTCCCATGTTATGAGTTCTTTATTTTTATTGGCATTCCACTGCATGAGAATGTTTACGCCATTTGTTGATGGGCTAATTACTTTTCTATGAAAGTTGTTATGTGTAAAGCTGCTAAGAACATTGGTCAAAAAAAGACTTTGCATAGATAAAGACTAATTTTACAAAGACTTTCCCTCAGTTTAAAGTTTGTCGTTTTTTTTCTTCTGCATCAGACTATTGTTTATTTTATTTACATCCTCACCGGCAAACATTATGGTCTGACCTGGTCGATGTGGAATGGATCTCATGTGGCCTCAATTTGCATCTTACTCGGTGAAATTGAACACCTTTTTATTAATTTATATATGTATTTTAGTGCAGAAACACTTGTTATATTTAATGGTGTTCTTTGCTAAACAAATTATATACTTACATGTGGCTCAAATAAAAAGTCTTGCTTTTCCTTTTGGTGTTGGAGTCAATGGTGTGTGTGTGTGTGTGTGTGTGTGTGTGTGTGTGTGTGTGTGTGTGTGTGTACTTATGCTGAAGATTCAATACATTCTGTTCTCATGAGAAAGCTCTCATTGCTCACTGTTGTGTGGTGCCTACTCCATGCTAATGCCATTCCTTCCCTAAACTTATGGGGTTGGACACTCTATTCAGCTCAACTATTCTGTTTGCAGTTGTGTCTGGATAAATGATATCTACATGCTTACAGCTTTATAGGCAAGTTTGACAGGGCCAGCAAGATGGCTAAATGGATAAAAGTGCTTACTTCCAAGCCTAAACCTGAGTTCAATCCCTGTGACCCCATATAGTGGAAGATAGAACTGACTTCAGCAAAGTGTTCTCTGATCCATGCCATGTGTGCAAGTTCATGTGCACGCACTCTGTGTGTTTGTCTGCGTGTCTGTGTGCAAGCGTGCAATTTTCTATTTTCAGGATTGCCTGCAGGACACTTAGCCCTGGCTCTTCCATATGAAACCACCTTTGGTCTTTTGAATTACAGTGGAATTATAGATCGATTTGGGGAGAATTTTTGTCTTTACAATATCAAGCCCTCTCTTACTTTGGGAGTATTCAAGTTCTAGCTGGATTTTTAAATGTCCTTCATTAAAATGTTATACTTCTCATGATAGAAAGCTTCTACCTTTTGGCCAGGTTTAATTTGTTAACTTTGGTATATCTTTGTTGCTAGTAACTGCTATCTTTAAAAGGCCTTGCAAGTAGTTCTTGCTGTCACTTTGCCCTCAATTGGACCAATCTACTTAGTCAAGGAACGTGTCCACTTAATCCAAGTTGTCATATTTTTCTTAGTGCTGTTGATCCTAAAATTGAGTGTAGTCTTTCTCATTGTTTATTTGGCCTCTTGAGACTATTCTCATCTTGTAGGCCAGGGTCACCTCAGATTCACTGTATTGCTAAAGCAGGTGCTGGGATTGTGGCACACAGCGGGCCAGGCTGTCTTCTTTGCTAATACTAACATTCAAGCTGCAATTCTCCCAATACTTCTGCTTCAGCTACAGCCTGCAATTTCTGGTATATTGTTTTCATTGTTCTTGAGATTTGAAATGCTTTTGAATTTTTCTTTTTTTTCCCCTGACTTCTATTAAATAACCAGAATAGTTTTAATTTCATTTCTGTTTACCCCTTGGCATGTTAGCTGTTCCTGTAAGGTTAATGTCTTGAACTGTTTTTCAGAGTCTGTGTCTAAACTTTGTACTTCTTATGTAAAACATAACCCACTCACACCTACTTTGGTGCTGACTCACTAGTGTCTTCTATCAATTGTGCCTGTCCCATAATTTGATCTAAAATGCAGTCTGGGGCAGGCAAGGTAGCTCAGCAGGGTTACAGTGCATGCCACCAAGCCTGGCAACCTGAGTTCAGGCCCGGGTTCTGTATATGGTAGGAAAAAACCAACTGAGAAGCAGTCCCCTGATACCCTAACACTCGCCTCCATGGCATGGCTGGTGAGTTCACACACACACACACACACACACACACACAGTGAACAGATGTAACAAAAATAAAATATAGCCTGGTTTCTTTTTCAACACTACTGTCAGTAGTGAGTCAGAAGGCTTTTAATACCCCCTCCCACCCCCATTTTCTTGGTAAAGAAGGAATCCATTCACTCTTTTGTTTTCCTATTTCATCCACACTGTCCTCCAATTTCCTGGATTCAGGCGGTCCTACCTCTGCTTTCCCCAGTGCTGGAACTGCCCACAGGAGCCTCTGCACATGACTTCATTGTGCTTATCATTAAACATGTCTGTTGCAGACTGGTAGGAACTTTACCAAGTAGTTTTAAATGGTTGGCTTTTTGTTTTTTGCTTTGTAGACCTTGTACAGATCTCAATTTTTAAAATGTTGAAACCTATTTCCAACTGAACAGGTAATCCTCCCCTGAGCATCGAATCCTGGTCCACTTCTGTGTTTCCAATTCTGGTCACCATACTGAAAAGTGCAGCTCACACTTGTTACTCTTGTCTCCCACACTAGAAATGAGTTTCTGGTGATTAGGGTTCTTCTAAAGAATTATTACGATGTTTTTAGTTTTTTTGTTTTGTTTTGTTTTTCGAGACAGGGTTTCTCTGTGGCTTTGGAGGCTGTCCTGGAACTAGCTCTTGTAGACCAGGCTGGCCTCGAACTCACAGAGATCCGCCTACCTCTGCCTCCCGAGTGCTGGGAGACGATGTTTTTAGTTTTTGCAATTATATTACTTCCTCCCTTTCCTGTCCTTCTTCCCTCCTTCCTCCTACTCTTTCAAATTCATGGCTACTTTACGTCTGTGTGTATTCATAAATATGCAAGTACAGTCTGCTCAGTCTGTTGCTTGTATGCATGAGTATGTATGCATGTACATACCATTTGTATAAGTGTCATCAGATCCCTGGATCTAGATTTACAAGGAACCTGCCATCAGTGCTTGAAATCAAACTTGGGTCCTCTCCAAGAGTATGTGCTCTTAACTGCTGAGCCTTTTCTGCAGCCTTATTTAACAATTTTTGATTGGCCACACATTGTGAATTTTGTTTGCTGGGCATGAGGTATTTTTCCATCTCTATAAATATTCTTGCTCTGAAAGGCTATTACATAATCACAGCCCTACTGGCATGTTTGTGGACAGAGTGCAAAGGGTCAGGGAAGATTGGAACTAGAGACAGAGATGAGCTTGCGACTGTTAAAACAGCAGATTTAAACAAGAAGCCAAAATGGAAGTAACCATGCTGGGCAGTTTTATCGCAAGCTAAGTCATTTTTGAAAGAGGGAACATCAGTGAGAACACACCCTCACCCCTTCCCACTATACTGGCCCGTGGTGCATTTTCTTAATGTGGGAAGGCCCAGTTCACTGTGGGCTATGCCACCCACAGGCAGGTGATCCTAGGATATGATGGGGGGAAGTCCTTCTCTTTGCTGTGAATGTTTCTCTTATTGGTTGATGAATAAAGCTGTTTCCACCAATGGACAGGCAGAGCTACCAGACTAGGAGAATTCTGGGGGGAGGAAGATAGTGAGTCTCGAGAGAGAGAGATGCCATTCTCCGGTAAGCCAAGACCATGTGGAGATATATAAATAGAAATGTTAATAATTAAGAGAGCTAGCCAATAAGAAGACTGAGCCATTGACCAAAGAGTTTATAATATAAGCCTGTGTGTGTGTGTGCTTATTTGGGACTGAAGGGCGGCAGGACCGGGCTGGACAGAAAATTCCGACTACAGGGATATAAAAGAAAGCAGGCTGAACAAGCTATAAGGAGCAACCAAGTAGGCATTGGTTCTCCATGACCACTGCACGGAATTCCTGCCACCAGGTTCCTGCCCTGTTTGAGTTTCTCCCAACTTTCCTCAGTGATCTAGTGTGTTATGGAACTCTGTAAGCTGAAATAAACCCTTTCCTTCCCAAATTGCTTCTGGTTAACATTTTTACACAGCAACCCTAAGACAACACAAACCCTAAGACAGTAATAGTCAAGGTTTTAATTACATATTGAAATAGAGTGAAAGATTGTGACAGCTATCTTTGGTTGTCAACTTGACTATATCTGAAATGAACTACAACCCAGAAATGAAGGGCACAACCGAGACCCAGACCTTAAGGCAGAATGACACTTGCCCTTAATCCAGATTTTGAGGCGGGAAGGCACATCTTTACTCTGGGCACACCCGCTGGAAGCCCAAGGACAATGGGAGAAGGAAAGTTTGTTCATTCTTCGTCTGTTTGCCCTTGCCTTGCCAGCATGTCCGTTCTTTCACTGGCACTGGAGCCTACTTCTTTGGGATTCCAGCACATACAGAAGACCAGCAGAGACACCCTGTCTCCTGGGTGGATTAATGTATTCCTTCTAGAAGATCAATGACTCTCGAGAACCCTGACTAATACAGAGACTAAAGCAGAAAAGGGTTCTATTTCCCTCTTTCCCCCTCCCAAGACATGCACCCGGGTCAGGTACATTAACAGATAGGTCTTCACCACTCACAGAACCCTGAAAAGACTTCTGCAATATTGTGGATGGGCACAAGCAGTAGGGATGGAGCATAAAAGGGTCCCCCAGTGGTACATATGTTGAAGGCTCTGCCCTCATAAGTGGCTTATTCCTTTGATGACTTCACACTTGAATGGAGCATTGGGAGATGAAATCTATGAGCATCTACAGTAGCATGCCTCTGGGACTATTCCTATGCCTACCCTTCTGACCTCATGCTTCCTCTGCTTCCCAGCTGCCATGTGGTAAGCAACTTCCCTCCACTCTGTGCTCCTTACCCTCATTCTGCTTCATTACCACATGCAAAAACAGCCAGGTGAGCATGGAGAGAAACCGTGGGACAAAAATAATAAATCTACCATCCTTTTCACTTTAAAGGCATGTTGTCATAGTAACAGAAAAGTGATAGTTCAGAGGAAGCCTCTGCCAAAAGTCCTCAGAGACTGCCTCCACCCCCAGTCGATAAGCAAGAGTTCAGGAAAATGAACCCAGATGATAAAAATGCTCATCCTGGAACTTTTTTTTTTTTTTTTGCAATTAGCCTTTGTCAAAACTAATCTTTTTTTCTTGGGGGAATCCAAGTTCATTATAGTGAATATGAATGAAACAGTGAAAAGAAACACTACCCACCCTGGCAAATTCAGAGGTCAAACACACATCATTACTAACTTTCTAAAGGCATAGAAAAATTAGGATAAGAGTTGAAAAGAATGTGATCAATTAAATAATATTCCCATTATGGCTATCATTACATAGAGGGAAACAACCAACAAAAAAATGTTATAACAATTAGCGACTTTAATATTTAGGAAAAATTAAGTCCATATACACATTAAAAATATAGGAAATTTCATGCAAACATGAAGCTTCCAATTCAACCTTCTGGCAACGTTTAGAATGTGAATTACATATAAATACCATATCCTTTACAGTTCTCAAACTTGATTATTTCATATTGTGATTTCTGCAGCTTCCCTGTGTGTTTTATATGCCTTATCTTGCTCACTGATCAGAACCTAAATTTGTACCACCTCAGAAAGTCAGAATTAAAAACCAGCAAGCACATGATCACCTTATGAAAATGAAAAATGTGTGCAGAGCAAATTTAAGAAAAAGAATTTAAAACTTCAAGGCTTACACACTACGGTGGCTACACCTAAATATAAAAAATATAAAACTAAACTTTTCCAGTGATACGTCTATTAATGATTTATACCACATTTTCAAGTTTAGAATATATTAACTTCAAAAGCAACAAGAGAAAAGTGATGCAAATTTATAAGGAATGTTTTTAAAATCTTCATGATATAAGGAAGAAAAAGTAAAAATAAATGAAATTACTGATTGCAGAGTTAAGTAAAATATACAATTTAGAAATGTAAGTATTATTATTAAAGAGTAAAACATGACAGGAAAAAAAAACTTTAGGTAACAAAACCAACCCACTGGTGTCAGTTTGTTCTTGTCTTCATAAGAAAAACAAAATCCAGGCTATAAAAAATACAAAATGAATAAAAAGCATTCCTAAATCACAACTAACAAAAACATGCATTCCTTGCTGTTCAATGAATGTCTTTAAAATACATTAATTTCTTTTCCTTAAAAAAAAAATTCGGGAAGATTTTTCACCCTTGCAAATAGGGAGAATTTCTACCAACTGAACTTTTATGAAGTACTGAGCACTGGAAGAACAAGAAATACTTTGAAAAGATAAGTAAAATTCACTCCATGGAGCCACATACTTCATAAGGGGAGGAGAGATGACAAAAATTCCTACACTGTGTAGAACTCCCAACTAAAAGGACAGTAGGTCCTATAGACTCCCAAACCTAAGCAACACAGATTTACAGTAAGGCTTTTTTTTCCTATTTATTTATGTGCATTGGTATTTTGCCTGCATGTATATCTGAATGAGAGCTGCCATGTGGGTGTTGGGAATTGAACCCAGGTCCTCTGGAAGAACAGTCAGTGCTTTTAACCACTGAGTCATCTCTCCAGCCTAGAACTTCTTATCAAAAAATGGCAACATCGCAGTTATGCCACCAGCACATACTAAATCCATCTAATCCAAATGACTAAGAGGTCACAGCCATCTGTGAAATATTCAACAAGAGCTTTCTTTTCTTGTAGATGTTAAAACATCAGCCATCTTTGCTTTCCTAGCTCATGGAAACAGAGTAACAAACATTAAAACTAACAGTAACAAGGAAAACTCTCCCCAGACAGGCCTCCCTAGAGGTAGAAAATTAAAGCAGCATGCAGACTGTTTAAACTCCAACCCTATCAGGACAAAACTGGCATTAATCTGAAATTCCATGAATGGCTGCTGCCTAGGATATTGAAGACACAGACCATGGGTATTAACTAATCCCTGAATTTCATACTCAAAACTTTTCACATTAATCCTATCATGACAGTTTTTACTAAAATACAATTTAACTAAAAAAAGTGCTTGTTTTCATAAGCCACATACTTAATAAATGACATCATTGTAAACACCACACTGACAAACTTTGTAACTCATTGCTAATTTGAAATTATGTAATTCAGATGGGCAGTTTTCATCCTTATTTTTCCAGTTACTTAACACTGATTAAAAAAAAAACAAAAAACAAAACAAAACAAAAAGTTTGTACCTCTGAATGTTTATACCTTACACATTTCAAAGGAATCTAGGAGTTAATATAAGATTCATTTTAGCATGGACAAAGACTGAATTTCTTTGTTGATAAATTTCACTGAATTTTCACCTGTGATACAACTGAATTAATATTTCATAGAAGACATACTTGATGCCTCTCTAAATTCAGCTGAGCTAAGAAAAAAACAATCAAATTTGAATAATGAAAAAACAGTTTCAAAATTCTTTAAGTATTATTTAGGTCCAATGAAAACAAAATTCCAGTTCCAGATGCTGAGTACGACAGAGGATCCTTAGACTCTTCTACAAGTAATACAGGTAAAGTAACCCTCAAAAGGACATTAGTGTGGACTTTAGCGCTATTGGTCACTAATATGGCAGACTTGCAACAGCTTCATGAAGACGGGAGTTTAGGTTTATTTTCCTAAAGAAAGACAATTCTGGGCTTCAAAGAAAAAAGTACTTGAAGATATTTCCTCCATTACATATCTGCATGGGAGACATTTTCTCCATTATTTTTCTTATGCAGTATAAATCTGCATCATATAGATATTTCTGAAAAAAAGCAATAGATATTATTAAGAAAATAGACACTATTTCTAAATTTTTGTTAGGAATAAGAAGGCACCACTGATATGAGGTTGTGTCCTGTTGTCACTGATAGCTGACTGTGAGTTGTTTATTTCAGCATTTGTTCATATTAAACATTTTTTTCTGGGTAATATCACTTAAGACCATTACTGTGGCTTCCGGACCACAAACAAAACACATTCATAGTAGTATTTCATCATAGAGAGATCATTCACAGTATATGTTGACAATACAGATTCTTTTTCCACCTATAATACAAACAAAAATCAAAATAAGATCATAATGGCAACAAATAACAAGAAGTTAGCAGTAGGCGCTATCATAACCATATTTATAAACAATACTCCCCATAAGACTGATAGCATTCATAATCTCACACCATTAACAGATCATATAAGATCAGTATCACACCACTAGCATGTGGTTAAAAATGGATTCAAATTCAGGCAATCTTAACTACAAAGTGCTACAGATGCATTGCTTCTCTTTATTCTTAAGAATAAACCCACTTTTGTAAATGAGTATAATAGTCCTAAATAAGTAAATAACAACTCAACTGCCAAAGTACCATAAAGTCTTTTTTATTTTAATTTTAAATTACTTTTTTATTATTTTAATTTTAAATAGCTTGTTTTACACGTCAATCCCAGTTCCCTCCCCCTCCCCTCCTCCTGTACCCCACATCCTCCCCAGCCTCCCACCCTATCGCCATTTCCTTCCACATAAGGGATATCTCTTGGACCCCAGACCGACAGCTGGGAGACCAGCATGGGACTGATCCAGACCCCCTGAGTGTGAGAGTCAGTGAGGAGACCTGGGCAACCTATGGGGCCCTGGGCAGTGGATCAGTGTTTAACCCTGGCTTACAAACAGACATCGTGTGTCCATAACACAAAGAGGGATGCTCTCTCAGCCTGGACTCTTAGGAGAGTGCCTGGACCCTGCCCTGAGTGAAATGACAGACTCTACATAAAGTCTTATTTAATACAGGGGTGAGAGGAGAGGAGAAAGGACAGGTAGTAGAAAATAAGCTACAAAGAACTGTTTCTTAGATACCTGCCTTCCCATCATCTGCCTTCTCCAGAGCCTACTTTACTTGGTACCTGTCAGTGAGAGATTACCCAGGCCATTATCAGCTACCATTTACTGAAGGTCTATTTCAACAAGAATCATAGTTTTCCTTTAGGTACATATTGTCCTAAATCTTTACAATTAAGAAAACTATGTAGCAATAGCTTTTCTATCTGGATAAGAAGAAAAGACGTAAAGAAGTAAGGTTAATAACTGCTATAATGCCCATATTCCTGTTTAAAGGCTTTCAAGCTAACCTTTGGCAGTTTCTTACCTCCAGTTGGAATCCATACTGCAGAACAACATTTTTAATATCCTCATAGCTCAATTCTATAGAAAGTTCATTTGCCAGATTTTCAAAATGGTACAGTAGAGGACCTATGGTTTGAGAATACTATGAATGAGTTACAGGAACATAAGCATGTGCTAATAGCTTTACACACTGAATTCCAGATGTACTAGTTGAGTAGGAAATAAGGTAAAAATGAAAAGATCAACTACATTTGCTGAGGACAATTATCCAAACTTGTGAAAGAAACCCATCAGTTTCAGCCAAGAAAACACCATGCCACAATTGTATCCTCAGATTACTCTATATAGTTTTGTCTTTACCTTTGAGTTCATCATAAATCCAAATACAGCTAGCTCCATTTACACTCCTCAGACAACATACTGAGATGGAAAAAAAAAAAAAGCTAGGAAGATAAAAGTAATAAGTGAGACAATTTCTGCTCCTAAGAAGCTATACCATCCTGTCATCCTGTGGGTAAAACATCCTGTCTCCTTTAGTTTCGAGGTAGTATGAAAGGAGTACTTAATTGGTCCAGATAATAAAAACTCAGAGTCAAATATAGGGGGAAATGCTGAGAGATTAGTGAGAAGGAGCAAGTTACAGCCACACCTTACCTTCGTATCTTCTCAGCAGACAAGAGAGTGTTTTCCTGTTTCTCCCTGCTTATATCCTGTTTCTGCCCAGCTAGCTCACTTCCTGTAGGTCTGTACAGACCTCCAGAGCTCTTTGGTAAGCTACTGGCAAGCTACATTCTCTGACCCTCAGACAGGCTTTATTTGTACATGCAAGATATCACCACACATCCCTCCTTTTCTGTATAAAATTTTAAAAAAGGTTATAATAAACTATATACAATAAGTACAATGTCTAGTCCATCAGCATATGACAAATTCCAAGAAAATACTCCATTATATTTTTCTTGATGAGTCCAAAGTCTTGTACCTAATTTACTTTCTATTCTAATTTTTCATTATCAAATTGTCTTCTAATGTGTTTTAAACCTATCACGCTTAACAGATCAATAATGAATTTCCTTACTGATTCTGGTAAACAAGGAAAACTATGACTAACAATACTATTTGGTTTTCAACTCCCTCAGAGACCCAAGAAGGAAATAATATTAACTGAGTAAACTGGAAGTACGATCAAGCAACTTCCAAAAAATGTGAGAAAAGACAGAAACAGCTGGCTGCCTGGAGAGTCACCCAAGATTGCTCTGTAAGTTGGGGCATCCATCTTTGGCCTATAGGCCTAGCACATCTGACAGCCTTTGACATGGCAAGATTAGCCATTTGGGGAAGAAACTGCTCTTGCCTGGACTGTTTGACTATATGCTGTATAAACTGTACATGCAGGACCCAAAGGAAAGTGACTGCTGAACTTGCCAAAACAAGATGGGACAGACCTTCAGGGTTCCTGCTTCATGGAAGAGTGTGCCAGACATTCTGCAGGACACAGAGAAAAATGACTGACAGGTGGACAGTTTCAAATCAGATTCACTTTGTAATCTTGCCAGACACTCTAGGCCAGTAGGCTAAAGATGAATGCCTCAATATTACAGAGGAATTTTGGATGATTGTCTAGGCAGCAAGATGTCTCTATTAATTCTACAATTTATATATTATCCTTCTGAGGTCTTTGATGGAGTTGAAGATAGATAGTTATGGTTTTCCTTAGTTATGATAAAGTTACATATAAAACTTGGAACTCAAAAAAGATAGGACAGAAGATAGAAAATACATTTTTGTAGGTATACACCCACCCAATAAACCTTTTTTTTATTGTCTTTCCACTTCCATGTTTGATCTCAAAAGCCTATTAAACCCTATCCCACAAACTCAAACTTTAGCTATGCTTCAAAATTTTGTCAGACATGCAAAGGTTAATCTTGGTTGTCAACTTGATGCACCTGGGAAGAGTTGTCTTTCAATCGAGGAACTGGCCCCTTAAGACTGACCTATGGGTATGTTGATGAGGCATTTTCTGGTTGCTAATGATGTAAAAGAGCCCAGTCCACTGTGGGCAGTGTCATCCTTAGACATTTGGGCCCAGGGTATATATGAAAAGCAATCCAGAGAAAGCAACCAGAAAGTAGATTCCTCTGTTGTCTCTGCATCAAGCTCCTGCCTGCCTTGGCTTCCCTGCATGATTGATTGACTATAACCTGTAAGCTACAATAAGCCATTCACAGTACAACATCCTTTAAAACTCATTTACTGCAGTGTTATATCACACACTACCTTCAGGCAAGTATCAGCATTCTCTAATTTGCAAACAAGGCATCAAGCAATATGACACAGATGAGTGTGGTGCATATGAACATGTGTGCACACAAAGGTCAGAGGATGACACTGGATATCCTTCTCTATCATTCTCTGCCTTATTTCTTCAAGACAAGGTCTCTTATTGAACCTGGGACCATCTGTGGTAGTGGCCAGCAAGCCCCGGTGATCCTCCTATCTCTGTCTCCAACAGCGCTGGGGTTTCAGGCATGCTCATGGCAACAGCTGGCTTTTCATTTTAAAAATTTTATTTTATTTATGCATACGTACTTTTGTTAAGTGCATGCTACATTTCTGCAGATGCCAGAAGAAGGCACCAGATTCACCCAGTGATTGAAACACAGGCTGTTGTGAACTGTGAAACATGGGTCTGGAAACCGAACTCTGGCCCACCAGAAGAATAGCAAGTGCTCTTAACCTCTAAGCTATGTCTCCAAGCTGAATATCTGGCTTAGTATGTGGGTGCTAGGACTTAAATTCAGGTCCTCATGCTTGTATAGCAAGCATTCCCATCCATATAACCATCTCACCAGCCCAAAGATGATGTCTTTAATTTTCTTTTAAGTCTACCAAAATGACTAGCAAATGCTGATTATAAAACTTAAGTGTTAGCAGGGCAGTGGTGGCTCACGCCTTTAATCCCAGCACTCGGGAGGCAGAGGCAGGCGGATCTCTGTGAGTTCAAGGCCGGGCTGGACCGATAGCCTCCTAAACAATACAGAGAAACCCTGTCTCATAAAAACCAAAAAAAAAAAAAAAAAAAAAAAACTTAAGTGTTTATAGCATTACCGGTTAAGGACAATAACTAGTGTGAATACATTCTGTAGTCTTTTTTTTTTTATATATATAAATTGTGCTTTGACAGATATCTCCACATATTTCAGATCTTCCATTACACAAAAACACTTCTTGAGACAAAAAATATTTTTACTGACTTGGTTCAACCTGCCAAGAGTTACAGATGGAGGTCCCTAATCCAAACTACTTGAGTACAGGTGTTTCAGATTTTAGAGTACTTACATATTCAAAAGGAGGTAGAGGAAGAGACTGAGTCCAACCACAAAACTAGTTTGTTTCATATCTTCTTAACTATACAGCCTGATAGTTTTCTGCACAGTACTGGACAACTAAGGGCTGTCCTTATGGTAAGGCTCTACCAGTGAGTTATAATCCTAAACTCTAAAACTAATTTTGTACAGTACTTTCAGAGTACATACATGCTGCCTGCGATCTGTCAGATAAGATCATGTATTTACTTGGCCACTTGGCATATAAACATTTTAGAAATTTAGACTTTCAAGTTAGGAAAGATCTGCATAGATTTTTCACTCACAACTGCAAGAGGAGTGTTACCTCAAAACCTTATAAGGGGTGAGAAAGAATGGAACTGTTACTCTGGAAAACAGGCTAGTAGTTTCTGGCAAAATTTGCTACCCTCATCATATATAACTAAGAAATTTATTTACTAGGTGTTAAACCAAGAGAAATGAAAATTTTAATTTTATTTATTTATTTGTTGGTTTGTTTTGTTTTTCAAGACAGGGTTTCTCTGTGTAGCTTTGTAGACCAGACTGGCCTCAAACTCACAGAAATCTACCTGCCTCTGCCTCCCGGGTGCTGGGATTAAAGGTGCGTGCCACCACTGTCCAGCCCAAGAAATGAAATCTTATAGCCACACTTAAGATTTTGTGCCAAGTGTTGATAGCAACTTTACTCCTAACCAGCACATTCTGTTAAAAAAAAAAATCAAACATCCATCCACTGAGAACTGATAAACAAAATATCACCGACCCATCCAGTGAAGTATCACTCAGCAATAAAAGGAAACAACACGCTGGCTATGTAACCTAGGTGAATCTCAAAAGCATCATGCTAGATAATGGAAGCCAGAGACATAAAGTACTACACTGTTGGGTCCTGATTATATGATATTCTTGAAAGGGGGAAACTGGAGTTACAGAAACCCAAACAGCAGTTGCCAGTTATTTTTTCTTTTCAATCATCATCTTTCTTCATATTAAAAGAACAAGATCATAAAATATAGAATAAGCTCATAATAGATAGATAAGGCAACATGAAAGAGCATCAAAAGAAAATAAAACCATCTCTAATCCATTCACTGACTCAGTAGAAAATACACTGTATCCCCTTGCAGGCTTTCCTTGATGCACAGTGTAAAGTATTACAGATATGGTTTAGCATGTTAAGCTTGGTTCATTATTTCTAAGGAATATGCTTACTGTAGAAGTCTTAAAACTACGTATCCATTTCCTGCTGTTAGGAGACAGGTCCAGTCTAAAATTTGTTGGGCATACCTGTTCATTACCCAACTTTTAGCGTTAGGCCTTATCTAATTATTTTCTTCTGACAGAGATATAATTTAACATAGAATATTAGTAAATCCTTAAGGCTTTGTGGGCCACATTGACTCCCCACATCACTTACTCTTTATGAAGCACTAAGGCAAGGTAGCCTTTTCCATTATTGTAACTCCTCAGACCGTGGCTAGATGACTGGAAGGTCTAACTGTCCTCTTGTAAGCTACCTTTCCATGACTTGTATTGCCCAGTACCATAAGACATACTGTAGCATAACTACTTTTAGCTAACAGCCCTCCTGCTTAGAAAGGCCAACTTTGTTTCAGGCATTTATTATATAACTTAATAAAATATTAATAAAACAAGTGTTCGTGCACAAAGTTGCTTTTATCAGTTAAATCAAGTACCTTAGAGGAACAACAAACCTTATCAAAATCCAGTAACTAGGATCTAAACTTAATGTATATATAGGGTCATGTTAATGCTAAGCACAAACTGACAGTGTCAGGCAGTGGGGCCTGCCTCTTGCCACAAGGAAACTCTGGGACCTTTCTGTTAGTTATTTAAGCAAGACTCATTTTATTCCACTATTAGTAAATAGTACCTTTTCATTAGGGTTGCTCTGAGAGGCTGAGGATATAGCTCAGCGGAAAGAACACTTGTCTAAGTGCACAGGCCCTACTCTGACTCCTAGGAACACAAAACAGAATAGGGTTGCTATGAATTTAAATTATTTATAAGGGTACTCAAGTCACAGGAAACATATAGATCCTCAGTAGTGTCCTTCATTCCTTGGGCCAACTTTCCCAAAGCATTTACTTTTAAACTCCTAAAGTTTGAGGCATCCTTATGATGACTGCATTTTACAGCTGTTCTCATCTAATCTTACAAAATTCTGAAGGGAAAGTGAGAAGAATTACTATTTCTAGTCTTGATCCTGATGAAAAAAAAATATCCTAGTAAAAATAAAATCATTATACAGTACAATTGACAGAACCTCAACAATAAACTAGGTCTTTATGTATCTGTCCTTTTCTGTGGTAGAATCCTCATCATGAAAGTCTGATATTCAAAGTGCAGTTAACTTTCTAAACATAGGGCACACATCACACTTGAGGAAGAGAGGCACAATTAAATGGACATTTCACCACATTCCCTCTACTTTTAAGAGGAGAAAATAACCAATTACTTCTAGATTCTTGATAAACAAGCCATACTCATAATTTTACATCTATTATCAAGCAATAGACTCAAAGTACAAGGGGTTTTTGCATATATGAAATTGTATTTCTATTGCTTCTTAAACTCATGGTCATTAGAAAAACTATCTCATCTCCTGGGGAGAATTCCATGATGGAGGCGAAAACCTTCTTCTAAGGATTAAAAACAATAAAAACATTCTCCTCTTCTTTGTGTGAGCTTTTTTTTTTTTGAAAATAGGTTCTACTTTCATACAATAATACATCCCAACCAGTTTCCCCTCCCTCCACTCTTCCTAGCTCCCCACACTTTTACCCTCTTCCAGATCCACTCCCCCTCCATTTCCTCTTCAGAAAAGAACAGGTCTCCAAGAGATGCCACCCAGACAGGACAAAGCAAGATGAGGTGAGCCGGGCGTTGGTGGTGCACGCCTTTAATCCAAACACTCAGGAGGCAGAGGCAGGAGGATCTCTGTGAGTTTGAGGCCAGCCTGGTCTACAGAGCGAGTTCCAGGACAGCCTCCAAAACAATACGGAGAAACCCTGTCTCAAAAAAAAACAAGAAGACAAGGTGAAAGCTCTCATATCGAGGCTGGACAAACCAACCTAATAGTAGGAGGAAAAGAGTCTCAAGAGCAGGCAAGAGTCAGATACACACACTCCCACTGTTAGGAGTCCCACAAGAACACCAAGCTAACAGTCATAACATATACTCAGAGGACCTGGTGCAGACCTATGCAGACCCCATGCTGAAAACACACTCTTCTTGAGAGAATGAAATGTCACCACCTGCATGAAATGGGGAAGAGTACTTAGTATGTGCTGAAGTAAAGATCCACGAGACTGACCTAAGAGGGTCATCCCAATGCTTGGACTGCCACTGTATTCAGGAGGTATCACATGCTTGGATGTAGTTTAACAGGAAACACAACACCATTATAATGTTCACAAGCATCTGGTACTGTGTCTCTACCAAATGGAAAAGAGCTCTAATCCTAAATCAGAGTATAAAATGTTAATGAACATGAAAGCACTTACCAAGGTTTATCCAAATTCCACCTGGCTTGAGTATTCTCCATATTGTATCGATATAATCAATTACATTGTGAGCTGTGTCTATGAAGAAACAGGTGGCAATACAGTCCCAGGTATCTAATCAACAGAAATCAGACCACTGCATTTGTTATTTTGTTTATGTTTTATTTTTCTTTCACCCTTTAAGCTTGGCAGCTAACTCTTTCAAAGTTTTAATTTACCTGAAGGGATATATCATTGTACTATAATGACAAACACTATAATCCACATTATTATAGCACAGTAGACACAGTAGGCGATTTGGAAATCATTTGTTATTAACACATCACTACATATTACCAAATGATACTGTTAAAGAGTTGCTTAGCGCCTACTCAACTGCTAGCCTTTAGTTTTACTATGTTTACTTCTGTGATACTTAAACCTAGGGTCTTAAGCTAGGAAAGTGCTCTGTGACCGGGCTATCCAAGCTTTCATCTAAAATCTGTTAAAATAACAGTCACCTTAAATTTTGAGTTCTGATTGAAACCAGTGTTAATCACTGATTCTGGCAGGTTTTAGAAGCAGGCCTTTCTTGCCATTTTGAGAAATGATGACATCAAAACACCCAAATACCCACCATGACTTGATAATCATCAGGGAGAAGATGGCTGGGGAAAACACAGGCAAAGGTGGGCCCCCAGCAAGAACACTGTTTAGTCTTAGAAGCTGTTGCCAGGCAGAGGTAGGGACCAGATTCAACCTGTAGTGCTTATCCTAGTTCCCATGTGGTAAAAGTGCCCTGCCGGAAAGAGATCTTCCAGTCCTCTTCCAGTCCCAGTCAGAGAAAAATGCCTCTTAGCTGCATCGTGATGCTTTCCACAATTTTACTATTGTGAGATCTTGCTCCTTAACATTTACCCAACAGCTTAACCTCTCAGCGTTCCTTTCTAACTTCAGAATGCAGGTTTTCCCAATCTCGGAATTTAGGGGAATAAAAATCTCTTTTAGGAAATGAGATACACAAAATCTTACTGTGCTCTAAGCCGTCTTCTGGGGGCTTCCTGTCCCTCTCAGAGTACAAGTCAATTTCTTGCTCTGAGTTGGCCTAAACAACCCTCTGCCCTCTTATCTCCCTCATCCCCCTTACTCACTTCACCATAGCCCCTGCTAAATACAGCCAACTGCTCTACCTTAAGTCCCTTGCCATCCCTAAACATGTAAGTGCCAATTTCCTTCTTAGTTTCTATTTTCTTCCAAACAATATTGTACGTTAGTGTCTCTCAGTCCCTTCCAGATTTCCAAGTCCCCTGTGGTTAGGGGCTTTGTCCTGCAAACCACTGTGTTTTGATGTCTAGAATGTACTCATCACTTCAGGTGGCAAACAGATTTGTTGAAAGAACGCTCTTGTTACTGCTCAGAATTCTTTCCCTGCTCCTGCCAGTTCACTCTCCCCTTTCCATTACTGCCTCCCTCCAATAGCTTCCACAATCTGCCCGACTGAAATCCAACTTACACAAGTCTTCTACAACTGAAGTTAACCTACTTTTTTTTGTTTGTTTGTTTTTCAAGACGGGGTTTCTTCTGTGCCTTTGGAGACTGTCCTGGAACTAGCTCTGTAGAACATGCTGGTCTCGAACTCACAGAGATCCACCTGCCTCTGCCTCCCGAGTGCTGGGATTAAAGGCGTGTGCCACCAATGCCCGGCTTAACCTATTTTTTAAGATATAGCTTCCATAAAATTTCTTTCCTTGCAAATCTAACCATGCCGCAGTCCCCGATAACCTTATTTTTTTGTCTTTGTACCTCAAATAACTATTGGTCTCTGTCCATCAAGTCACAGACTCTACCAAGAGCTCCATTCCTACAATTTTATTTCTACCTTACTACAATGGACACACATCATTTGGACTCTTTAAAAATTGTCTTTTTTTTAAACAGAGTCAACATCTCTTGAATGTACATGCTTCTTTACATTTCCTGTCACTGCCCTTTTCACTACCTTGAAAATACTCTAATGTCATTGACATCGCACACCTTCTAATCTGTCATCAAAACAAATAGTTATAACACTGGGTCACTATTTACAGTAACAGACAAGTTGTAAATACTTGCTTTGAACTTACTGCATTCTGAGTAAATCTCCTGAAAGTCTCCTGCTGTCATCGAAAAGTTAGAACCTGGAGGAAGGCTGTGGGGGTCAACATCAGGGAAAAAAATGGGTCGAATCTGATCAGCTGATCTCCGATTATTGCTAAACTGATGGATCCAGGGATAAAGTTGGTATTTGTTAATTTCAGAACATCTGTAAAATATGAGCATAAGGTTCAATTTTAACTATACATTTTACCAAAAAAAGAATCTACTTTAAGCACTAAATTATCTATTGATAGAAGAGTTCATCTATACTTCACTCAGTTATCTGAAGCTGTGTATACATGTAGATGACCAACCATGGATTAAAAGAAATTCAGAGATTCTCATGTGCTAGGAATTTGAATTTATTAAAAAGTATTAAATTTTGTTGGTTTTGGAGAAAGGGTCTTATGGAGCCCAGCCTGGCCTTGAACTCCCTGTGTACTGAAGATGACACTGAATTCTTGACTCTCTACAACAGCTGAGATTAGAGGCCTGTGCCACCACACCCAGCAAAAATGTATTCCTGAACCTCAAACTTGAATAAAAACAAGGAAACTAGTCTTCTCCTATTTTTATCATTTTATATGTAACCTTCTTCCCACATCTCACCAGCAACTCATACTGTCACCAATAACACAGCATTGTACTGGGGGAACTGAGTAAGTTACCAGTAACATGCTATTTAAACAGGCAGCTAATTCATTGTCTGTAACACATTGTAACTTCTGGCTTAAAAAAATAGTAACTCTTTTCTACTACCTTCTGGTAGAAGACACAGAACTTCTCAAACTCATTCCAAATCAGTCATGTGAACATGTATGGTCACTTACTACAAAGTCAGTTAGTGAAAATAGTTACAGTTGTTACCATAAACTCTTCACCAAGAAACAAAAGGTGAAAAAGCTTAAAATACAATGAGGAAAAAAAAAAAGAAACCCTTTTCTATATTATAGTTAACACTAAGGAGTCTATGGAATGCTCAATTACTTTCTAAATAGTTGTTTGCTTGTCTTGTGTCAACATGTTAGCTAAAACTGGCTACTGTAGCAATCGATATAAACATTATGAATTTAATGTAAATATGATCTATGTCATGTACTATATACTTTTCTTCTAATTCAGAATTGTTCAAAAATAGGTAAAGCAATTTGATTTTGAGAAGTTACTATTTCCAGCAAAAAGTAAATTAAATACCTGTTGAGTACAAAGTTGGAAGAAAAGAGCATAAAAAAACTCCATTCATTTCCTTGACAAGCATAACCTAGCATAGCTATTTCCCAGGCCAATCTTCCTAGTCCAGCACCAGGTACCAGAATATTTACTTTAGAAGGATCCCTGAAATGAAACAAGGCAATTATATCCAGCCCCTCAAAGAGGAAAAAATTAAAGAAAAAAAAAGATGAAATTCATGTTAACAATGAAAAATGTACTGAATCATTCAATAAGAATAAACTTACTTGAACTCTTAATTTCTTAAAATGAAATATTTCCAAATGTCAATAAAAATGAGATAGTAGGAATCATCACATTATCAAGTGAGGGTTTTATTCCCCCCAAAAAATACTTTTCAGGGAATAAAAAGGAATCACATTGTATCTAAAGACTTACAGTTTTCTTACTTCTGGGAAGATTAAGTATCCCAAAGTGATCCCTGAATTACATATGGGATGTTTGAACAATTACTTCATCATGAGGCAGAGAACACTTTACTTCTAAAGCGCAACAATTTACAGAACCAAATAACTTAACTATATTTAGATTTTAATGTATAAAATCTATCTCTAAAACTTTATAGATCTCAGGCACAGAAAGGAAAGGGCTGAAGTTCTGGGCACAGTAGTTCACACCTGTAATTCCAGGATTGGGAGGCTCACAGGACTACCACTGATTTTGAGAATAGCCTGGTCCTCAGTATAAATTCCAGAGTAGCTTGAGAGACAAAATAAGACTCTGTTTCCACTGCCGCTACCTCTCTCAAAAGAAGGAAGGAGTAGATGCATGAATATTCTCTTGGAGAAAATGGGCAACTGCCTTCTTTTCCAAAGAGTTTCATTAAGTAGCCCCAGACTGGCCTCAAACTCATGACCTTCTTGTCACAGTTTTCCCTTGCAAGTACTTGTAGGCAAGCATTCATCACAAACATACCACATCAAACCAGAGGCCCTATTTATCTCATCACACAGGGCTACATGCTCCTCTTTTCTAAGTTCTGCTACTCTGCTTTCACATTGCAAAAACAAAACAAAAAACAAAAACAAAAAAACGGGGGGGGGGGGAAGGCAGGGAACATTTCTCGGGAACCCTGGCAAATCAAACTATAGGGTCAGAAAGATCACTCTGTGGGTAAAAGCAGTTGTGACTAAAGCTGACAAACCAAGTTCAAACCCTGGAACTAACACAGTGGAAGGAGAGAACCAACCCTTTCAGGCTATGCCCTGACCTCCACATGTGCCCTCATGTGCATGCACTGGAATACACATGGATACATTCATGCCCACACACAACTTCTTTTTAATGTGGGGAAAATTGCATTTGTATAGGAAACCAAAGAAAAATGTGTGTAACCAGTTGGTATCATTTCTATAAAAAAGGAATTTAGCTGTTAACATTTCCAAAATTAGGTTAACAAATCTAATTCTATTTCAAACCATTCAACTCTTATAAACTATCTGTTCTACAGGATCTTGTGCACTCAAAGAGAAACAGGGTATTTTTACTAGTGTTTTATTCTATAGGGGAATCCTTGCATATTCCATTTTAAAACAAACAAAAGAAACTTGGGGCCAGGGAAATGACTCCGTCAGGAAAGTGCTTGCCATGCAAGCCTGAGGACTTGAATTGCATCTCCGAACAGCCTGGCAATCCCAGCATCAGGAAGGTAAAAACAAGAGAATTTCCAGGGATCGCTGGCCAGGCTACCTAGCTGAAGTAGTGAGCTCCAGGTTCAGAGGGAGACCCTATCTAAAAAATAAGATGACGAACAACTGAGAAAAACATCCAATGTAACTTCTAACCTCCACATGCATGTGTACCCACACACATATAGAAACAACTTATGGAGGTTTGAAATTTCAGTCAACAAATGTAGTCCCAAAGGAATCAGCCCAAGGTAATTTGGTTTTATATATAAATTTATGGAGCACATTTGAATAATACACTTGCCAGGAATGGGCACACATCTTCAATCCCTGCACTCAGGAGATCAAGGCAGGTAGATTGTTGCGAATTTCAGGCCACCCTTGACTATATAGTGAGTTCCAGGCCAGCCAGGGTTACACAATAAAAATTTGTCTTTAAAACAAAACAAAACAAAAACAAATGTGTAGTATTAACTAGATGTTCCCCCAAATGTATATATGCTAATATGGCTCTTTAAGAAATCTCAAGCATTTCCTATTTTCATGGAGAAGAGAAATAAAATAAGATAATCAAATGTTTCCTGCTTGAGATTCTCAGCAAAAAAGTAGCAAGTTGAGCAAGCTAGTAAGGTGCATTTACTACAAATATGGCCCCTAACACACGAGAAAAGTCTCGACAGTTCATTTAAGACAGGAGTGAAGAAGAGGACAAAACTAAAAAGACACAAGCAGACTAGACGGTTTTACCAACAGTAAGTGCTCTTGACAGAGCTTTAAATAACTAAATTAGCAAACTCTATATACTTTTTTGTGGTATCAGCACAGTGACACTTTGCTGCCCCCTGGTGGTAGAAATATTCTGGAAATTTAGTTTATCTGTTTTCACTAGTTTACTTTTCTTCAAAGCATTTAAAATTACATACAGGACTTATATTTACAGCCTACATATGTCCATAAGTTCTAAACAGTGGTCTATACAAATAGATCACTAAAGCATTATACCAGGACCAGGACAGCCAGGGCTACACAGAGAAACCCTTGGCTAAGCTTTGATTCTAAATGAAAATAAAAGAGAGAGCACTGTTTGTTAACATCAATGTGCAACTGTTCACAATAGCAGCACAGAAAACCACCTTAGGGTAAAACCAAAGCAGAGACCAGTGGTCTGGAATTGGCAAAATATAGAAAGCATTTCCTCATCAACAAACAGCCCCTTGCAGAACCTGTGCCTTCAAATTTTGTACTTAAAAATTCAAGCACATTATTCCCAAACATGAACAAACATGTAAAATAAACATCGCTTTTAATCCCAGCACTGGGGAGGCAGATGCAGACGGATCTCTGTGAGTTCGAGGCCAGCCTGGTCTACAGAGCGAGTTCCGAGGCAGGCTCCAAAAGCAATACAGAGAAACCCTGTCTCGAAAACAAAAACAAGCAACATGTTCACATAAAACATTTTAGTGATCAGGGCCAAGTAGTTCTATGCACATTTGTTAAATATGCCATCTGTATGGACATCTCACGATGGCTGTCACTGAAATCTCAGTAAGGAAAGACAGTTGAAATGGAGCAAATCCAGCTCAGGTAGAAATAAGGCCATCAAGTTCTTAGGCCAGCTGTGGCAACATCTGAGACACAGAAGACAATGCTTTATCAAGAACTAACATGGACTCTGAAGGACTATAACTAATGTACCTCATCCAGGTCCTTCTCTTTCTCTGGGACAGGCTTTTGCTAAGCAACACAGGCTGGCCTCAATTCACAATCATCCTGCCTCAGCCGTGTCGGAACAAACACAGGTCCATGACCCCACGCCTACACCGGGATCTGGGGGTTTACATTTTATGGGAAAGCTATGACTTTAATATGTATGTGGCCTTACTGTTTAACGTTATCTACTACAAGACAACGAATCCAAGCAAAACAAGACAAAATAACACAGAATTTTCCCACAAGGTCTAAGACTAGTGGTATCAAGCATCCCCATCCCATATATTTCATTTAAAGTTGGTGTCTGTATGTATTCCCTTATCACGTCTGTAACATTCCTTGTTGTTTTCACGGATGGAAAGTGGGTGGTGGAAAGCAGTGACAGGAGATTCACATACTTCTTAACCCTGAACTCTGAGATCTTTTACCTACTGAAAAATACCTCTAATTATTCTTTTACTTTTAATGCAATTTACTAGAAACACCTGGAGTTAATTCATCCATTTACTTGCTTACAGTCTGTCAACACTATAATAGCAGAAAAGTAACTGTGAAACAGTAGTGAGTGTGCATGCTTACAAAGTACCTTTAATGAGGACATGTTATTGAAAGTATATAGGCTAGTATTGAAAGGCTGACTGAACACAATAGCATATATTATTTAAGAATCTGAGTCTGAATAAAATTATAAATAATCAAAATTATACTGGCATAAGCATCTGATCTTTTAACCTTTGAAATTCATTCAGACTTTGTTATACTCAAATTTTAAAGAGCCTTACTTCACAATCTACTTTCAGAAACAAAGATACTTTGAATTTTCAAGGAATTTGTAGCCATTAAAGAAGCCATTATCTAGTACTTTATTGAGCAAGCACTGATGACATTCAGGGAAAATAAAAACTACAAACTTCAGTACTTAAAGGCTGCTGTACTCAGATAGTGCTACTACAAGTTATTAATCAATAAACTGATTAATTTATTTACACCCATTTTCACTTTTTTAACATAAAATGTCCCACCAAAACAAAACTGTTAATACAAAAACTCAAAAAAATAAAAGAAGTTTTCAAAAGAAACCCACAAGTAACACAGATGTTGGAATTATTGGGTAGGAACTAAAAAACAAGAACAAACAAAAAGAAAAAAAGTTACTGTAAACTACATTGAGCTGAGACGCAGCAGCACATGCCCATAGTCCAACACTTTGGAGGTAGATCTAGACAGGAGGATTTTAAATTCAAGGCCAGCATGAGCTCATGAGCTACAGTGAGACCTTGCCTTAGAAAAGCATAAAGTTAAGCATCTAACGAAGAGATAGACCATGTGTACAAGGGAGCAATTCAACACCAAGTATGCGTGTGTTTACGCCTTCCTTTTACTAGAAAACAGCCTGCAGACTATGAAGATTAGAAGGACCATCACTTCACAGACTGCCTCCGTCTGTGGTTGGCCTCTAGATCAGACAGGAAATGTTATAAGGGCACTACTAGGGCAATTATGAAATCTGAGTATATACTATTAGGTTCCTGAATCTGGTAACTGGAAGGGAACAGATTAAAGAATAAATCTGCACCTGTGTGGCAGAACACAGTTTTAATCCCAGACTGAGGAGGCTGAGGCAGATGGGTCTCAGCGCTCCAGGTTAGCCAGAAGTTCCAGGCCACTCAGGGCTATAAACAGTGAGACCCTGAAGACGAAAACTGAATTTTTGAGCAGTAAGAAAGCATGGCAATTACTAACGGAAGTCTCAAAAGGCTTCACAATAATTTTGAATGCGTGCCTGTAGACATTCATGTGCTGGAAGATGGAGGGAGGGAGAAAGTGAGAATGATACAGCACAGTGATGCCGTAAAATGCCAACAATTGAATTTTGGTAAAAAAAGTATATGGAAGGTGGTTGTACAATCCATGAGCCATAATTCTTGAAGTTAAGCGAGAGAAAGAGACACTGGCACTGACATTCCGAAGAGGATACACCCAAACACAAGGACCTGTAGAATCCCAGTGGCCCGAGGACAAAATTCACTGGACTTATGAGCATGAAGAAAACTTAGATTTAATTTTATTATTCGTCAAAAACAGTCTACTTTAAATTGTATGTATATGTATGTATACAAATGAGCATATATATGTGAGATGCCTACAGGGTCCAGAGAGGGCAGAGCTGGAATTACAGGTGATTGTGAGCCGTCTAATAATGTTCAGTTGGAAATAGACCTTAAGTCCTCTACAGGAGTAGTAAAGTACATGCTGTAACTGATGAACCACCTCTCCAGTCCCAAGCAGATTCTAACTGAAATAATCTTTACTTGATACTTGTCCTCAATTAACAAAATGCAGGCAATGAGCAATAGGAATCCTATCACCAATAGGGATCACATTCTTATCAAAATAATGTACAAATGATTCAGCATTTTCATAATATAGTACTTATACCCACTGCCAGGCTGCATTGAATACATTGTAAAAAGTATATAATAGCACAGTACTTATTTAATTACATTACATATTTTGTTTATATGAAAGTGTGTGTGTGTGTGTGTGTGTGTGTGACTAGAAATTTATCGAGTGTCTTCCTCAGTTGCTTCCCACCTCATTTTTGAGACAGGGCAGGGTCTCCCAGCTCAAGGACTACAAAGGGCCTGGCTTCTTAAGCAGGTGCTGGGGATCCAAACACAGGCACCACCCCAGCCCTTCACAAGTCTACTTTTTAAAGATTTCAGTAACTTTACTTCAAAATAACTGGTTCTTTGTAGTCTTGTGCATTTCACTTTGTTCATTACAAATGTTAGTCTGAAAACCAGACCATGAGCTTCAGAATGCCCAAAAGTTCTATGTTCAAAAAAATTAATTACTTGTCTATTGTATAGATCCCTCATTTCTTTTAAGTATGTCATAATGAGATAAAGTAAACTCTTCACTATTGCTTTGTTATAAAACAACTTACAAAGCAGTGTGAATTATTGACTATGAATATTTATCTAACTTTAGTTTCAAATTTCTCATAATTACTAGAGCAAATGTTATGAACATAAAACCTCCAACCTCACACAACTGAAGCATCCAATAACAAACAGATCTCTCTCACACACACACAAAAACATGCAGGCACAGTGCAACTATGAAAATGAATCACAAGGTGAAATGTCTTAGCTAAGTGCTTATATACCTTAAAAGAAAGCGGTTAGAAAGGCAATAGTATTTACCATCTCTCTTTTGGAAAGTTTTTTACAATTTCTTTTATGATCGGCTTATAGCAGGCATCCCTTTCTGTTTTCCCAGTTTCACTCCAGTCTCTTACAAACTGTTTCAACGTAGATTTTAACTTATCCATGTCAAAAGTAGATGCTGGCATAATCTTTCCATTGCCCTGTTTAAAGGGGAGAAAAAAAAGAAGAGTTATTTCTTGAGAGTCAATTTTGAATATGGTTAAATGAGCATTCTAAGATATAGGTGGATGAGTGGATAATTACTAGTCTCAAATGCAGCTTGAGATCCTACGTGAGAAAAATTTGGTGCTCTCACGTCTACCCTCAACAGAGGAAGATTCATTAGTCATAAACGACCACAAAGTGAAGAAGTCCTTATTTGGGAAAGGACCAGCACTGAGCTGCTATGGAGACAAAACATCCCACCCTCCAAGAGAGGGAAGAAACCCCTCCAACTCACTGATGGGCAGCACTGACAGCTCACATTGGACTGGCCAAACTGTATGTACCATGTGGATACAAAGAGACTTCAGCTTCTATTACTGCCAGTCACTAAAGATTTAACTGAAAATATTTTTATTTTAAAGTGAAAGATGAATACCAACAAATGGAAGATACTGAAAAAGCAACAAGGGAAACTAATATAGCTAGTAAAGTCTTTTAAGAAATTTAAGTCCCGTATACACTATAACATCCAAAATACCTTGTGAAAGCATCAATAATTATCTAGGTGTTTTAAAAAAAACAGTGAACAAATGCAATCTCTAGGATACTATTCTTCTAGCTCTTCACATGAAAACATCCTCAGTAAATTAGATGACCCACTCAAGACCTGGACATAAAGATGGTTACCCTAAAATGAAAAGAGATAATAAGTTTCACATACATCTTCTCCATATTCTTTATTTTCAAACATATGTATGCAGTCATTCACAATGGTCAGCAGTATTTCCTGATTATGATCAATGCATTTCCGGATATCGTCCAAGTGAAGAGGGAACCGAGGAAGCAGTTGCTGCTGGTTATGTGGAAGTGATCGAAACTGTCTCTCTGTTCTGTTCACTCGTTCGTGCATACTGGTGCTAAAACAGAAAAGGTGTTTTATTTTAACTGGCAAAAAGAATTGTCTCACCAGAGGCAACATCATTTTAAGATTGTCACCCTACAAAACTATTCCCCAGTTACACTGGACACTACCCTTATTCACCATCCTTTGACTTTTGAAAGATATAACCTTAATGTTTTTACTGCATGAGGAATATCAGAGCAATGAACAACAACCAAATGGTAAAAAACAAAACAAAACAAAAAAACAGGCATATGCACTAATAAGACAAAGATCAATTTACAATTTTTTATTAATTTCAATTTTCAAGTTAAAGGAGGATGGTTAGATTCCTATCTCATCATTGCTGTAAAAGTACATTAGAATGGCTCGGGTATATACTTCAGTGACAAAGTACTTGTTCAGCATGTTTGAGGCACCTAGGTTAAATCCCAGAATCAAAACAGTAATATGTTTTGAAACTAACTACATGCCAGCCAAGTTGAATTTAAAAAAATATAAAGCATATAATACAAAAGCATTATGCAAATGAATATTAAGATTCTGAAGAGTTTCAAGTATAACATTCACAATTTTCATTCCAAAGGTTTCCTAAGTCAAAAGGATACTTTGGGGACTGCTTATTCAGAAAATAAAAGAAGAGCCTTATATTTAGAACCTAAGTATATACTCACAGCTAAGTGTCATTTTACATCAACCAAACTAAATCTAGAAATTCAACTAGACCAAATATTGGTGAAATTGTGGAAAAATTAGAACATTTACCCACTAATGATAAATGCAGAGATGAGTACAACCATTTTGCAAAATAACAACATCCTTAGTAAAGCTTAATGTTCTATCTGCCCTATGATCTAAACATTATACTCCTACACATACTCAAGAAACGCAAGCCATCTTCACCACAGTGCTGTCAAATAGCAAACATAAAACCCCACAGACCACAGAAAGAAGGCCCATTATTGGTGGTCAGGATGAAGATATTATAGTTATACAATGGAATGCAGAGAAATGAACAAAGTATGGCTACAACTGAAATATAGATAAAAATCGAGAATACAAGTATTCGTTGAAGACAGCAAATTAAAGAACACATGATGTACAACTCCATTTTATATAACACTAAACAACACACTGTTTAGGAACCAAGCAAGTGTGCAAGGAAATGAAGTTTCAGGAACACCCTCTCTGAGGAAAAGGAACAGGACTGTGTGAGTGTGTGTGTGTGTGTGTGTGTGTGGTGTGTGTGTGGTGTGTGTGTGTGAGTGAGTGTGTGAGTGTGTGTGTGCGTGTGTGTGTGTGTGTGTGTGTGTGTGTGTGTGTGTGTGTGTGTGTTGCTCATAGCATTCACTGCAGCATTCTCTTTATTCTCTATATACAGATAAAACAAGCATTTCTTTAAAATGAAAAGGTAAGCACTTTCTGGGAAGAGTAATGAAGCACAGAAGAAGCTCTTGCTCTGACGCATGTCACAGTCATGCATGTGTGGCACTCTGCTAGGGAGGCCCTGAGGATGATGTAAGAGGCCACCTGTGCAGTGGTTACACAGACACTGCTTTTTTTACACTGGGGTCAGTATGACCATTCTCAAGTCTGTTACCACTATGTGATCCTTTTACACCCCTGAGTGTCTGATAAAACAAGGTAAAAATAATGATCATGGAAATATCATTTATTCAAATGTAGCAACTGCCAAGCATGTACATAACCCACGAGGTAGGTATAATTATAGTCCTCTTATAAAACCCACAGGGTAGGTATCATGACATTCCTGTTAACCTTCACTGTATATGAAAATTTAGTGAACATAGTTAAGCACTTGTTTTGATTTATATATAAAGTTCCTTTCCTTAAAAAAAAAAAAAGCCAAAAACATGTATTAAAGGTTGGTTCCTAGCTAGAAGTACTTTCTGGGGTTAGTTCTAGAAACTCTAGGAGGTAGCTGGAGGTGCTAGGTCACAGGGGCATCTTGTCCAGAGCCTCATTCTTTCTGCTTGCTGGCTGCCAGGATATCAGCTGCTCTGCTCAGGCATCTTTCCTCACAGCCAACTAACACCTTTGAAACTGTGCATCAAAACACATTTGCTGCCCCCTCAAATTGGTTACACTGGGGTTTATCTCAGTGACTAATACAGGTGACTAATACAGCATGCAAAATATAGCAGGCAGGTCTACTTTCTACATATTAACAAATCCACAGAAGAAATACCACAAAAAATGTAGAAAAGTAAAACTACTCAGGGGAAAGAGAGACAGCAATCTCTCTTCTAGAAAGAACTACTTCTAACCTTTCACATATAGCTATTAAAGACACTTGTAGCTGTTAAAGACAAATTCAAGACTGAATTCACAAGTTACATGCATTTGTGGAACATAAAGTGATATTTACCCCCACATATTCACCCCTCCACTCCTATCTGGTGGTTAACTACCACTCTGCTCCTCTATCTGTGACTGTTTAGATTCCACACATAACAACATGAGCTATCTGTCTTTCTGGGGCCTGGCTTGCTGTCATGTAACAGCTACTCCAAATGTGACAGCAGACCTCGGGAATAGTTTGAGATGTTCATCAGGCCAGACCTACAGCCTACTGAACTGGCCTCTGTCTTTAGCTAAGACTCACAGGTGATTCGGATATACCTCAGAGTTTGAGAGGCATTTATAATTCTTCGTCCTTACAGAAAGAATTTTTGTCATGTTGGATAAATGTTCTCAAATATAAAATGAATTAAAAAATGATTGTTTAACATTCTACTTTTTGCAACCAAAATTTACTAAGCTATTTCCTAACTGCTGGGCACTGAGTAGTGAATTTTTTTGTGTTTAATCTGTCTGTATTTACTATGGTTTGAAAGCAGCCACAAAAATGCACATTGACATTTAATCCTTATTGTGAGCTACAAAGGTTGGAAATGTACTTGAAGGTAGGACTTTGGGGAATACTAAAGTTAACAGGTACTGGAGGGGTAGCACTCTGGTCTGACGGGGTGTGGCTTCAGAAGGAACTAGAAACCCTTTCACCATGTGATGTCCTACACTACGGACTCTCTCTCCACTGGTAAGAAAGACCATCAAATGTGGTCCACAACCTTGAACTTCCCACCCTTTTACAGCTTTTAATCCTTACAAGTAAATTACTTAACTCGGGAGATTCACTTACAGCAATAGATGTTTAGGGGGAAAAAAGGAGGGGAGTATAAATTACCAAAGTATTATCAGGTCTGAGTAAGTACAAAATGATTTTCAGAAAGATTTTTTTAATCATTATCTATACAGTTCTAAAATTGCCTTAGTAAAGTTAGGCAAACAGAAGAGTGGCAACAATTTAAAGTTCACTGTAAGCAACTCAAATAGTCTTATTACAGACCTTTCTTCCTAGTATTCCTAGGCAATGGCTGTCCGGTCATCTTCTCACCACACCTCAAAGCCCACAACCAAAACCACCAAACTCACTTTTAGTACGATGTGTCCCCCTTTCTTAACAGCTAACACTCACGTCAGAAGTTACCACCTCCAAATGACTTTTCTCAGCCCCATAGTGCACAGGTCCCACCCATTATGGCTAAAGAGTACTGAAGGGCTTGCTACTGACGAATGTTGCTGCTATATGAATGCTGCCTCCGGGAAGGTCTCCCCAACCCTCCCCTGCCCTACTAGCAATCCTTCTGGGTACAACTTCCATCTTTATCCCTTGCCAATCTACACTTCAGTAAGAACAACAAACCGATGCTAGGCATGCTGACAGTCATGGAGTCTATCACCCTGGCAGCGGGGAGGAGGGAGGTGAGCCCTATTTACTTGTAAGCTGTATTTACTCAGACAACTGATAGGTGATTGCACAGAGGGATGAAAGGAAGCACATTCCTTAACCCCCAGTGATCTAGTTGTCTTCAGAGCTGCCAGAAGCTAGGCACTTTGGGAAATTCTTAAAGGGTTTCAACTGAAAGGGTGTAGCTTCATGAGGTACAACCCCTAGAAATGACCCCTCACAAGCAAAGCTAGAAAAGAAACAAAACAAGATAAACAAAAACATGGTGTGTGTGTGTGTGTGTGTCTGTGTCCTGGGCATTTTACCAGAGGTGAAAGCAGTTTGATCTTATGATGCTATAATTGGGATAACTTAGCTATCATGGAAACTACAAGCTAAGGTCAACTAGCTATTTGATCATTTTGTAGCCTCCTTCTAAAACCCAAGCCCCCTTGTTCACATAATGCTCGTGTGTGAAGCTGAACATTTGTAAAGACCTCACTGGCCAAATAGAGAAACCTTGGTGGCACTCTGCTTTTAAGGAATGTCTTTAAAGTCCAGATTCTTTGGTACATTCAGGAGTCAGAAGGCACTTCTTGCCCTGTGACCTTTAATCTAAGTCTTCTATTCCCTCTATATTCAAGCCCTAAGCCAAGCCCTCCAAAATGTGCTAGAACAGGACTGGTTGTCAGACTGACTGTGATGATGAAAAGACTTCTAGCCATACACTCTAGCACGGTACACTGGCAACAGGTGGTGGACACCTTGATATATGGCTAGTGAGACCGAGCAACTCAGTTTTAACTTCCAATTAATTTATGTCTGTCCAGATACGACTTAGTGGCTGCAGTATAGACTGTCAAAAAATGCTGGAAAGCAACACAAGGCTTGCTATACCCTTCACCTCTAAGTGGCATTTTAAAAACAATATTATTTATGCCACACTGTTGGGGAAGTCTTATGCTAATAAAGCACTGTCTGGCCAATAGGAATCTAGATAGGTGGGGCTAGGAATCCAGGAGGATTCTGGGTAGGAGAAACACAGGAGAGTCAACATGTGACGCCATGGGAGTAGGACACCGGGAACTATTCTCCGGTAAGAAACATACTTAGATTAACAATTATGGGGTAATTACTTAAGGCAGAGCTAGCCAGTAAGAGACAAACAAGGCCAACAGCTTCATAATGAATATAGCCTCCTGTGTGTTTATTTGGGACTCATGCGGATCTAGAGACAGGCTGGCGCGGCAGAGCCCAGGCGACTGGCGGGGGATAAACCAAAGCGGCTAGCAAAAGAAAAAGCTTCTCTTAACATAATGGTTGTCAGGAGTGGGATTGAATTTCCACGCAAAACAACAAAAGCTTTAAAGGAATTTTAGAAACAGAAGAACGGAGAGAAGCATAGATTTTGGTAGCAGCATTTTCTCAGGTGTGCTCTGTTTTGCTAGCAACAAGCCGAGATTCACGTGGCTCGCTTACCGGAGTCTTCCTGACTCGGCATAAAAAGAAAAAGAAAAAAAAAAAAAAACCAACAAGGTTGTTTTAAGAGACTCTGCTAACAATTAAAAGGTGTGTACGTACAGCTGGAAGTGGCAGCTTTTGCTGGATGTCAGCATGGACTGAGGCGGTAAGCTGCAGTCATGCTTACGCCCGCCATCTTGACGGAAAAACCGGCAGTTTAAAACAGCCACAGTTTTACAGATAAGACACGTGGCCAGAAAAACATAAAGATTTACAGTAAAGTCAGACTTGGATGAACAAAACCTTTAAAGGTTTACAGTGTGTTTAAAAATATACGTGAGATTGAGAGAGAAAATGAAACTGCAAAGTGGTAAATAAATACAAAAGCTGGCGTTGTGGTGGCGCACGCCGGTAGGAATTGCTCCAGAGGCAGAGGCAGGCGGATTTCCAAAGAGACACCCTGTCTCAGAGAAAAAGAAATAAAAGTGAAAGAAATAAAGTAATAATAAATAAATAAGCCACGTAAAGATGGAAAATACACAGAGAGTCTGGATATTGTACGCTATTGTGTTTTTCAATTTTTTAATTGCTCAGGAAGGAACAGCTGCTAAAGTACACTTGATTATAAATGCTGCTAAATTAATCCAACTTCTATCTTTTGAAAATGACTTGACTTCAAAATTTAAGTATAAGGATATGTTACTCGGAAAAGGAGTTTTTGCTTATGTTTCTACAGAAAATGAAAAGCTGAGAATTCCTTCCAGGCTTCTGTGGTTTCACGAACCAAGACCCCAGGAAGCAGTGGACCAGGTGTTCCAACGACTGAGACAGTTAAGATGATGGAGCTTTACAGACCCCGAAAATACGGACTTATACAGGTTTCTGAGTTTTGTCATGATCCCCATGGTATAAACAGCGCCCCCTTCCAGCAGGAAGCAGTTTGGAATGAGCGACGTCCCAATTCCCATCTTGTTTATAAATCTTTGTTTTCATTTAAATGGGATTGTTTATAATTGGCTAATGATCACAGCCAATCTCCTTTTAATGGTAAAAAAGGGAATTATGGTATGGGTATTGTTTTTCATTTATTGAGACAAAATCAAGGTCAATTTTGTGATGCTTATATTTCTCCTCTTGATTAAGTATTGTGCTTATAATGATCTTTTACAACGTAATGCATAATTAAATACAGATTATAGATAGTTACTTATAATAGAATTTCTAGTTACATAAGTTAGGTTTCTAGATATACAGAAATATATTTGAGATGGACAGTCTTCAAACCTCTCAAAGACCTTCAGAACATGGCATTTAAAATGGTTTAGGGTTTTTCTTGACAATGAGAAATGTCTGCTCCTGGCAGCACCAATTACGTCTGAGAGGAAGATGGGCATCGAAGAAACTTGTTATGGAGTTTGCTTTCAACATGGCAAGATTAGCCATTTGGGCAAGAAACTGCTCTTGCCTAGACTGTTTGACTATTGTTGTATAATCTGGACATGCAGGACCCATAGGAATGTGACTGCTGAACTAAGTCTTACAGGGTTCCTGCTGCATGAAAGAGTCTACGGGACTTTCTGCAGGACACAGAAAAATGACTGACAGACTGCCAACGCAGATGGACAGTTTGAAATCTCCTGCTTTGCTGAGAAGTGTTCCAGACACATTGTGGCCTATGGGCTGAAGATGGATGCCCCAACGTTACAGAGGAACTTCGGGTGACTGTCCAGGCAGTAAGATGTCTCTGTCAATCCTAGTGTTTATATATTATCCTTCTGTGGTCTTTGATGGAGTTGAAGACAGATAGTTATAATTATAGTTTTCTTTAGTTATGATAAAAGATAAGCTACATATAGGACTTTGGACTCACAAGGATGGGATGGATGATATTTTCTTTAAATCTTGCTAAAATATTGTAACTATGTTCTTACTTGATAACTGTTCTGTTATATACAATTTGACTGTGTTAAAGTTAAGACCTTTCTTTTTGTTTAAACAGAAAAGAGGAGATGTTGGGGAAGTCTTATGCTAATAAAGCACTGTCTGGCCAATAGGAATCTAGATAGGTGGGGCTAGGAATCCAGGAGGATTCTGGGTAGGAGAAACACAGGAGAGTCAACATGTGACGCCATGGGAGTAGGACACCGGGAACTATTCTCCGGTAAGAAACATACTTAGATTAACAATTATGGGGTAATTACTTAAGGCAGAGCTAGCCAGTAAGAGACAAACAAGGCCAACAGCTTCATAATGAATATAGCCTCCTGTGTGTTTATTTGGGACTCATGCGGATCTAGAGACAGGCTGGCGCGGCAGAGCCCAGGCGACTGGCGGGGGATAAACCAAAGCGGCTAGCAAAAGAAAAAGCTTCTCTTAACACCACACTACTTTTCCAGAGATTTGGAGTGTTTCACACAGGCAATACATACAAATAAACATTTTAATGAAAACTCCCCCACCCCCACACTCAACTGTTAAAAGAGATGAAAGCATGTCACAACTAGAAAATGCACACAGCATCCTTGTCTGTACTACAACACTCAAGACGAGTTCCAGATCAAAGGTCCTCTCCCCCAAGCTAGGGGCCCATCCAATACATACTAATAAGCACCAATTCTTGGCTCCAATATATTAAAACTGAATACAATTATCCAAGTTTAACTACTCTCTACTAGATGCCCAGTGCTTCCCAAATTTTCTACATTTTTCAAAAGTAAAATGTGCCACTAACAAAATAACCCCTCCTTCTGAGTTTAATTAGTAAATTATTTCATCAAAATCTATGATTCAAGAAACAGTCTGTCGAGAGCCTAGAAGTGTAGCTAAGCAGTAGTGCTCCCAACTGGAAAGCTTGACCTCGAGTTCCTGCCACAATGTAACCAGCAAATCCTAACTAACTACTCAATTTAAACCAGTAACAAAGTAATGTAACCACTAGCTAAAACTGGAGCGGGCTGCAGAGAAGTGTCCTTTTTTCGCTACTATGTTTTATTCGTTAAAAATAAAGAGCTCCAACTACATTGCTAAGAGCCGTGACATAAAAATAAGACTCAGTTCCTGCCCTTGAGGGGGAGGGAGTCACAGCTGGACAAAAGAATCACATATTTAAACAACTGTAATAGCGCGAGGGTCCCATCTACGATGGTTTGACCTGCACAAGAGGTCATGCCTGTCTTTCTGGTTCCAACTACAGGCTCAGAATACAGCTACCAGTGGCCTCTATCACTTACCAGAATAAATGAATTATCTTTGCCCCCAAACCCAGGAGCACGAAGACCTTTTCAGACCTGCACTTGCACGCTCTGACTAGGCTACCTGAACACCTATCTGGACGAAACGCTGAAGTTAGGAAGTTGGATTACGAATGGGACGCATACTTAAGGGATCCTACAACCACGCCTAGCCCACGAAAGGAATTCCATACTTACTCGCAGACTCCAAGAACATAAAGCCAGCTCCGGGTGCCTGCTCTCTTTCCCTTACCGAGCTGCACATTCCGGAATTCCGTGATCACTTCTACCCTTCACCATCCGCTTAGTGCCACTCAGCAGCACCCCTCAGTTCTCTACAGAAGTGCACGCTCTTTCCGGGCGGCTCCGGGGAAAGTGGGAAGCCGTGCCCTAGGAGCGCGCGCGCAGGTGACCGTGAGCTCCGCGAAGCCGCCACGAGGCAGGGGGACCGGCTCAGGGCGCGCCTTACCCGTAGTAGCGGAACGCGTTGATGACCTTCCAGAAGTGCTCGCGCTCCAGCCGCTCCTCGTCCTCGGCGGTGCTGCGCGCGGGGACCCCGGCAGGCGCGGCCGAGCCCAAACGCCCAGCGGAGAACTGCACCTCCACCTCCTCGCCGCGCCCGCCGTCCTGGGCCGGCTGAGCCGCGGGCTGAGCGCGCCGCCGTCGCTGCATCGCCGCCGCGGCCCACGATCTGGCCCGCCTGCGTCTCACCGCGCCCGAGTGCGCGGTGGCGGACGGCCGGGCCTCCTCTAGACGGCGCCAGCCGCGGCCACGGCCCCCGCTCGCGGCGCGCCCCGCCCCCGCCGCCCTCAGGCCTCCATTCGCGCTGCGCTCCGCCAGGGTTTCGGGACTCGCGCACTCGGGGCGCGCACGCGCTGACAACGAGGCCACAAGCCGCGCGCGGCCGCGGCCGCCCTCGCTCATTCGCTGCCGGGCTTCCGCTACGACGCGCTGACGTACGGTGACGCTTAGAGGACGGGGCTAAGGGCCAGGTGGAGGAGGAGCCCCTTCTCTGGGGGCGTGGCTTGAGCAGAGGGCACCTGTGAGAGCCGAGTGGGCGGGGCCGCGAGCCTGACTGGCTGGCTGGAGTAGGGTGGGGTCTGAGACTAGAAGGGAAAGGAAAAGTAGATTTCCCTAAATTGATTCCGAATGTTTTAACTTTAGAAACTCAAAAAGGGAAGGTCTTACGTTCCCCTTTTAAACTCTTTTGATTTTAAGTGGATTCCCTTTAAGCACCCCAGGAGCTGGGAGTCACAATGACCTGTGGTTAGCTTCGTATTTTCATGATTTAAGTTAACTGAAATGAAAACAATGCTAAAATCTTTATTTGTATGCTAAACTTACAGCTTACATGAGAATTCTCTAAAATTTTAGTGTATTTTCTTTTTTAAAAATATTTTTATGTATATGTATGTGGAATGGGGGTAATGCCGCGTGTGTGGGCGTGCTTACAGAGGCCAGAAGAGGCCTTTGAGCCTCCCTGGAGCTCAAGTTACAAGCAACTGTGATTTCTGGGAACCACACTCCCACCTTGGGAAGAAGAGTAAGCATTATCAACTGCTGAGTCACCTCTCCAAACCCCAATTTTTTTTCAATGGAAACGTTACCTCTATTGATAGTTTAGGATTACCAGAGACAACTCTAAAAATAGGGGCAACAAGTTCCCAAACAATGAAGTGTAAAATTTCAGCGCACGAGCTAATAGCCTTCACCAGCATCCTGTCCCTTCGGCACTATCTTCCAGCCTCTTAAGCCTTCTCTAGGACAGCCGTATTACCTTAGGTTCCAGAAAACTCTCCTTCTATGCCCTCACCCACATTCAAAGGCATGTTTGGCATACACCATATCCAACTTGTAATCTAGGGGAGCCTGAGTCTCCACGATGCCTGTGATCTTGCCCAGAATGCACACAGCTCATTTTGTCTTCTTTAGATCTCCACTAGGTCACGGACATATGTAGCCAGAGGGAAGCAATGTGAGGGTAGTGTATCAGGTTGGCCTGGAATTCTGTTGGATAAATATTTAGGGCTCCATCAAATCTGAGAAAAGCAGTGTTGGAAACGCCATTGGATGGTGAGGTGGTTCCGGTCAGTGTAGTTTGGGTCTTGGTTATCATGGTTTCTCTGACAGATGTTTCATATCTTCCATGAAGGCAATTCAGAGTGCTCTAGGAAAGATGGGTTGTGATCAATGGAAAACCCTAAGCTGCCATAATCAAGAAAGTCATCCCATTACCAGGGAGATGAACCAGAATCAAATCAGTGTTTCCAAACAAGTCTTTTTCAAAAGACTTGTGAGCTGGTCAGTCATCTTGTAAATTCAGTCCACAACAAAGTCAATGACCTCCCATGGTGTTATGTCTACAGGCATAGTCACTGGCACCATCTTCCTTGCCTGTGATGAGCTACTCAGGATGGAAAAGCTAGTAACAGGTATTAGTGTGAACTTCATCAATGATTGTGAGCTCCAGGTCTACAAACACTGCCCTGAGCACACACTTTCCAGTGCCTGTCTCCCCAAAAAAAGTGAATAAGGTCTCCTGAGTAGTGGTCCTGTCACTTGGAATATTTTCTTTAGGCTGGATACTATGTCCTAGGTGGTAGAACCCCCAGCAGGCATTGCCCATCTGGACCTTGGCACTCAAAATCTGTGCCTTGTAGCACTCCACAACAGCAAAGGAAATTGGTGGAGTGTGTGTGTGTGTGTGTGTGTGTGTGTGTGTGTAAGAGTAAATAGTTGAGGCTGCCCCCTAGAAGTTGGTATGTAGTCCTGGCTGCCCTAAAACTCAGAGATCCCATGGGGGGTTGGGGGGTGGTACATGCCTTTAATTCCAGCTCTAGGGGGCAGAGATAGGCAGATTTCTAGGTCTCTGTGAGTTCAAGGCCAGCCTGGTCTACAGAGCTAGTTCCAGGACAACCAATGCAACACAAAAAAACCCTGCCTGGAAAAAGGAAAACTAACCAAACAAACAGAAAAACATCAAAGATCTACCTGCTTCTGCTTCCTAAGTATTGGGATTAAATATCCAAACCACCTCATCCTGCTTTCAGTCTGTTTCTTAAGAGTAACACACTAACATGGGGCTCAAACTTCTCATGAAGAATGCAAAGGAGTACAAATATAATGTCTTCATCATAGTCACTTATATCCCTTCTCCAGACACAATCCACTAATTCCTTGCTTGTTCTTCCAGATTTCTATTTAATTCCCATTTTTCATAAACACTGGTGTTTTGAAATTATGTGTAAGTCCTTATACCATTAGCTATTACTAATTCTGCACTCATACACACATACACAACATAGATATATAAATATGTATATATCAGAATATTGACTAGACCAGAATGGCCTAATTGATACAATTCAGAATGCCATTGGTAAAGACAATCACTTACCTACTTTTCAACTTCCTGGGAAATAAACATTTTGAATTTCTTTATGTAAAGAATAGCTACTCTCTGTTAAAATACAATGCGTTACCAAGGTGCTTGAGTGTAAACACAGGAGTGATTTGCACATAAGGAAACCTAGGGATCACATGGGGTTATATCAGCAAGCTCCTGGCACTGTCTTATCTACCATGCATGCCTTATTTTTGTCAGTCTTCCTTATGACTCTGGCTGCACTTATATTAGAATATGATGTAACCTAACACTCATCATTTACATTTTTTCAGACACTTTCCCCCTAATTTATTACTTCAGTTTTGTGAAGGAGGAGGCATTACCTTCCCCTTAACAGGTAAAGAAACAGATTCGTATGAATCAATTTTTCTGCCCTAAACACATGAACCACTAGTCTGAGATTCTTATTCTCTTTATGTCTTTTTTGTTGTTGCCGTCATCGGTATTCATATATTCTTTATTTTTAATATTTTCACAGATAATGAGGTGCATTAAACTTAAGAATATAATTTTCTCATGAATTTATGTGTACTCCTTTTTAATTTATTTTTTAGTTTTGTTTTACATTCCAACCACAGTTCTCCCTCCCACCCCTCTTTATCCCCCCACCTCCCTCCCATCCCACCTCCTATCCATTCCTTCACTCCTCCCAAAGGGTAAGGGTTCCCATAAGGAGTTAACAAAGTCTGGCAAAGTAAGTTGGGGCAGGACCAAGCCCCTCCTCGCTGCACTAAGACTGAGCATGGCATCCCACCATAGGGAATGGACTCCAACAAGCTAGCTAGTGTACCAGGGATAGATACTGGTCATATTACCAGGGGCCCCTCAGATAGCCCAAGCTTCACAGCTGTCTCCCACATATGGAGGGCCTACTATAGTCCCATGGAGGTTCCACAGCTGTTGGTCCAGAGTTCATGAGTTCCCAGTTGTCTCCGTAGATTTACCAGACAAGATCTTGACCTCCCTTGTTGATATATTCTGCATCTGGTTCCATCAATCACTGGGTGGAGACTCTAAGATGATAGCTGGGGTATTCAGCAACCTGATTACAGGGGAAGGCCAGTTCAGGCATCCTCTCCACTATTGCTAGGAATCTTGTTGTCTTTTTTCATGAATGTGTTGTCTCCTACTTTTTACACTTTTGAGCTGAAGGCCACTAGGAGCTGCTGGGTGTAGGGTTTCTCCTTTTCATGTTCTCAGTTCTACAGCTTGTTTAGAAACTTACTTCACTTGAATTATTTGTAGAATGGACAGAGTATCTTTTTGTTCCCACTGTTTTTTTTTTGTTTGTTTGTTTTTCGAGACAGGGTTTCTCTGTGGCTTTGGAGGCTGTCCTGGAACTAGCTCTTGTAGACCAGGCTGGTCTCAAACTCACAGTGATCTGCCTACCTCTGCCTCCTGAGTGTAGGTATTAAAGGTGTGTGCCACCATTTCCCAGTATGTTATCTTATTTATAGTGTTGCTGGGATAAACGCATGTGATAGATTGACCATGTTTGGCCTGTTATCTCAATAAATGCATTTTCTTACCTCTTCTTAGAGCCTTTTAGAATACATTTTCAACTTTCTTTAAAAAACTTTCATTTCCAGTTAAAGCAACCAGACTTATTTCAGGACGTTGAGTCCCCAATAGTCTAATTATTCATAAGAACCACACGTATGGCTGGGGAGATAGGCTCAGTGGTTAAGAACATTTTCTGCTCTTGCTGAGGACCTGGGTTTAGTTCCAAGAAAAAAAATTTCTTTTCCTTAAGACTTCCTTGACCTAACTTGTTTGTAATGATTTTCCCCTATGGGCATCTTCCCAAAACATGAAACCAGCCACGGGGGCTAGAGGCTATGGATTGTTTTCATCAGGTCATGTCCAACCGGCCATGGTAGTGGTGCATGCCTTTAATCCCAGTACTATGGAGGCAGAGACAGGCAGATCTCTGTGAGTTCAAGGCCAGCCTGGTCTGCAGAGAGAATTCCAGAGCAGGATCCAAACCTACAGAGAAACCCTGTTTTGGGAAACCAAAAGAAAAAAAAAAAAAAAGGATGGGGGTCATGTCCAGGAATAACTGAAAGGGGTAAACTAAACTCAAGAGCTTCTAATAATTTAGAAATAAAGAAACCAGACCCTCACTCAGCCCCCTGCTTTAGCAGCCATGACAGGCTACAGAAAAGGCATGTAGGCCTCTGACCCAAGAAAACTCCAGATCCTCTGGCCTCCCCGGAGGCCAAAACTGAACACAAAGAAACTTCAGATGCTGCCCCCCCCCCCAGCCTCCTAGATGCTTGGTTCCTGGGAACTGTTTGGCCACCAAAGAAACTCCAGGGGGGACCAAAACTTCCCCTGTAGTCTCCAGGATATAGTTCTGAAAACTGTTGGTATCTATATACAACAGGCCTCCTGCAAGTAACAAGACAATGCCATAGAAACCACAAAATGTTCCCTCTCAGCACTGACCAATAAAAATAATTGGTACTCAGGTATTTCATGCCAAAATATGACTTTGAGAAATGCTTCTAATTGTTCCTAAATGTCAACCAATCAGAAACAAACCCGTACCTACTCATGTAATCCTGTAACTTTTGTCTATAAAACCTAACAGTAGACAGGGAACTTCACTCCCTCTGGAGGCTGCTATGTCATCTTGCCAGAGAGTGTCCCTGTCATGGTTGGATGAACAATCATTAAACCTTTTTTTTTGCAGTTTAGTGGTTCTGTCTTTCTGGTGGTTTCTGGGGACTTTGCAAATTGGGCACAACATAACTAAAATAAGCACAGTCAAGGTCATGTCCAGGAATAACCAAAAAGCACACTTCCACTTTCTTCAGTTGTTCTACAGAGATGTTAAGTAAACTCTTAAAGTGCCTTCATTTGTCTGCTGTTGATGATAATGTGGAGTGACAGGCCGCCTGTTCTGGGAAGGTGCAGAGAAGTGTGATGTGTGATGGTTTCCAAATTCTGCCTCTACTGAGACAGAAAACTTGCATCTATTAGTTACATGAAGCAGATTCATTATGCACAGATGGGCAGCCTGGAATTCATTATGAGATGGTCCTGCCAAGACTCAGGAAGGTTACCCAGGGAGGCTGGAGTCTCATTTGTGCATGTGTCATCTACATCACAGCTGAGAGTCGCAGGAAGGAGACCACCCTGGCTTTTACACCCTGGGCCACTAGGCTAAACCACTGAAGACCTTCTTGTTTCTAGGGAACAGGAACAGAGATGAGACTTATTTCAGGATGCTGAGTCCCCAGCAGTGTCATCATTCATAAGAACCACAAGTAAGGGCTAGAAGTGGTTCAGAGCATGTTGTGTTCTGCTCTTCCTGAGAACCTGAGTTCATTTTCCAGAACCCATGGTGGCTTTCAACTATCTGTCATCAATGCCTTCTTGTGATGTCTTCTGACATATATACACGCAGGCACATACACACAATAAATTTTAAAAAATATAAGTGAGAAAGGGGTGAGGTCCAGGTCCATCTAAGGTCATGTGGGGAACTGCTCAGCAAAGGCTCTAGTAGTTCCTTACAAAATCAAACACTTACTTACCATGAAACCCAGTGTTAACATGCATAGATGCTCATCCAAGAGAATGAAATCACATGTGTACACAAAAGCATGTGTAAGGTCAGTACAATAGGCTGTATTTATTTAAACCTATATGTAACAAATCTAAAGCCAGGACCAAAAATAAGCCAATAAGCCAGATGTTCTTCAGCAGGTGAAAGGAAAGATAACAGGCAAAGCTCAAAGAAACTATTCAGAGATGTGTTTCTTTCAAGAAAATTTACAGTAAACATAGCTCACTGTTTTGTTCTCTCTCTCTCTCTTTCTCTCTCTCTCTCTCTCTCTCTCTCTCTCTCTCTCTCTCTCTCTCTCTCTCTCTCTCTCTCATCTCTCTCCTGACTCCTGCCTCACTCAGATTTTCAGGATGTGTGGAAGTCAGATTCTTTGCCAGAATATAACACAAATGGCCAATGGCCTTTAGCTCAAGTCCCAGTTTGAGAATTTCTGTTCTTTTCTGAAACCTGCTGAGCCAGGCATTGTTGTACATATTGCCCAGCATTCAGGAGGCTGAGATAGGCAGATGCTAATTTCAAGGCCAACTGGCACATGCTGCAAGACAGGGTCTCAACAAAAATTTTTTTTCAGAGCTGAGGACCAAACCCAGAGACTTATGTTTGTTAGGTAAACACTCTACAACTGAGTTAAATCCCCAACCACTCAAAAAAAAAACTCAAATTGTTACAAACTGTATGCTGTGTTTATGTTTTGAGTACTAAGTGCAACAGCTGGTAAACATATTAAAAGTATGATTGTGAGTATTTAAGACAAAGAACAGAGCCTGTAGCTATGATAGGCTGCTCAAGTATGCCTTATGGTGGCATCTGTGTGCTGTCTTTGACCTATAGCTAGCTGGTTTTGCAAATAGTTCTTCATTTCAGTCATGAGCTCTAGGCTGAGGATGTCATAATTTGGCCTTAAAATAATGAAAATATACCATGGGACTGAGCATAGGTCTCCGGGAAATGATCATATGGACCTTAAGTTGATCATGATAGTCTAAGAAACCAGTATCCAGACTGCAACTGTGTACACACAAGATGGGGTCTCAAAACAAAGTGAAACAAACAAAAGCAAGTGTGTCTAATCTTAGGAATCAGCACTATAGGATAGGATATGGGTGTCAATTGTGTGTACAAAGGGAGAAAAAGCAGGAAGACCATGGAAGGTACACGCTGTCGGGGGAGGCTAGCACCAGGTACGGTCATCTTCCTGCTCTGTTTCCTTTGCTTGGCTGTTAGATCAGAGAGAAGATTCTTCTTCATTTTAGGAAACCAGAGATCCAACATTCCAATCTGAAAACCAGGGTACCTGTAGCTGATGGGGGCACAGATGGACATTATGAGGACTTTTGTGTCCCAGCAATAAGTCAGTCATTTCCCTGTGGGATTAGAGCGCATCATTGTTTTCCCAGCTGAGCAACAGAGACAGTGTCTATAAAGAATTTTCTGAGATAATCCTTACCTCAGTGCCACAAGATATTGATATGATATGTGTATTTGGTGGATGGTGGGTGATTGATGGGAGATGTCATTCTGTAAATATGTTTCTATTAATGGTTGATGAATAAAGCACTGTTGGCCAATAGGAAGCAGGACAGATGGGTCTAGGAGAAGAGGATTATGGGAAGTGTAGGCACAGAGAGACTCGATGTAGACTGCAATGGAGTAAGAGGCCCGAACCTTATCTCTGGTAAGATAAGACCACATGGAAATACTTAGATGTATAGACATGGGTTAGTAATTAAGACAGAGCTAGCCAATAAGAAGCCCTAGTCAATGACCAACAGTTTGTAATTAATACAGTGTCTCCTGTGTTATTTGGGGGCTGAAGTGGCGCTGGAGGGAAAGAGTACATGTTACAGATGGGATTATTCTCATTTTGTGGCAGCTGCCAGGCATACTTCTGTTTCTCTCTCCTCCCTTCTCTCCCTCTCTCTTGGCACTAAGCCAACACACATGATTAATATTTGAGGCAATTATATCTTTTTTCTTCTGCTTTTTTCATCCACATTTTGAAATAACTCCAGACTTGAGAAAAGTTGGAAGAGTATGTAGCACAGAGTTTTCCTTACCTTTCACATAGTGCCATCTTTTATTGATGTGTTTGGATTGTTTTGGTTTACAGTTCCAGGGAGGTACGGTGCATCAGGACAGGAGGAGCAGGAGGCACATGGTCACACTGGATGGAAGTCAGGAAGCAGAGAGTGAACAGGATGTGGAACCCTGCTATAAAACTTAAATGTCACTAGGTGGTGGTGGCGCACGCCATTAATCCCACCACTTGGCAGAGGCAAGTGGATCTCTGTGAGTTCGAGGCCAGCCTGGTCTACAAGAGCTAGTTCAGGGCAGCCTCCAAAGCCACAGAGAAACCCTGTCTCAAAAAACCAAAACCAAAAAAAAAAACAAAACAACAATCCCAAAAACCAAAAAACCATAACAACAACAACAACAAAAAACTTAAAGGCCCGTCTCCAATGTTCTACTTCCTCTAGCAAGGCTCCACCTGTGGTTCTTCAACCTTCCAAAACAGCATCACTATCTGGGGACCCAGTTTTCAAACACATGAGCTTATAGAGGACATTTCACATTCAAATCACAACATTTTGCCCCTGGGCCTCTACAGCCTCATGGTTATCTCATAAAGCAGAATGAACTGTTCCAATTTCCAATGTCCCCACAGTCTTCAACAGCCCCAACACTATTTAAATGTCTAAAGTCTCTTCTGAGACTCAATGATTTCTTAATTGTGATCCCTTATAGAAACCAAAAAACACATTACATCCTTCCAATATGCACTGGCAGTTTTCACCCAGTACCCTCTAATGCTAATACATGATGATAGCACAATGATCAAAATAAGAAACTACTACAATAGAACTAAGCTACAAAGCTATTTCCCCATTACTGTTCCAATGTTCCCGAATCCAAGCCAGGTCCGGCACTGTACATAGCTGTCATGTCTCTCTAGTGTTCTCCAGCCAGGGACAAGTTCTCTGCCTTTCTTTTTCTTTCTTGACTATGACACTCTGGAAGAAGACTAGCCTGTTCCATGGGATGGCTATAGTTTGAGTTTATCTGAGGTCTTTTCATGATTAGATTGCAGGTATACATTTTCAGCAGCTGCACTACAGAAGTGACAACATTCTCAGTGAGTACAGGAGACAGTGTGGTGCCAGCAGTGGTAGGCTTCCAATCAAGCAAGAAGCACAAATCACACTACAATGTAGTAACAATAATCTTGCAACTAGGACAGACCTGGCAGAAGATTATCAATGGAACTATTCGTTAAGAGGCTGTTGATATTGATTAGGCAATGGATAATAAGGGTTACCTGGTCCAAGGCTGGAGGACAGGGTTGAAAGTTGGAATATGAGACTACTAAGGTAAAAATAAAGGGATTCGGGGAAGGTTCTGTATATGAAGAAAGAGACAGGAACCGAGGAGAACTGAGACATTAGGTAGATTGATTCCATTACCAACTGGCAGTCAGGATTTTTGCACTAAGATTAAAAAACAGTATTAGTTTGTCATGGTGTCACTACAACATGAAACCACTTGCCTATTCATGAAACAGATAAGAAAGAGAGGCAGAAAAAGATGTCCTACCTTCTGCCAACTCATTTCCTAGCTTCCGTTTGGGATCTTCAGTATCTTTGGACCATGTGTGTGGACTGTGGAGGATCAGACAGAAGCTAAGCATGACACTGTCACCCTTATCATCTGCATAAAAAAGGAACCTTCACAGACACTTGAAAAATACTGTTGAATGGTTCTAGAAAGAATTTTCATGTCCGAGTCATCAGTTAGGGACATTCGCAGAAGAGCATGGTGAGAGTAGTAAATTCTTCCATGGCCTATGAGATATCCACACTGAACACCTCTGTCCATCATAACCCAGGACACCAAAGCCAAGGCATCATGTGGGCTTCTGATTTAAAGGTCTGATGTATGGTTGGGGCCCCACTGGCAGGATGGCCCGGGTTTCTAGGTGGTGAACTGGCACTGGATCTTGGCACACTGGTGGTCCTGCACTTGGCCACACAGCCTTTTTCATGCAGGATAGACTGAATGATTTTCTCCAGAATGAGCATTCCAAGAGAACAGGGATGAAGCAGCTTTTGATAGAATGGCATGGCTGGGTTAAGATTCCCTTGGGTAGCAGGAGTGAGAGAACTCAATAGACTGCACAGGCTGAATAACCCCCTTCCAAGGGTTGAGGACCACTCTTACATCAGCTCACATCCTAGAGAAAATATACTATCCACTCCACCCATTCGGTTTTACAGAATGAAACTGATTACAATGAGTATAACGAGAAGCTATGGAGGGGAAAGAATCATAATTTAAAAAGCAGCAAGGGTTACAAGTGACTCACCTCTAGCCGTAGTGAAAGGCTTAGATGTGTCTAATAAACTTTTAAGGGCTTTAACACTTGCTGGGCCTCTTAGACGTTCCCGGATGATTTCATAACATGCTATTTGATCTTGAGAACAGTTTTAGGTCTGTAGGACGGAGTCAAGAGGGTTGGGATTGAAAGATGGATCTAATAATAGCAAACACTCACCAGGTGCCAGGCTTTTGATGACACTCTGTATCAACCTGTAATCAATTTCATCAGGCACTACAGAATCATTTCATTTTTGTGCTACGTTCAAGTTTCTTTAGCACAAATGTGCTCAAGCTCCAAAGTTAAATACAAACACGGGGTTATCCTTCTCTGTTCTATGTAGTTTCTATTCACTTCTATGAACATTTCATTGAAAATGTAAGGTCCAGGCAGTACATATCATTTCTATTAATGGCTCCAGCTGGTTAGTTACTCCTCTAACTTCCAGTTTCATCTGAATGGGAAGCCAATCATGGTTTGCAACTGCAGCAAATAAACACTACTTCTTCATGTGATTTGTGATTTACTGTAAGCACTAACAATATAATCTGAGATAATCTTATATAAATGTTAACTTTACTTTTAGGTGGCTTCTGTGGTATTACAACACAAGCACAGAATATTAAAACATGGGAAGGTGTCTCTGAGATCTCAGATTTTAACTATGAAACTTTTTTTTTTTTTTTTTTTGGTTTTACGAGACAGGGTTTCTCTGTTTTGGAGGCTGTCGGTCCAGCCTGGCCTCGAACTCACAGAGATCTGCCTGCCTCTGCCTCCCGAGTGCTGGGATTAAAGGCGTGCGCCACCAACGCCAGGCTTTAACTATGAAACTTTTAATAGTGTACAAAATGGGTAGCTAAGGATGGCGCTGGTGTAATTGAAATGTGGGCTCAGGAAGCTGGGTGTCTTAGTCACTGTTCTATTGCTGTGAAGAGACACCATGACCACGGGAACTCTTGGGAAAGAAGACATTTAATTGGGGGTTTAATTACAGTTTCAGAGACTTAATCCATTAACATCGTGGGAGAAAGCATGGGAACAGGCATGTATGGCACTGGAGTAGAAGCTGAGGGCTACTGTAGCCTGGTCTGGAGGTAGAGGGCAGTGGGGTCGAGGGGGAGGAAAAGAGAGGAAAGGAGGGAATAAAAGAGAGAAAGAGGATGATGAGGAGAAGGAGGAGAGAGTGGGGGGCTGGCTTGGGTTTTTGAAACCTCAAAGCCCACCCCCATGGACACATTTTCTCCTACAAGCCCATACCTACTGATCCTATTAATCCTTTGATCTACTCCCTAATGACTAAGCATTTAAATATATGAGCATATGGGGGCCATTCTTAGTCAAACCATCACACTGGGCCACAGAGTTTGGGGACTTGTCTGACCTCATAAGAAAGGATAGCATAGTGGTTAAGAGTGTCACTACCTGAACCGTAAAAGTTGGATTCTCAGTCTGTTTCCTGTGAGTGCTGGAAGCATGACTTTGGGTAGTTACTGAACCATTTACAGTCTCATAATCATATGTTTGCTTAAACATTAAATAATGTATGCTACCTTTCATACAGTTAAAATATGATTTGTAGAATATAAAGCAAACATGTCTCAAATATTCATTTAAGAAATTAATAATCTAGCAAGATAGCAAGGCTAGCTCAAAGAGAATTAGAGACAGAATTTGTGGCTTCCGTAAGAAAAGTACTAGAATAACATTACTTTAATATAAATCTGTTCCCTGTATAGAGCAATAAACTGAGCTTTTAGGGTTATTATCTCTACCAGAAAAATAATTTGCATTTCTGCCAGCCAAATTTATTTGGCTTCTTTATCAGCTGTTTTCACCTGGGGCATTACTTTGTCCCCAGGGGACAATGGCAATAGGAAACATGTTAGAGTTACAACTTGGGGTGGAGTTGAGGGGCGTACAAGAAGAAAAGGATGGTTGTAAGTCTCTTCAGTGTGTAGAACACCACCCTTAGAAGACCACTCCAGACTCAAATGCCAGCAGGGCTGAGGAGAGAAAACCAGTCGATGCTTGTATAGGTCAACATTTACATTTGTAAGTTCTAAACTATTCTACTCGGGAAAGAATTCCAGTTAAAGAGTGCCAGCAGAGACTTGGATAATCTTTGGCTGAATCAGCTGAAGGGGCAGGGTTAAAAAAAAATCTTTTATTTCTTCCAGGCTTTAGAGTATGGCTCTTCCCTCCCACCCTTCCTGTTTTTGGGGGGTTTTGAGGTAGGGAGGGTATCACTGCCTAGTTCAGGCTTGCCCAAAACTGGTAATTCTGCATCAGCCTTCAACGTGCTGGGATTACAGGTGCTGCCCACAGCCAAAGTGGAATTTTTGTTTGCTTCTTTTTAATTTTTTGATGGTGAATTTCCGTTCTTGAGAGTTTGACCCCAGGCTGACTCCAAACTCAGTATGTAGCTGAGGCTGACCTTGAACTCCTGATCTTCCTGACCCCCACCCTGACCTACTATGTGCCATCATGCCAGGCAACACATTTTCTTACTAGCACTTGACACTGTGTGTAGATAGGTAAATGCTCAGTAAAGGTTATTATTATAAAATGTCAGGTTCTGTGTAGGTGTCTGGATGGTTGTGTGATGTTGCAAAATTTTCAGCAGACTTTGAACCTTTAAACAACATTATGCAGTATTACTATTGGAAATGATTTTACTGTCAGATGATTTCTTCATGGTCACTTTGAAATGTTAAGAAAATTAATATAATCCTCAAACTAGTGCATGGTAGGTTGTGTTTAAAAAAGGCAAATCATATTTTAAAAGTAACCTAAAATACAGACTCAAAAAAACCAGTCTCTCTCTTTTCCCCAAGGACTGTACTGTCAAATGGAGACCATCCAAGATTTAGAAAGAAAACCCACTAGATATATGATGTGGAAAAGTTATGGAAATGCAAAAATCACAGGGTTGCAGTTTTGTGACACATTAATTGATTGATTTATTGATTGATAGGGCTGGGGATGTTGTGTACTAGGCAAGTTCTCTATCACTGAACTGTATCTAGGCTCTGTCTGCAGCACTTCTGATTGTCTAACTCATTTTTTTTTTCTTATGGGCAAGTGATGTATGCATAATATCTCAGAAATGAAAAGTTAAAAAATACAGGAAATGAAGATGTATAGTTTTCCAAATTCCTCTTCTATAATTAGTTGAACAGCATGCCCAGTAGTTGTATTAGTCTGAGTCCATTTGGCACACATAATAATGAAAGGCCACATAATAATGAAAACTAGAAACTAGTATATAAAGAATTGAGCACATTACTTATATAAAATCAATAATTACTTTAAGAATTAGTAATTATGCTTATATAAATATAATATAATATATAAAATACATAAGTGATTGAAATGTTTAAAATAAATACATGTTTAAAGAAGGTACAATGTAAAACAATAGGATATACACGTAACTTCATAAATACAAGTAGATATTTGTTATATAAACAAGAAATCATCAAAAAATCGGGGCTATTCATCCAGTAGCTGATGGAAGCAGAAGCAGAGACCCACAGCTAAACACTGAGCCGAACACCTGGAATCCAGGTAGAGAGGGGGGAGTGATGAGCAAAGGAGTCAAGACCATGCTGGGGAAACCCACAGAAACAGCTGACCTGACCAAGGAGGAGCTCACAGACCCCAGTCTGACAGTTGGGGAACCAGCATAGTACCTAACCAGGCTCCCTGAACGTGGGTGTCAGTAAGGAGGCCTGAGCAGTCTACGGAGCCTCTGGCAGTGGAACCAGTATTTATCCCTAGTGTACAGGATTTGGGATCCTGTACTCTCTCAGCCCAGATACATGGGGAAGGGCCTAGGGTGTGCCCCAAATGATGTGACAGATTTTGATGATCCTTCATGGAAGGCCTCACCCTCCCTGGGGAGTTGTTGCGGGTGGGATGAGTCAGTCGGTGGGGGACATGGGAGGATGGGAGGGAGAGGGAACAGGGATTGATATGTAAAATAAGATTGTTTCTAATTTAAATAAAAATTTATAATAAAAAATTGGGGCTAGTAAAGAAGCACCAAGAACTAAGATGCTAAGAGGAACTGCCCCATCTTGTAGGGCTGAGAAAACACCTAAGGAAACTCCTCAGGCCTCCTCTCTCTGCACCAAGGCTGGCCGGACCTCAGAGAGGGCACTGCCGTGACTCACCGAATGACAGAGGTCATGCTGGCACACTTTCTGGAGGTTCATTCTCTAGAATTCTGAGGGAGTCCACTCTCTCTGGAGGTACTCCATCACAGCTGCTGGCCTCTGGGAGGCTGTGGCTTTCCCTGTACCTATGTTTGCTGCAGGCTCCTGGTCAGCAAACCCTAGGGACACAAAACCAAACCCTTTCCTGCTGCTGTTTCTCCAGCAGCAACTACAGATGACTGATGGCTTTTGGTAGTCACACTCTGTCAGTGCGAGCTCTTCTGTGTGTGCAGCTGCTATCTGCTAACTACAGCAGTAGCTGAAATGGCCCTCTTTGGGTCACTTATGCCACCATTACCTAAAAGTGTGTTAGAAATGTCACCACTGCAATCTAGAGACTCGGAAGTTCAAGGCATGTTCTTAGCAAATCTTCCAAATGATTCTCAGATATACAAAATGGTAGGAACCAGTGAAGTTTCAGAAATGTGCATGTGAGGGTGTGACAGAAACACACACACACACACACACACACACACACACACACAGAGGGGGGTAGTTAAAAAAGCCCATAGAGATTACTCTGTTTAGAACCAACTTCTTTAGCATTTGGATCCACGGGCACAAACATGTGGCACCCTGTCCCTGATGCTGCTTTGACTAGCGTCTCTGAGCCTCTGAGTTGCTATTAATAATTCCAATGAATTTCTGTATGTACACAGAAGTGGTGGGCAATGCCTACCTTGCCTTTTCCACATCTCTATTTCCTTCACCTTGGACCATTGACAGCATATTGATGGATCAGCCTGTGCTGCAAACCCAAGGTCAGCACCGTCAGCATCATGGAGCTCGCAGGAACCCATCATTGTGCCTTGCCATATGGCTAACCTCATGAGCTGGCTAGCTTCCCTGACTAGGCCGCAAATCCAGAGCAGAAGGCTTCATCCCCTGCCCCAGGGCCCTTGCTTTGTTCCTTTCCAGGGAGAGAGAGGTGACTCATTTAGTAGGCTATTTCTCTGTGGTTTGTTGGTGTAAAATGGAAAATCTATGTTCATGCTGGTGTACTGTGAGGTCATGGCCTGGCCCTGCTCTTGCCAATAGCTAGCTGTGTGGAGTAGTCTACCTCACTAGCTCTGGTTTCAGTGTCCATACTGAGCTACAATTGGGACAGATGTTAACAATCTAACGTCTTATGATTCCAAGTAATAAACAAGCTTACTCTTAAAAGGTAAACTGGTACCTTTTTAAAAGGTAAAGCTTGAATCTTATCCATTGTTGAGAGACCGTGTGTCTTTACTCAACCTTTGCTGCGGTCATCTTGTCTTTATCTCTGTGTGTGTGTGCTGAATCTATGTGCGTGTGCTTGTGTATGTGCACATATGTATGCGCATGGATATGTACTTGGATACAAGGCCAGAGTTTGACATTGGGAATCTTCCTTTATTGCTTTCCACCTTATTTTTTGAGACAGGATCTCTCACTGCACCCAGCTCATCAATTCAGTTAGAGCGCCAGACCAATGACTCCTAGGCATTGATCCTTTTGTCTCTGCCTCTCCAGCCCTCAGAATGCAGGCAAGTGCCGCTGCAGCAGGGTTTTTCCAAGCGAGTACTGGGAATCCAAACTCAGGTCCTCATGCTCATGTGGCAAGTACTGCCAATTGGGAGCCTTAGCCTTTAGCAGCTGAGCTGAATGTATCTCCAGCCCCAGTCATGTCTTTCCCATCTTCTGCCATGTTTGATACAAGTACAAGTCTTCAGGCAGCATATACTAAGGGAATTGAGAAAGAGAGATTTTAGCAGACTTGTTCCTTGTCAGTACAAAGAGCAGACACTTGCTTCATGTATCTTTCTGGATTCAGAAAGATCACCAACTGGTAAAGGGCAACTGTAATATGAAACATACATACAGAAACCAAACACTAGAATTATTTTTTTTAATTCCTGACTAATTTCTTACTGATAATAGTAAGCAAAAGATGATAGGGTTTTTTTTTTTTTTTGGTTTTTCGAGACAGGGTTTCTTTGTATTGTTTTGGAAGCTATCGGTCCAGCCCGGCCTCGAACTCACAGAGATCCGCCTGCCTCTCGCGCTTGGGCCACCACCGCCTGGCGATGATAGTTTTTTTTTTTCCAAAATTTGGTACAATGTTTCCATTTTTAATGGCTGTTGTTCAGTTCCCTCACACATTCCCCCACAAGGCAACCCTTCTCTGCATAAGTCTTCAATGCTGAAACAGAGCAAAAGTTAAGAATAATGATTCTCTATCATACTTTGGTCAGGGGCATCTCAGAAGTTCTCTCTCTCTCTCTCTCTCTCTCTCTCTCTCTCTCTCTCTCTCTCTCTCTCTCTTGGCTTTTTGAGACAGGGTTTCTCTGTATTGCTTTGGAGAAGCCTGTCCTGGAATTTGATCTGTAGACAGGCTGGCTTTGAACTCACAGAGATGTCTCAAAATCAAACAAAAATATATATTATGTTTTCAACCTAAAAACAACAAAATCTACTATGATAATAACAATACAAATGATAACTACTCAATTTTGACAGGATCTTGACTAGGGAGAAGTTGTGGCATATGTTTTCAGTGCCTATTTCACCATCCTTTCTTGCTAAAATATCCTTGCTCTGCCCTGTGGCAATGTTCCAAGGTAACGAATGAATCAAGACTGGCATGAACTTATCATTATGGCATTCTCTTCCCAGCCCCCCGGCAGTAAGGAGTGACTGTATGGTCCAGTTCTGACAGGAATTGAGGGCAAGAAAGCTAGATCAGAGAGGGCCTTGAAGGCCACAGGGGGAACTTTGAAACTTACTTCTTAATCAAGGATAATTAAAATCAGAACCTTAAACAGCTTGACCAAAAATATGTAGTAGCTGCTAATTTGAGCCTAGGCTTTGGCTTTGTTTACGTTTTGTACTTTTTGTATTGTATACAACCAAAAACACTCATTAATTATCAATGAATGTTAGAAATAAAGAAATAATGACAACTGACAGGATGAGCCAATATAACTATATATATATTTATATATGTGTGTGTGTAGAATTGAGAAGATTGTGGACAATCTATTTCATTATTAAAAAACAAATTTCATATTTGAATTAAGACTGCTCTACATGTATTCATAATTTTAATCCCAGCATTGAAAGAGGCATTAAGAAATTACACAATTCCTCCAAGCACTTGGGAGGCAGAGGCAGGCGGATCTCTGTGAGTTCGAGGCCAGCCTGGTCTACAGAGTGAGTTCCAGGACAACCTCCAAAACAATACAGAGAAACCTCGTCTCGAAAAACAACAACAACAACAACAACAACAACAAAAAACAAAACAAACAAACAACAACAACAACAAAGAAATTACACAATTCCCATTCACTGCCCGTGCCTTTCAAAGAAAGGCCCTGGTTTTACATGTGACTGAGGATTTTGTAATTCAGAGTGTTGGTTTCAGAAAACCAAGTAACATATACCAAATCCTTCTATGGATAAAAGAAATCTCATCATAGAGACACACTGGTATTGGACAAGCAGAAGAAAACCCACTACTGCAAAGCACAAAGTCTCCAGATGCTGCAGTGACTGCTGACCCTGTCGAAGTGAGACCCTTATTTTGGATAATTCTGCTGTCCGCAGGTGGGGAACATTGCCTTGTGATTGAAGACAACATTTATCAAATTAAATATTATAATCAATACAAACACAATGAAAACAGAAGAAAACATGCATAGAGTTTGAGTGTGGGAATACAACATAAATATGCCCAATAACGTGGAGACACAACTACACGCACAAATGCAGAAACACACACAGCACAATACTCATTGTCGGACTAGACAGCAATCTTTTTCCTATGCTAGGTCCTAGTCAGGAAGTATGACTTCCATTCTTATAGAGGAACTGACCCTTTGTGAGTACACTGTGCTGTGCCTTCTGCAGAATGGGAGCAAGCCATCTTGCATTCATAAGAGGTTCCTGTCCAACAGCATCGGCACACACTGCTCTACACATTGTGAAAAGTGTGACAGAAATGAACAAAGACATAGAAGAGCTGTCACTGTCCTGCAGGACACACTGTATCCTGGTTAATGTTCTTCAGCACATCCCTCCATGTTTGTTTTTTTCCAAGACAGGGTTTTTCTGTCCTTAAGTTTCTTAATCCATCACAGGAGGACTTGCTGCATTCCATCGTTGGGCTGTTACTCACAAACCTTAGGAATAAAAAGAAAGATATGTGTACTCCAAGTCATATTTGATTAGGGCTTCACACCTAATACCTAAGAATGTTAAGATTACAAGGATTTTGAGAGAAAGATTCTGCTTTCTCCATAAAGAACCACATTGGATACAAATCCTATTGTTTTCATCCTTATCTTTAGAAATTAGACACCCTCAACAGTAGATGAAGACTCATTACTGAGAACAACTGACTATTGAGTGTTAAATCATAGACAGGACATATATATCACTACCCTACCTCCCAAGGCTCCAAGAACATTTCAGAAGAAGGGGCAGAAGGGACTGAAGAGCTGGAACATTGGGAGGAGCGTGAAACATTGTCTTCTAGATTTTCAATGACTGTTGTACCAGCAAACTCACTTGTTTTATGCACAAGACCTATCCAAGATGGGGGTCCACCAACACTCTGTCATGATAGGGAGGGGCTCCTGAGGTCCCATTTCTCCTGCGGAACTATTTGTGGTTAGTTGTGTCTTGGAGAGGGGAAGCTGTTTTCCTCAGTGGTGTAACCACTGGTAAGTTGACTATGTTCTGGTAAACACTCCCTACCTATGCTCACACAACCCTAATTAGACTCAGTGGTTGACAAGCAACAATAATAATAACACAATAAATTAAAAACCAGAGTAAACACAGAAAAAATGACATGAAAATAGGAGGGTGATCTATTGGAAAGAAGGGGTTCAGTGGGAGTGGGAGAGTGATGAGAGAGTATTAGGGGTGATGGAAATGACTAAGCACATTACATATGTGCACAAAATCATCAAACAATGAAAAATAGAAAACCCAGATGCCCAATATCATTTACAATTTGCATAGATACTTGACTGTAAGAAGAGAAAACTTTGTGGACCAGAAGTTCTTCAAAGGGCAGCTGCCTGCAGCATGGTTTTTGTTTGAGTATTGTTTGGATATGGGAAAGAAGTATCATAATCTTCAATCCTGTTGTAAATGAAGAAGGTTTAGCTGAACTGTTCAGGAACTTAAGAAAAATCCTGATGCATTCTTATTATTCAGTTTTGTCAGAGAAAACATTTTCTCAAGTATAGTATCTAATTGCTGAAATAAATGTAAAATGTAAAATGTAAAATAAAAGTAAAATGTATAAATGATTGTACTCTCTGACCAAACAAGTACTATTTCTGAGACCTTAATCTAAGAATGTAATTACAAAAGAAAACCAACAGTATACATACTCTGTGAGTGTTTGTGTGTGTGTGTGTGTGAGAGAGAGAGAGAGAGAGAGAGAGAGAAAGAGAGAAAGAGAAAGAGAGAGAAAGACAGAGACAGAGACAGAGACAGAGAGACAGACACAGAGACATAGGCACCATGGGGATTAAACCCAGGGCCTGGTACATGTTAGGCAACCACTGTGTGCTGGTTAGTTTTACGTCAACTCCATAGATGTTAGAGTTATTTGAAAGGAGAAAACCTCAATTGAGAAAATGTCTCCATAAGATCGGGCTTCAGGCAGTAGGACAATTTGTTAATAAATGATTGATGGAAAAGGGCCCAGTCAATTGTGGGTATAGTCATTCCTGGGCTGGTGATCTATAAGAAAGCAGGCTGAACAAGCCATGAGGAGCAGGGCAGTAAGCAGCACTCTCTATGGCCTCTGTATCAGCTCCTGCCTCCGGTTCCTGTCCCTAAGAACAGTTTCTTATCTAGATAGAAATTTTATTTCAAATTCAATTTAGGAAAATACAAACACATGATAATAAAAATTAATTTTTCTATTTTTTTATCCCTTTTTTTCAAGACAGGGTTTCCCTATGTAGCTTTGGAGCATATCCTCAAACTAGCTCTTGTAGACCAGGCTGGTCTTGAACTCACAGAGATCTGTCTGTCTTTGCCTCCCAAGTGCTGGGATTAAAGGTGTGCGTCACCACCACCCGGCTCCTTTTTCCATTTCTTATCTTTCCATCTGGTGTCAGCTTTGTTCTATACTAAAGTATCAATGCCAAGTTTTAGATTTCATGCTGGTGTATAAAACAAGAACCCACTGGGCTAGAGAGATGGCTGGGTGGTTAAGAGCACTGACTACTTTTCTAGAAGATCAGGGCTCAATTCCCAGCACCCACATAGCAGCTCACAACTCTCTGTAATTCCAGTTCCAAGGGACCTGGCAGTCATAGCAAAAGACCGATGCACATAAATAAATTTTTTTTTAACAAGAAAGAAATAAAAAGGGAACTCAGCCTTTGACCTTCTAATGGTAACGATACTTAGCTTCATTATATAATATCATCAACAAAGCTGCATTAATACAGACACCAACAAACAAACAAACAAAAACCCAGAAATCAGCATGGTTAATTACCCAATGTGCTCACAGCATCCTCCTATAAGAGAGGGACTGATAATGAACATAACTATAATTTCTTTCCTTTAGAATCAATATGTTTTTATAATGATATGAAAACAAAAAATTTTTAAAGGGAACTAGATGGTTCTGTGGATAAGTTGCTTTGTTACATTAACATTGGGTAATGATTACATTTTACTTCAAGCTTCAGATTTCATTAGGACTACATTATACATATAACTTTATATAGACTTACAGAGGTGGTTTGAAAGAAAATGGCCCCCAAAGGGAGTGGCACTATTAGGAGGTGTGAATTTGTTGAAGTAGGTATGGCCTTGTTGGAAGAAGTGTGTCACTGTGTGGGTGGGCTTTGAGGTCTCCAATGCTCAGGTTATATCCAGTGACACAGTTCACTTCCTGTTGCAGAACTCTCAGTTACTTCTTGAGCACCGTGTCTGCCTGCATGCAGCCATGTCCTCCATGATGATAATGGACTAACCCTCTGAAACAGTAAGCCACCCTAAGTAAATGTTTTCCTTTATAACAGTTGCTGCGGTCATGGTGTCTCTTTACAGCAATACCTTCCCTGGGTTATTTACCTTTTTATTTATGTATCAATTTTATTACCTTATCACAATCATGACTGTATATTCTTATAATGAAGAATTTGCTGAACAGGGTTACACAAAGTGAAAAAAAATCCAGAGTCCACATTTGACACCTTAGAAAGGTCACCCTGGTGTTATAAGGCTCAGGGCTAAAGCAGGTTATGCTGGGGGTCCTTCTGGCTGGAAGAACTTGGTGAGGTAATGGATTACTATATAGAGCACAGTAATTTATCTGGGCAATGGAAGACTACCATCAATCTTGGTGGCAAGAAAAGTGGATCTGTTTCCAAGTTTTATCTCTTCTAGTGTTTCTGCTATTATTATTTTACCCCTATCTTGAGGTATCTAGCTAGCCTTGAGGAGAATAATTCTCATCTATCTCCGGACGCAGGCAAGAAAGGTGTGTGGGTGTGTGTGCATGCGTGTGCACATTGAATCCCACACACAGACATATACTACCTTGTGGGTTCACAGCACTTGCTGCAACATGCCAGTTGTTCTTGGTCCTTGTGGACAGATGACAAAAGAAGGATTTGGAGTGGTATGGGTATAATGCATCTGAGGAACATGACCAAAGTGTCCTCCGTCTTTATTGTTAGACAGATCCTAAGGCTTAAACTCCAGTATTTGACTTAGTCACTAAAAGAACTGAGCCCACGCTCTGGCCATTTTTGGGAAGACAGATGTTAGTATCTGGGCACTAAAACATCCTGAGCCCTCTCACTGGGCCAGAGAGCATCTTGTCTTTCTCAGATAAGTAGTTCTGGCTCAGGGTTATCACTTATAAATGCCGAGCAACTTACATTACCCACCACTCTTCATCTACTTATGTTGGTGGGCTGGGCTGCATTATGGGAGGCCTACCTTCCCACAGAGTAACAGATGGCAGGTGGGATGGCAGTGGCTGGATGGCAGGGGTGGGGGTGGCAGGGGTGAGATGGCAGGATGGGGCAGCAAGGTTGGGGCATCAGTGTGGGGTGTCAGGGTGGGGTGCCAGGGTGGGTGGCAGACTTGGTAAGGATTATTAGTTCTATTTATATGAATAACATGTAACATGGTCCTAAAATTTCCTCAAAGGGCTTCCTGTCTATGTAAAGGGCTGACCTTACAACCAGGAACAGTCAGGATCAATGGGAGGCCCAGATGCTTGCATGACCAGTCAGAGAAGAACTGTTGAAGAGAGGGTTAGCTTAATTCCTACCAAGTGACTGACATGTGGGCTACAGCAGGGTTTTCTCACCCTAAACCCTGCTTCATTCTTCCCTTCTGTTGAGGCTAATGATTTGATCTGTGTAAGCCACAAGAATCTTCTTCCTTTTTTTGAGATAGGATGTCACTCTGTAGCTTAAGTTATCTTTGAACTCATGACGCTCCTTCCTCATCTATTTGAGTGCTATGATATAGGCATGTGCTATCAGTTCAGCATAGGAATCATTTTATTTTTATTTTTTAAGATTTGTCTTTATTAAATGGCTGAGAGGCACTTGAGAAAGTGCTCAACATCCTTAGCCATCTGGGAAATGCAAATCAAAACAACTCTGAGATACCATCTTACTCCTGTCAGAATGGCTAAAATAAAAACACCAACAATTTATGCTGGAGAGGTTGTGGTGAAAGGGGAACACTCCTCTACTGCTGGTGGGAGTGCCAACTTGTACAGCCACTTTGGAAATAAGCATGGAGATTCCTCAGGAAAATGGGAATAAACCTACCACAAGATCCAGCAACTCCATTCTTAGGCATATATCCAAAAGATGCCCATTCATACAACACTATGTTCATAGCAGCATTATTTGTAATAGCCAGAACTTGGAAGCAACCTAGATGCCCCTCAACTGAAGAGTGGATAGAGAAAATGTGTCACATTTACACAATGGAGTACTATTCAGCAGAAAAAAACCAATGGAATCCTGAAATTTGCAGGCAAATGGATGGCACTAGAAGAAACCATCCTGAGTGAGGTAACCCAGTCACAAAAAGAGAAACATGGCATGTACTCTCTCATATATGGATTTTAGACATAGATCTGGGGAGTGCCAGCCTACAATCCCATGGCCAGAGAGTCTGGGAAACAGAAACTTCATTTAGTGGCTGATGGAAGCAGAGGCAGACTCCCACAGCTAAGCACTGAGCTGAACTAAAGAAATCCAGTGACAGAGAGGGAGGATTGATGAGCAAAGGGGTTAAGACTGGGCTGGTTTAACCCCCAGAAACAGCTGACCTGACAAGGGTTAGCTCTTGAATCCTAGACTGATGGCTGGGATTCCAGCATGGGACTGATCAAGACCCACTGAATGTGGGTGTCAGTGAGGAGGCCTAGGTAATCTATTGAGCCTTGGGTAGTAGATCATTATTTATCCCAGGTATACAAATGGACTTTGGGCACCCATCCAACAATGTGAGATGCACTCTCACCCTGGACTCTTGGGGGAGGGTCTAGGCCCTGCCCTGGATAAAATGACAGACTATGGACACCCCCATGGAGGGTCTCACCCTCCCTGGGGAAATGAGTGAATATTGAAGGGGTTGGTGGGAGGGTATGGGAGGAGGGGAGGGAAAGGGAGAGGGACCTGGAATTGACATGCGAAACAACCTTGTTTCTAATTTAAATTTAAATAAAAAATAAAATATAAAAAAATATTTGTCTTTATCTTTAGGTGTGGCGGCATATGCCTTTAATCCTAGCACTATGGAAGGAAGAAACTGGTGGATCTTTGTGAGTTTGAGGTTGGCCTGTTCTATACAGCTAGTTCCAGGCCAGTTGGGGCCACATAGTGAGATCATTACTCAAAAAGTTTTTAATTTATTATTTGTGTATGTGTGTGTTGGGGGTGGAAAGAAGAGGGAAGGGAGAGAGGAAGGAAGGGAGAGAGGTACACATGCATGTGGGTGCCAGCAGGTCAGAAGAAAGTGTCAGATCTCTTGGAGCTAGAGTTATAGGCAGCTGCCCAGTGTGGGTGCTGGGTACTGAACCCCAGTCCTCTGCAAGAGTAGCAAATGTTCTTAACACAGCCATTTCTCCAGCTCCCTCCTATTTTAATTCTTATAATTCAAATCTCGCTGCTAGATCTATAGTTCTGTCCTCCCGGAATGGTATTCCAATTTCCTTGTGTTTCTTTCTACTTTCTCTACAGAAAAAAATTTAAAAATCACGTCTCAGGTGGGACCTTCAGTCATGATTTAGTCATGGCCAGTCATAGTATGCCATTTTTTGGCCAAAGTGATAGCTTTAGCAAGTCATGTGATCACAGAAAGCTCAATGCAAAAATCTTCCCTAGATCGTTTCAGCTGAGTTCAGTTGAAAAATTACTTTAAAAAGTACTGTTGAAGTCTGGGTATATAACCTAGTGATGCCCAGAATATGTATGAAGTCTGGGTATATAACTTAGTAAAGCCCAGCACATGTATGAAGTCTGGGTATATGACCTAGTGAAGCCTAGAACATGTATGAAGTCTGGGTTTAATCCCCAGCACCACAAAAAAACAGACCTGTATAAAATAAGTACTTTGACATCTAGGAAGTAGTAAAGATAATGCAGGAACATCCAGCTCCCCATGTATCCACTGATGGCCATCCTGGAAAAGTTAAGCTATCACTTTACATTGATGCGGACAGCATATTATCATGTTTGTGGATAGAATGAGCTTGATTTAAAAATAAACTCAAACAGAATTATGGCAGAGCCCTGACAATACTATTCTATCCCCTTACTCCAGCTGAGCCTAAAGCTATGGCCACCTCTGGATTTTCTTTTCACTGGAGCCAGATTTAGGTAGTCTTCTACAACTTTCAGGAAAGTAGTATTTGAAAAAGAAAAACTCCAGCTTGGTTTACAGAGCTAGTTCCAGGACAGCCAAAGTTACATAAAGAAACCCTGTCTCAAAAACAAAACAAAAAAACAAACAAAAAACAAAGAAGAAAAATAACCTCCTTCCCCAAAACCCAAATAACCCAGAAACTTTATGAAAAGTATTTAAGAGAATAAAGAAAAAGGGAAGTTCCAGATATATTAAAATCATTTCCAGCCCATTTTGTTAGCCTTCTGCTATGAATTTAAGCTAAATAACATTAAGAGAAGCAACAGAGTATTTCCAAACCTAAAGCTTTCTGACAAACAAAACGATCACGATCCAGACAGGCACTGTATCCCTATTCTCAAGCAAAGGATGAATGAATACAGTGTCTCCTTGTTGGAATTTGTGCACACTGACATTGGAATGCAATGAACTGTTATCAAGATTCTTTTTCCTCCACCATCCGATTTGATAGAACAATATTTACCTGTTTGCTTCTCTAATTCTTGCTTGACATCTTCATATACTTGAGAAAGGAGATCTTCTTCAGATCTTGTTCCATCTAGGTAAACTGAGAAGTGAGAAATAGCAGTTCAAATATGCTGTGGAGCAATCCTTCTGTACACTGTGAAAAGGTGTTGCTCTTGTTAATAAAAAGCTGATTGGTTGGTAGCTAGGCAGGATTTTTGGGATAGACAGGGTGCGGGGAAGAGGAGTGGCGAAGTCTGAGGAGTGGCCAGCCAGACACAGAAGAAACAACATCGGGAGTTGAAAGGTGAGGTAAAAACCATGAGCCTCAGGGCAGCACATAGATTAATAGAAAAGGGTTAAGTTAAGTTGTAAGAGTTAGTTAGCAATAAGCCTGAGCCATTGGCTGAGCATTTATAATTAATATTAAGTCTTTGTATCCATTATTTGGAAGGGGCGGGGAGCAGGTAAGAAAAGTCCGATTAGAGAAATGTTAACAGACTTATTAGTAGAGGATGCCTTGGCATTTCTTTAAAACACCAATAGCTTTCACTAAAGAACCCAGAACTATGACCTAAGGAAGAAGGGAGGGAGGGAAGGAAGGAAAGAAAAGAGAAAGAGGCTAAGCATTATGCACACTCCAAAGTAAATGAACTAACTTAGGCTCATTGAGCTCCTGAGAGTTAGATTTACAAGGCCCCTTCCAAAGGTTACATCAGCAGTAACAACTGCTGGAGACAAAGGACTCCTCCATGCCCAGAGCAGCCAGAAGGTTGTATAGGCAGCTCCAGGGATTCTGCTTGAGGAGGTGTTGCCATGGTGACATGCAATTGTTTTTGAGTCACCATGCTCCTTTGAGTAGTCCCAGTGAAGTCACTGCTCACTGAGCTGGATGTGGGTAAGTTTCTCTGGTTTGTTCTTGGTGCCTGACTGATGCTCAGTACATATCAGGAGACTGGCCCAAAGAGGAGCAATTCAAAACGCATGCCCAACTGGGATCATCTGTGAAGCTTTTAAACTACGTGTCAGTCTGGACTTTACTACACACTACCGAAATCAGAAGTTACATATTTTCAATAAAGCTGGCATGAACACTTCTGGAGAAAAAGAAGTTACCTGGGTTAAAGAAAATAGGACCCTCGAGTCATAAAACAGCCAGGATGAGGAGGTCTGAAGGGAAGTTGCCTGCTGGAGGTGTGAGTGGCCAGCGGCAGAGGAAGGAACAGCGTAGGAGATGAAATCTTGGAGAAAGAGTATGCCTTGGTGTCTTTGGAGATTTTTATCCCAAAGAGCCAGAAGCCATGAACTGGGTGCATTTAACACGGTGTCCTGGATTTTTTTTTTCTGGTGCTGTGATAAAACACTCTAACCAAAAGTAACTTGGGGAAGAAAGAGTTTATTTGGCTTACACTTCGAGATCACAGTTCACTGAGGGAAGTCAGGGCAAGGACTCAAGGTGAGAGCCTGTCGCACGAACCATGGAGGATGCTGCTTACTGGCTTGCTCTGTGGCTCGCTCAGCTAGTTTTACTCTACAGCCCAGGCCCAACTGCCTATGGTGGCATTGCTGACAATGAATGGAGCCCTCACATATCAATCATCAGTCAAGCCGATCTGTCACAGAGATGGCCACAGGCTGATCTAACCTAGGGAATTCCTCAATTGAGGCTCCCTCAGATGACTCTAGGCTGTGTGAATTTGACAGCTGACATTAACTAGGCCAAAGAACAAGGACAAAGTTAGACCTGGAGTTTAGATGGCGGGAGGGAAGGAAGGATGTAAGAGGATGATTCTCCTACACAGCACAGCAGCCACTGGTGCAGCACAACCCAACAGCAGCTCAGAGATGGATTCTGTGTCCTTTCTACACAGATCTGAGGCCTTCCCTGGAGGCCAACAGGCTCCATCCAATAGGGACGAGTCTCCTTTGCTCTGAAACCCATGCCAGTCTGATTCCTCTGTCCTGTTCAACAGGCTTATGCCACTGTCTCCCTGTGAGCACTATACACACTCCAGTGACAGTCTCTTAGCTCAAGGCCCAAGTATTCAGATTGCCTCTCAGGTACCTGAATCTTATTCCTGAAAAACACATGTGCAATCCTTCCTTACCTATCTACAACTCCTTCATGTTTTCTCCCCACAGATGTCACCTGCTAGTTCCTTCGACACTTTTATGCCCCAGTTCTATAGAGTACTTGTGTTCCATACTGCTACCTCTAAATCTACCCTTCCGATCATGAGACATGTTACTGAAAAGAATATGTACCAGCCACGACTGTGTTTAAAGCCTGTCTGCAGAGAGTGTCCCAGTTCTCCTACGACATCCTATTAGCATTAGAGGCCCTGGCCCTTGCCAATAGCAGCAGCAGCAGCAGCAACCCAATCTCCCCTTGCTTTTCTCTTTTAAAAACACAACAGCTTCTTTTAGGTATTGCTCATGCCTTCCTGTCTTGAGGCCTTTTATCTATTCTTTCCATGGTCTGGATGACAGTCATTCCCCCTAACTTAACCCAGCCCCTGACCCAAGGCTAGCTAAACTCACATGAGTTTCGTGACAGATAGCTTTCTCAGGGACTTTGAGGTAGGCAGACTCCCTGGTACTCAATATCTGTGCTTACCTGGGGAAAAGACCTGTTCGTAAAGTACACACTTTTAGTGCGGTTTCCTGGTGAAACCTCAGCTGGGTGAGAGTAGAGACTGGCCTCCCTCACCTTTCACCACCACAGGCAACATTCAGGCAAGGTTGGTTCAATGAATGACCAAGTGGAATCTGGCAAGATGGACAAGAACCACCAGGAGAAAAAGAAACCAGCCAGAACCAGTTGCAGAAGAGGGGAACTCTGAGATTGCCTGAGTGTCTCTTTAAGAACCCCTTGAGAAAAATATTTTCCAAGTAATCCTTTCTGTGCTTTGACAAAATGAGAAGTTAAAGGCCTTAAGAGAAAGTGGGGAGGTACCTACCAATCTCCCAGGTGATGGTGTTCATTTCTTGTCTGTGCTTTAGGTACATGGGCCACACGTGACCATCAAAGTACCCTGGAGGGTCAGGAGGCTCATATACCCTTGTACTGGAAAAACATACAGGAAACTTGATGTTCATACAAAATTATGATTGACAATGGAAATGAATCATGGTCAAGATAATGTGAAAATCACTCATGTTAACTCTAAAGAGAGATTACTTTCTTTTTTGTTTTTTAAACTCAATTGTACTGAGAAAGATGGCAAAATGGATTTGGTTCTCTCAACAGTAACCCTGTAACTCATTAACATTCATAATTACCTTTTCTCAGCCTCCTGTGTTTCATAAAAGGGTTATGGAGCAAGTACAAGAAAAAATAAGGAGTGAAATATGGAGAGGCTGGCTTGCTCTCTTATCTGGCGGGTAGTCTCTGCAGCGACAGCAGAGCATGGGCAAGGAGGGTGAGGAGGACGCCTGACAGGATGACCCCAGCCCTTCTCCTTAGAGGAGTTACCGTACACGTGATGAGGACTTTCAGAAAAAACGTTTGACACATGAGTAGGGTTGCTCAATAAGGCCACTTTCTTTGTTTTCCCTGTATTCCATCTTTTGGATAACAGCACACAAAGATGGTTTCGAAACATACCTCCGCCTCCTCTTACATTCTTCATATGGAACGGTCAGGAAGTAACTTCTGTTCCATATGGTGTCCAGTGGTCTAAGACAACAACACACTCAGTTAGCAAGGCTCTCTCTCCCCCACCCCTGCATTCCGTCAGGTTGGTAGTAGAGTGGCAAGGCTTACTTATAATTAAAGAGAAGGAAACCTTCGATAATTAAAATGGGAACCCTCTGAGCACTTTCCAAGGCTGCCGGTCCTGCAGAGTGCCCTGGGTTTTCCATCCAACGTGAAATGGCTGACATCATTTTGTCCATGTTAAGAGCTTCAAGCACTGAAACAAACATAAGACACATGAAACTAATACAGCAAACATTTTTTAGGTGGTCAGCTTTTTGCAATAAGTATCTCCAGAGCTCTATAAATGTGTGACATAGCAGAATTTCATTTATCCTTCAAGGTTTCTAATAATAGATACCTTTTTTTATTATTATTTTTGAGACATGGTTTCTCTGTGTAATGTTGGAGCCTGTCTCAGAACTGCCTCAAACTCACAGAGATCCGCCTGCCTCTACCTCCCAAGTACTGGGATTAAAGGTGTGTGCCACCAATGACTGGCTCTAATAATACTTTAAATACCCAATTAAAACACTAGTAGAGATATATTTGAGTGGTATATCTGAGACATTTTTATTATGGAAAAACAAAGATGTACAAATGTAAAATATAATGAATAACATGCCACTATTTCTAGCTGTTAATTTTTAAAATTTGTGTATGGGGGGGGTCAGAGGACAAATTGAGGGATTCATTTCTTTCCTTTCACCACAGGGATCTTAGAGATGGAACTCAGGTTATCAGGCTTGTCCCCCAGCCCTTGACTACCATAAATCCCCAGCTGACTATCCCATCAGCTCCTTCCTGATACTGAAAAATTTTTAAAAATTATGGAATTGGAGACTAAATCCAGGATTTTGGGTGTATTAGGTAAGCACTCAACTACTGAACTATATGTCCCCAACAAGATCTTTAAAAATAAAAATTAAATTAGTGCTGGAGAAATGGCTTGGTGGTTAAGAGCACCCAATGTTCTTCGAGAGGACACATGGTTAATTCCCAGCACTCACATGGTAGTTCACAGCTGCCTGTATTTCTAATTTACAGAAGACAGAATAAGCTATAGTTACACTTGAAGGATAAATAACACATCATAATCTATTTGGAAAGTAGCCACTATTAATAATGAAGGATCTCTAACACATGAAAAACCTTTTTATGTTTATGGGTGTTTTGTCTGCTTGTACATCTGTGCATGTGTGTTCAGTGCCCACAGATGCCCGAAGAGAGCATCAGATCCCCCAGAGACTGAGGCTGCATAATACAGTTTTAAGCTGCCATGTGGGTGCTGGGAATTGAATCTATCTGCTAGAAGGGCAATCAGTGGCTTAACCACCAATCCTACATCTCTCTAGTTCTACATGAAAACCTTTTCAAAGTTATGGGATACAGATGTCATTTTAATCCATGAACTGTGCAACTTCTAGAGCTATCAAGTATGACTCTGGAGAAGCAGAACAGGTATTCCTCATGCATGATCTTCAGACCAGCCTGAAGATTTTCCAGACACAGAAATTCTCAGTCTCATTCCTGGACCACTACCCACACCACATGCCCTCACAAGTGTTTGCACCGTAAAGTTTTGAAGTGTGGGTTAATTAATTTAATAGAGATAATTGAGATTTTCTTCTGGTTATGCTGCTGGTTTGGCTAAGTGCCACTTTTCCCAGGAAACTGCCAGTTTCATCAAAGTTTACAAATAAATATCATAAGAATATCCATAATTTAGGTAAGCACACAGGTGCAGACATACCAGCAGGCAAAGAACTAAGGCTTCTTTTCAACATTTGTAGGATGTTTCCCATGTTTGCTATTGTAAGTTGTACCTCCCCTCATTATTTCTTGATTTGTTTAACTTCTGAAGGGGTCATTCACATTCTTCAAACAGGTGTACATCTCTCAATGTGAAGTCTTCAATATTATGTCTCTGAGTTCTTGTTCCTCTTTTAAATTCTACAGGTAGAGATATTAGGTCTTTTGCTAGAGTAATTTCTACCGCATCTTCAAATTATGGATCTTTTTCTCTCATGCTTATTTTTCCAGTGAGCCTACCCAGAGAGCTGTAAGATTTTGGGTTATTACACTTTTTTTTTTTCAGTTACCAAATTTCTTTCAGGCTCCTTTTTCACATTTCTATTTCTTTCTCCAGACATTGAAGTTTTCTCCTGTTTCAAGTCTATCTGCAGCTGCTTGCTGATCTTTTGTTTTTCAAAGCCACTTTAAAATGTCAGACAATTTTGATAGTGCCGTCACACCGTCACAGAACTGATATTTATTGGCTATTATTTTTCTAATTCAAGTTGAGACTGTCTTGCCTCTTTGACTGACATATACCTTTCAGGTATGTCCTGATGATCTAGGGTGCTGCTGGGTATTCAGGCTACTATTTAGTCTTCTTATTTTGCAGCCAGATACTCTGAAGCGTACCCAGGTTCAGAGGGGCATGTGTGTTCAGTGTCCATATGATACTGGGTGGGTGGGAGGGGGTCATAGAGGGAAGAAAGCATCATGGCTGCTGCACATGTTCCACTGTTTCCAGGCTGACACAGCCTGGGTGAGCAAGATGGAGGGCCAGCCTACCCTGTCTCATTCTGACTCTGCTGCCCCCAGTTTGGAAGTTTGGTTCATTGTCCGGCTCTGCTAAATCTCTTGTGGGTGATGTAGAGGCCAAGTCCCTCCAACATTGCTAATGGTAGATGAAGATCTTGGGGTATAGCCTTCCACTGGTCCTGTGAACATAACAGGGGAGTAAGACTTTCCCTTTGTGCCTAGCTAAACTGGGATAAAAGGATACTATATTCCGGTAACTACCCTTCTTCTAGTCCTTTGATTATAGATGTCTTGGTGCTTTTTATGCCCATTGATGGTTCATGCTGCATACATTTCCAGCAATCCAGGTGGTATATGGGAGAAATAAAGAAAACATAGTGTCCCATTTAGGGTTTCTATTGCTTGAAGAGACACCATGACCACAGCAACTCTTAAAAAGGAAAAAAAATTAATTGAGGTGGCAGCTTACAGTTTCAGAGTTTTAGTCCATTATCATCATGGAGGGATATAGTGGTGTATACTGGCAGACACTGTGCTGGAGAGGTAACCAAGTGTCCTATCTTGGCTTGCAGTCAATAGGAAGTGGTCTGAGTATCACACTGAGGGAAGCTTGAGTAAAAGAGATCTCAAAGCCTGCCCCTATAGTGACACACTTCCTCCAAGACCATACCTACTCCAACAAGGCTACACCTCCTAATAGCGCCACTCCCTTTGGGGGTCATTTTCTTTCAAACCACCACACACAGGGAATCATACCCACATGATCCCTGGAGTCACAAAGTCCTCAGCCAGTATGCTGTCTTCATTTTCAGTGTTCTCTTCTTTGTTAAATTGTATCACAGGTTTTGGCTAAATGAATGAGGACCAAGGTCAAGGGGACAGGGAGTTACTTTTCTATGTTTCCTAGTGATTTATCTTTTAGTCCACGGAATCCATGTGTCTTGCTTCACACAAGATTTGATAATACATGCAGATGGAAAAAATGGGTGAGAGTAGGGATGAAATATAACTGCCAAAGGGCTCATTGCGTATAAAGCTGGTAATAAACTCATGACCATTTATTACAGTTTTCTGTCTACTTCTGCATATGTTTGAAACTGTCCATAAGAAAAATAATTTTAAGTAACTTAAAAGTACTGTCCTTTCCTACTCACCCTCTATTTATAGAACTGAAATGTGGTTTGCTATGACTAGAGCACCTCTCTGCTCTTATTCACTTCTGTGTTGGGTACTCGTTCTATACACCCACTGGGTTCAAGTTGGCTAAATAATATACAGTTAGTGAATTTTTTTTCAGCTAGTTATACTAGCTAAGAAGTGTGTCTCCTTGAAAAATCACAGATTGCGGTCTCATGCCCAGTATGCTGGATTATGATCCTACTTGGAAGTGCATAAATGAGGTCACCTTACATAATTAGTTAGGCAGCAGGGCAGGTACCTTCTGTGACATGACTGATGTCACTATAAAAGGTGGAAATTAAGACACACATGCAGATGGGGAGATGTCACGTGAAGGAAGGATGTAGCAATGCAGCAAAGGCCCGGGTGTGGCACAGAATCCACTGTCTCTCGTAGCCTTCAACAGCAACCAACCCTGACCGCATCTTCACCACAGATCCCAGCCTCCAGAACCGTGGGGGCAGAACCCTTCTGAGGTTTAAGCCATCCAGTATGGTATAGATTTGTTAACTCAATTTTATAAACTGTCATTTAAGTGGTTACAAAGGTGTCGAGTCTACTTGGACTCATTTTACATTGCTACACTTACCTGGAAAGTTTGATTTGTTTTCGCTAAAGATAGACTCTTAGGTGTAGGACATATGAACTTATGGTAGGAACATTCCAAGGCATTTGAGCAGCATTATCTGTGTTAGTTTGTAATTCCTTATAATGTGCACGAGGGTGATTGCTTTGTTGTGAGAATGTCATTATCCCTCTGTTACAATTCTTTGTCTACTTCAGAACCAGAGGAAAGGTGACTGCAATTATCCCATGCTTTTTGGAAGGGTTATTCACATGCTTCTAGCACTTTTCCTAGTGAAATACTACCTTCTTATTAGCTAGTTTATGAGAACACCCCAGTGAATGGGAAAAATAAGGCTTCATCACTGCTGAAATTCTTTTTTCATTTTCTCTTTATAAAATGTTTTCTAAGTTTTGGAAGGAATAAAAGAAACAATGTATCAAGATTGAAACTTGCCGGAGAACAGCAAAGAAAAGGACTTGGTCTGAAAGTTACTGTATGTCTGTAAGAACTGCCATATAACACTGAATCCTGGGATCCTGAAAGGAGAAGATAAAGAACAGGACATTTTAGGAGAGGCCTTTGGTCTCTATATACATACTAAGGAGAGCCTGTTAGTTAGAAAAGACAGTAAAACACAGACTCTACTATGTTAGTCTCTACAGGAACAGAAATGCTTTCTGGCTGACTTTGATTCTTTGTCTTCCAAACAGTGTCAGCCTGGGTCAAGAGAATAAAGTGAATATAAAAAAACATTCTAAGATTTTCTAAGTAGCAAAACAAACAAACGTGCTTCCTGGTGCTTTGCTACCAGGAAGGGGAAACTCAACACATGAAAGCTAAGTCTGATGTGGATGAAATATTCTGGTGGGTGAAGGCCAAAGCAGTAAGCAGAGCTAGTCACATTTGCCAGAGTCTGGGATCAACATGAGGATGGCAAACCTACCCCGTGCAGGCTTCTGGAAAAAAAACTACCGTCCCAGTATTGGGTTTGAAATATAAATCTCTGGGAAAGTTTCTATTTACTTAAATAGCTGAACAGAGATTTAAAAACCAAACAAACCCTACAAAGGCAGGCTTAAAGTACAGCAATATTTAAACATTCAAAACAAACTATTCGTGTGTGTGTGTGTGTGTGTGTGTGTGTGTGTGTGTGTGTGTGTGTGTGTGTGTGATGTGTTGGGGGAGGATTGCATGCCATAGCACACTTGTGGACACCAGAGGACTATTTTATGGAGGCAGTTCTCCCACCTTTACAAAGGCTCAAGGGAACTAAACTCAGGTCTTCAGGCTTGTGCGACAAGTGCATTAACCAAGGGATCCTTTCTGTCCACCCCATTTAAACATTTAACATTATGTTAATAGAGATATTTGGAAAAGAAAATGAATATAAAGTCACAATATTTTACAAGTGACTCTACTTACCATCATACTGCAAAAATCCATTTTCATCTATGTCTATCTCAGACTCCGGCTGGAAAAACAAAACAGAGTGGAGGGCAATTAAAAAGATCAATTAAAAAGATAAGCCTTTAATAAATGCTTTGGATAGTGATGAACAAGAGCAAAGACGGTCACTGACAGATGGTGCCACCTAGGGGCAGGTAACACTACTGCAGCAAGTTTATCCTCAGCCAAAGCTTTAGGATATAATTTAATTAACGTTGTTATTAAATCTTTTTGTGTTAGATAAATTACCTAAGAAGCTTCACAATACCTTGAAGAAGTCATCCTGAGATATTATGCTGCAATTGGGAAGGTGTTTCTGCAAGTTCTTAGCCAGAGTTGTCTTCCCACCATTTGTCACGCTGAGCCAAACAAAAACAAAAACAAACAAACAAAAACAGGGGATTCAAGAAGACATTAGGGAACATGGAACATTCTTCAGCAATATTTTTAAAAGGATATTTAAAACTATTGACTGCTTGAGATAAAAAGTCTCATTTCACAGATCATGTTTGGTTTTGCAGGCAAAAATCACAGGTTTGAAAGATAAGCTGTCCTAATAGTAACAGACAGATGACGGATGGAGAGGCAAGTGACAGATGGGTAAGTGAAATGGACACTAAAACTTCAAATCACAGATGCTGTGCAGGGAGCAAAACAATGCTTTGACTATCTAAACAGCTGCATGTTTGATACACACCCCAGAGAATATCCTTGTCACACCTTGCTGCAAGTATATAGATCTGCCCATTGTCACTGCGATTCTTTCAGCCACACAGGAAAAGAGAGGAATGGTTTATTAGAAGCCGGTCCATGCATGAGCCCACATTTCCTGTGGCAGGCCTCTTTTTCCTCTCTCTGTAGCTGGGGCCCATGTAGAGGTTCAGGGTTACTTCTCCTATCAGGTCAGTTATTTGTTCCCTCTGGCTGAACCTTGACATCTGGAGGCACAGGTACCCAACTAACTTGTGTGTCCTGTTTCTTTCTAATCTGCTGATGAGGGGGCATTTCTCTAGCCAATCTTTTTTCCTTTTTGTGTGTGTGTTTTTTTTTTTTGAAACAGGGTGTCGCTCTGCAGTCCACATTGACCACCTAACTGGGTACCTCAGGATGCCCTGGAATTTACAGTGAAACTTTTGCCCTAACCTCCTGAGTGTTGGGATTACAGGTATCAGCCACATGCCTGGCTAATTCTATCGTTTTTTGCAAAGAGGTGATTGGCTCAGAGCTCAGTCACACCCAAAGGGTCCATGAAAGAATTCAGGGTCATTATGAATTTGAGAGGAAAGGGATTACAGCATTTTCACTAAATTCTAACAGGAAATTAGCAGCTCCTTTTATTGTAAGTAGTACATTACAGTAGTGATGATACCTGTGACTTGGGCATCTACAAGAACTGCACCCCCTTTTCACTCTGAGATGTAGGAGAGCAGGTATCTTGAAGAATCACAGGTGCTCACTATTGTTTCAAGCTTACAGATGCTGTTTATTAGACTAGCAATGAGCTATCAAGAGGTCACAGATTTGTTTACAAATATTTTATACTTGTATGTTGATACAATTGATTTTCTTTGTATTTCTATATTTCATTTTGTGCATTTAAGTTCACCCTGAAAAGAGGCCACAATCTCACCATACCCCAAATGTTCATAGCACAAAGCTCCTGACTATGTATCTATTGCCAAGAACCCACGATTAGTTCTGGGTGAGATCAACCTGACAATGTTTATAACCTAAAGGGAGAAATATATTCATCAAAAGTACTTGTGACACTGGGCATGGAGGTGTGTGCCTTTAATTCTAATACTCAGGAGCCAGAGGCAGGTGGATCTCTTGTGAGTTCAAGCCCACCCCAGTCTAAAAAGTGAGTTCCAGGCCAGCAAGGGCTACATAATGAGGTTCTGTCTACGTTTAAAACAAAAACAACACCAAACCACCAAAAAGACCCATCCCACCAAACAACAACAGCAGCAACAAAACCCAAACAAAATGCTTATTGTATATAAGCAGGGATTAGGAAGTTGCTTACCGCAGGAGTGGGAAGCAAAGTTTGACTACAGCAAGGCTGTCAGTGTGTCGTTCCTCCTCCTCCCCCGTCCCCCCCCAAGAATTGAACTGGTAGTTGTCTACAGGAAAATTAGAAGATTGTAAATAGGGCATGATGGCCTACTATGGGAGAGTGGCAGTGAGTGTGAAATGAAGAGGAGGACAATAGCAACCCAGGTTTGGCTTCCAGCAGACAGGAGCCACAACGAGGTGATGTCCAATTCACTCTCAGTTTGCTTTGTTGTTGTTTTTTCCTTTGTCTGATGCTGGGGTCAGAACCTAGGACCTCACACATGCAGGCAAATGCTCTGCTACCCAAGGACACCCAGTGCCATCCGATTTCTAACTGATGCCTGCACGATGTTACTATAATACCTCAACAGATTACCTCCCGCAAATTGCATTTGTAATATTTCAATTGATAGTACAGACTGACAGACACAATGCGGTAGCAGGACAAATAGTATCTTTCCAGTTGCCATTGATGTCACATTTGCACATCAGCCTCTGGTGTCACAGATCAGATGGCCACGCAATTTAGAATACTTGTGACAGAGGGATTCGTGGTTAATATTACACAGGGGCAACACAAGCTAGCCTAGGCAAATAGTACACCTGGTTACCCTATAGGTGGGGGAAGAGGACTGGAGGAAATGAAGCCTGTTGTACTCCCAGGTCAAAAGCTGGGCATAAAAAAAGAAGGGAGTGTTATTTTTTCTGACACCACGCCAGAGCACCCACATGGGAAATAATCACCCTCAACCAAAGGACTGACCTGTCAGGCCTCATGCCCAGTGTCAGCTCCAGTAAACAAATGGAAATGTTGGCAAGAGTGATGGCCCCACCTCTTCCTTCCCCGGGAAACCTTGGCCCCTCCTACTGATGGCCATGCAGCAGCACTCCTCATGGGACTTGGGACTCTCCACAGCTTTCTCCACCATGTTCACATGAAACACCTTCGGGACATCTGGAGTGTCTTGCCAGCTGTTTATGGAGGAACTACTCACCCGCCAATTCCAATGACAAATGTTTTCATAATTGGCCTTGGAAATCACGTCTTCTTAATATTTTCTAAAATATAAACACATAAAATATAGTCATTATCGTTTGGCTATCTAGGGTTAGTTCTGAAAAGCAGTATCAGTTGAGGGAATCAATGGCCTCAACCCCATATTCCCCACTGTCTGGCTTCCTGTTGTCAACAGCTGATGTTTTCTTAGGGCCTGTAACCTAATGTCATGCTTCTGTGACCTATTTCTCTGGGTTACCTTGTGGTAACTATTCTTAGCTGTCAACTTGACTATATCTAGAATGAACAAAAAGCCAAGCAGCTAGGCACATCTGTGAGTGAATTTTTTTTTCTAACTTAAGTCATTTGACGTGGAAAGACCCACTTTTAATCCACATCTTCTGAGTGGGAAGATACAGCTTCTGCAGGCAGCCTGTATAAAGGACATGAAGAAAGAAGAGTGCTCTGAGGGGAGTTGGTGGCGCATGCCTTTAATCCCAGCAGTCGGGAGGCAGAGGCAGGAAAATCTCTGTGAGTTCAAGGCCAGCCTGGTCTACAGAGCTAGTTCCAGGGCAGCCTCCAAAAGCTGTACACAGAGAAATCCTGTCTCAAAAAATCACAAAGAAGGGTTCCCTTTTTACTTGCTTGTTCTTGCTGGCAAGCCCATTCCTTTGCTGATATTAGAGCCTATTTCTTTGGGATTCTTGCATATACTGAAGACAGCTGAGACATCCAGCCTCATGGATTGACAGACTACTGGATTCCTGGACCTTCTGTTGGTAGACAGCCATTGTGACTAGCTGGACCATAGCCTGGAAGCCATTTTAATAAATCTCCTACATGTTTCTTTTTCCTATAAGTTTCGTTCTTCTAGAGAACTCTAAGATTCCTCTCCATGCCCTTCCTGCTTGACTAATAAAAGAAGGCACTGCCACCAGTGGCAGAGACAAGCATTAGTTGGTTTGTCTCTCATTCCACTCCCCGCCTCTCTCTGAAAAGCTTCACTGCTACACTGGGCTGACATAAATCCATTTCTAGAAAGGTCAGGAAGGAAACTAGATCAAGTAAGCAAACACCTTCCTATCATCATCAGAGGCTCTGAAATGCTTCACTATCAAGAGTACAAAAGGATGTTGCACGTGGGCTGGCTTGTCAGGTTTTGATGGATAAGCCATGTCATTCATATTGATGTGCTATTGAAAAGTCATGCATTTGCTGTGTACAGTTATTGGAAAATACTGGTCCCCTTCCTGCCCAGCATATTTCTGCACACACATCAGAATACTGCCTCAATCACATAGGGTATAAGTAATGACTGTGGCTGTGGTGCTAGAAAGACTTAACGGGGTTACCTGTGTGGAACTCTAGCAATTCAGAGATGAGGGGTGAGGTGGAAGGCACTATTGTAAAACCTTTGGGTAAGAGGGGTGGAATTGCAAGGTTGTGTTTTCCCTCCCAAATCAAAACAGCACCCCCACCACAAAGCCCGATGACCTGAGTTACTCACTACTAGCCTGGGGATAGGAGCTCCATCCCCAGAACTCACATGGAAGGAGAGACCTGACCCTTCAGAGTTGTCCTCTGACCTCTGCACACATACATGACACTCATGTGCCCACTTATATACTGAAGAACTAGCAAAAGTTTAAAACCCAGGCACCCAGGTCTACATTAGTTAGCAACCTGGGACTATGCAAAGCAGTGTTTGGGTAAATGCTGGACTTATCTCACCAGCACCAGCAGGTGACGATGCAGGAGGGGAGGAGAACAGGGCCATGGAGAAATTAGACTGGGGCCAGGCTGAGTGGCCAGTTGAACAGTGAGCAGCCTAAAAATCCCCGAAGCTGTCCATGTCAAAATCTGCTGCATATGGACAATCCACTCCACGTTCCGACATGGCACCAGCAACTTTCATTTCATTATATGTTAGGGCCTCCTTAAGTATGATTTGAGGGGCTGGAGAGATGGCTCAGAGGCTAAGAGCACTGGCTGCTCTTCCAGAGGACCAAGGTTCAATTCCCAGCATCCACATGGCAGCTCAAAACTGTTATTTCAGTTCTGGGGACCCTATGTCCTCACATAGACATACATGTAAGCAAGACACCAATGCATATAAAATAAAAAAATAAATGAACCATTTAAAAAACAAATAAATATGGCTTAAAACTCAAATTTTGAACAAATTGTAATGAAAAGTTGCCAAGTGCTTTAATCCCAGCACTTGGGAGGTAGAGGTAGGCAAATCTCATTGAATTTGAGGCCAGCCTGCTCGACAAAGGGAGTTCCAGAACAGCCAGGACTGTTACACAGAGAAACCCTCAACCCCCCCATTCTCCCCCAAAAAGAGTTGCCATGTGTATATGTTTGCTTGTTTGTTTTGGGAGCTTTTCATGTGGCTCAGCCTGGACTTAAAGTGACGACGTAGTGGAAGATGGATGACCTCATTGATCTTCTTGCCTCTTCCAGTCAAGTGGTAGGATTACAGGTATCTGCCTCTAACTCTGCCCTTGCAACAGAGTATGCCATGAAGCACACACAACTTGGAACAAAGATGAACTGTAAATCTTATGAGGTCTCTGGAGATGTTTCTTTTGAACATCCAGAGGCCTTTTGAACTCTCCAGCGTCACGAAATCAGGGTGTCCTCTCTCACCTTGAATCTCCTGTAGTATTTATGCAGTTTCTTTTCCGCAGCAGCCAAGACCCTTTTCTCGAGGAGCAGGGAGAACAGCCTGAGACAGGAGCAAGCCTTTACTGAGTCCCTTATATTTTTTCAAATTATTTATTATTAATATCATTTTGCAACAGACTCTCACTATGTAGGTCTTCTGGTCAGGAACCTGCTATAGTCAAGGCTGCTTCCGTGGCAAGGCTACCTGGGATCATAGGCATGTATCACCAAGTCTGGCTCATTTGCAGAATTTTTAAAAATACTTTTGGTTTACTCTCCTTGAAATGTTGAATCTTCTTCACAGTTGGCTCATGTTTACATTTTTCTATTCCACTTCTGAACATGGCTTCCTTTGAATTCTAAAGTACAGAAAGATTCCCAGGGGCACATGAGGAATCAGCAGGAACTCCACCACAAATCTGAGAGACGACAAGGGCAAACACGTGTGCTCTTCAGATGAGTTTAAGACATGTTTTCAAGATTTCTGTCTCCTGTGTTTTATTCAACAGTGACATGATACTCTCCCAAAGACAGGACAATCTCCTTTTTTACAACTTTGATCCCTTTTGGTAAACAGAAATCTCTCACAGCTGCAGTCCCTAGTAAGCACAGCCTGGGAGTATGGCCACTATGAAGCTCCTCGTAACCTATGCCTCTTCAAGTCTCAATCACTTTTTAAGGAAACTAACCTTCAGTAGGCACTTTGACACTCCATTTTTGAAGGTTCTTTTATTTATTTATTTAAATTTTTTATTTTTAAAATTAAATTTAAGTTAGAAACAAGGTTGCTTCACATGTCAATTCCAGGTCCCTCTCCATTTCCCTCCCCTCCTCCCATGCCCTCCCACCAACCCCTTCAATATCCCCTCATTTCCCCAGGGAGGGTGAGGCCCTCCATGGGGGTGTCCATAGTCTGTCATTTCATCCAGGGTAGGGCCTAGACCCTCCCCCAAGAGTTCAGGGTGAGAGTGCATCTCTCATTGTTGGATGGGAGTCCAAAGTCCATTTGTATACCGGGATAAATAGTGATCTACTACCAAAGGATTAATAGATTACCTAGGCCTCCTCACTGACACCCCCATTCAGGGGGTCTTGATCAGTCCCATGCTGGATTCCCAGTCATCAGTCTGGGATTCCAGAGACTGGGCTGGTTTAACCCCCAGAAACAGCTGACCTGACAAGGGTTAGCTCTTCAAGGTTCTTTTATAAAAAAATATTGCTTTATTACATTTATATTTATGTTGTATGCATGTATGTGGACAGGTACATGCTACAGCTCACCACAGTACACATGCAGAGGTCAAAGGTCTACTTGTAGGTGTCAGTTCTCTTTGCACCTTGTGGTTGCTGAAGACTGAACTCTGGTCATCCGGTTTGGCAGCAAGGGCAGTTGAACCATTTTGCTGATCCTGTAGTTTCTTATGTAATCAGTATTTTCATTTTTATTTTTCTTTTCTCTAATATATAATAGGCATAATATTGTGGGTTTATGTGTGCATGAATATAAAATCATGAGATGAGTTGTTAGGTTAGGCTTGAGCAACTTTTGTAAAGTACCAGACAGTATATAGTTTTGATGTTGCCAGTAATTATTCAACTCTGAAATTGTAATGAGAAGGCGGCCAAAGTCAATGCATAAGAACCAGCATGGTGTGTTCTAAGAAAATTTTATGGACTCGGAAATCTAGCTTCTCCTAACTTTCTCATGCCACATTCTTGGAAGGCTTTACAAAGCCAGGTAGCAAGTGGGTTGGAGTTTGTTAACCAAATGTTGCAGAAAGGAGCGTCCTGTTCCGTGGGAACCAACACCCGATTGCCCTACCAGCAAATGTGTGATCACCTAGAGCTAGCGACTTTACAGTAAAGGGCGGTCTTAGGCGCGCGAGTCCCAACGCGGTTTCCCTAGACGCAATCATGTTCCAGGTCCCGCGCAGGAGACTCTGGAAGGTGCCCAGGCCTCGGCGCGGCTACGCAGAAGACAGTGAGTACTCACCGAAGTGGGTTCGAGTCCTCCCCAGCAGGGCCGCGGAACAGGTCACACGAGGGTCTCAAGGGAACCACTGCCTCGGACTGCGCAGCCCTCTACGCGCTTTCTTGGTCCTCACCAAGCAAGGCCTGGGGGCGTGGCCACCACAGGGCTCCTCCCCCACGGAGAAGGGCGGGGCCCCAGTGCTCGGGAGCAGGCTGGACCTTCGAGGCTCCGCCCGGTTCCCGGCCGCAGCCAATCAGCGGCCGGCGAGGCGCGGCCACTTCCTGGTAGGAAGGCAGGGCGGTCTGCGGAGCTCGCTGGTCCGGGTGTCCCGCATCGGCTGCGCGCGGGTCCCGAGCGGCCGCGGCCAGCGAAGGCTTGGCGCCCAGTTCCCGTTTGCGTGTGGGGCTCCCACGGCTAAGCCTAGCCGCTCCGCCTAGCGCCATGTCCAAGCCACCTCCCAAACCGGTCAAACCAGGTAAGAGCTCTGCGCGCCGCGCGTGCGGGTCTCCAGGCTGCGGGTGTCCAGGCTGCGGGGCGCAGAGCTGGAGTTCCCGAGGAGCGCCCTCGGGTTCCCTCCGCCCTGCTCGCCAGTTCCAGCGGAGTGGTGGGGGCAGCACCTAGGTCGCCGCCACTTCCTCATAGCTCGGCGGTCGCTGTCAAGTTGGAGTTCTTGACCGGCGGGCGAACGGGAAGTGCGCTGCGGCTGGGTGGGGTTTGCGCCCGCTGCCTGCGGGGCCCGGAGGAGAGCGAGCCGGGGACCCGGGGTCTCCGGGTAGCTTTGGAGAGCTGCACCCGCGCTGCCAGCGGGACACTTTGGCCCCCGAGCCTCTCGACTCTTTGCTTTAGGCAGTGTCACTCTGTCGTGCGTCCTAGTGCTTTGCTTAGGGTGACTCCGGAGAACTAAACCGGAGAGAGCACGAAGTTCCTCAAAGCAGTTTTCTTGACCACTCTTCCTGGTTCACTTTTTGAAAGTTGTTCTTAGAGTGTTTTCTGTGGTGTGGAGAAACGAGAGCATTTAAAGGGACTGCTATATTTCAGTACGGCGTAATAAACTCGTAGTAGTTTTCACCGGATAGGTAATTGCCAGGCAGGAATCGTAGAAAGTGGGAGATTAATACTGACGAATTCCCAGCCCTTTTCTTCCAGTCTGCAACCTTGGTATTGAAAAGGCTGAAACTTGAAACAAGCCATTTTCATCATTCTTTATGGCAACTTACTCTGCTTCAGTATTTTTCGCCCCCCCTGGAGGTTTTTTTTTCTAAGTGTCAGTCACTCAAATTTAATAATTATTCAGTTTTATTCTTTTGTGACAGTATTAAGCCCCCGAATTTGAAAATAATGCACACACATTTGTGAAACAGGCATTTTCTGACGATCTGACGACTTCGATTTTTCAAGGCCCAGGGTGAAGGAAGTGGCTCAGACTGGCTTTGGCCTGAGCAGAGTCGGGGCGGTGCTGGTTTGCCGCCTTCGATGTGAAATCTGAGAAGTTTGCAATTTGCAATTTAGATGCGGATGTATGAGGTGGCAGTTTTGTAAACTTAGATGTTAAGTCAGGACTTCAAGTGTACAGCTATGCTGAGTTCTTTGATAGCTAAACAAAGCGCTCGGTTTTGAAGAGTGTCCCGAGAATCAGGTCGTGAGGTTTTTCATCCCGACAGATACATTAAAAGTGAAGTTCGTATTGCATCTGTGAGTGCTGGCAGGAACCTGCCTTCCTGTATGTGATTGTGAACTTGTGTGCTCGCGCACCCTTGGGTGTGGTTTAGGACTCATCCTGTTACTAAGTGTTGTCTACATCTCTGCTTTTTCCTCTAGCAAGCCAGAAACCACATGGCTAAACATTTTTACTATTTAGAGAGAACTCTGATTTCACAGGGATTTACAAGTGAGGCCCAGACATAAATAGTAAAGTTGCCGTGAAAGTCAGTTTGTTGATTTAGTAACTTACAACGAGAAATATTAGTGTCAGTAGGGCTTAACACTGGATGCTTGCAGACAGAAACCTTTATTATCATACTGGCTCATTTGTACTGTGTGGTAGGCTCTGGTCTAGTCACTCATACATGTTTGAATTCATTCACTTCTTCTGGCAAGTGTATCAGGTCAGTACCATTTTATCCCTATTGCCCCCCCTCTGGGGGGTATCAAAGAGAAGGCACAGAAAGTCAACTCATCTCTTGTCAGCTGTGGGTGGTGATGGATGGAGCATGGAGGAATGGAGCTCAGGTAGTCTGATTCCAAGCTTTGTGCTTTGCCCCCATGTGAAGGGGCCCTGAATGCTTTACAGCTTGCTAGGAATCTAAGGTTTCAGGCAGACTGCCTTATACAGAGTAGTGCTGAACACACCCGTTAGTGACACAGGTGTACTGCACTGTCCTTGTACTCCAGGCAAGTCGAAGGGGTAGAGGTCTCCAAAGCAACCTGGCATTCATGAGAACATAAGGTTTAATTTTTCATTTATTGCTTTGTTTACACCCTCCCTCATCCCAAAATACTTTTTAAAATTCACATTGTCAGAGAGTTGGGGAGAGGAAAAAGAAAAAGGTTTGGGGTAGAGAGAGGAGAATAAGAAGAAATGAGAAGAAAAGTAAGCCGAGAGGCACAGACATTCATGAAGCTCCTGTAAAGTTACTGAACCTGGCCCTCATGTGATTCTCAGCTTCAGGCAGACAGATGAGAGACTGATGGGAAGGCCACCAGTGCTCAGGAAATTAACATGTATTGCTTGTTCTGGGAAGCAGCTACTTTAATGGCCCTGAGATCTGAGACAAAATTTCCCATGGATTCTTTTCATCTGTTGGACGGGATATCTGTACAAGAAATAACAGAGGAATAAGACAACATGACTCCCAATTTAATAGGCAACATTGTAAATCCAGGATCTAGATGAGGGGGCAGAGGGACAGAGGACTTACTGTGAGAGTCTATTTGTGTCTTATTTTTCCTGCTGCAGTTGAAGAGACTAAGGGGTTCTTTTGGTTCACAGTTTTGGGGGATGTTCTACCACAGCTGAAAGTCCTGGAGGCAGGAGTGTGAGGCAGCTGGCCACACTGCATCTGTAGTCAAGAAACAGGGATGGATGTATGCTCCTGCACAGATATAGAGTCTTCGTTGTTATCCACATAGAGTACCCAAACCCAGGAAATGGTGCTGCCCTTGCCAGGGATGAGCACAATTCAGTTAACCTAATCAAAGTAATCTCTCCCAGGCATTCTTAATGACTGACCTAATCTAGATAATCCTCATAGGTAAATCTGGAAACTTGTCTCCTACATGATTCCATAGCCCAATTTAAGTCAGTATTAACAAACCGTCACAAAGGGACATTAAACAACAATGGGGATTAATGCATCTTTCAGGCCAAACAGCCTGAACCCAGCAGTTAGTGGAAGGAGGCTGTCCCGGTGAGTTCTGGTGAGAGCCAGCCACATTTGAACTATCAGAGGACTCAGCAGAATCTCACCATCCCCCTCTTTTTTCCTGGCCCATGTCAAGAGTGTCCTTTAGACATTCCCTTTTTCTTTGTACCTTTCTGTTTTCTTTCTATATTTGCTTCTTTCTCTGTTTCTTTTTGAGACAGGGTCCCGCTATCTACCCCTGGCTGATCTGGAACTTATTGTGTAGATCAGGCTGGACCTCACTGAGCTCAGTCTGCCTCTGCCTTACTACCTTGTCTGGTCTTTTGTTTAGACATTCCTTACTGTTGTTGGCCTTGCAGTGGGCACTGGGGGTTCCCAGGAGCAAGAAGATAAAGTCTACAGCTGGCTGACTGATCATGTCTTTTTGTTTAATAGTTTTAATCAGAAAAAAAAAGCAAACCTGAATGTATAGTGGTACATGTCTGGGACCCTAGCACTAAAGAGGAGGAGCTTAGCTATGTAGCACCTACTCAAAAACAAACCATAAGTAATAAAATATATTTTCTATTGTAGAATATTTGACACATACAGATAATAAATAAATATAATAAAATTTAAGAAACATCCTTTATCACCTAGAGATAATATGTGGCTTATATGAATAAACTTTCAGGTATTATTTTTTTCCCTGTAAGTCAGTTTTTATTACAAAACAGAAATAGTGGGCTAGAGAGATGGCTCAGCGGTTAAGGTTACTGACTGCTTTTCCAAAGGACCCAGGTTCAATTTCCAGCACCCACATAACTGTCTGTGACTCCAATTCCAGGGAATATGGCCTCCTCACACAGACATACATGCAGGCAAAACCCCAATACACATAATAAATAAATAAATAAATATTTTTTAAAAGGAAAATAGAAGCCATTATCTTTAGAATGGCATCCGAGTATCAGTTTGAGATGTCATGCTATGGGGCTGGAATATGTTTCTGTTCTATATTGTCTGTATTATGCTTGAAACACCTTTTCAGTCACAGTTTATCTGTGCCTTGCATAGCATTTTATCTGCTGCCGTGTCACTTTTGGCCCTGAAGGTGTGTCATTGAAACCTTCCCCTTACTCACTAGATGTGGCCTCCTGGCTCAGTCTTCAGTGCCTAGGAGTCCTCAGGTCTCTCAATTTGTGCAGAGAGCTTTTATGTGGTCTTCAATCACCCCAGGAGCCTTGCAAGGAGAGTGGCTCTACCTCTCGTGAAGTTGTACAGGACAGAATTTAGTTTTCACAGAGACTGAGAAACTTACTGAGCCTCGGGATAAGAAATGCACTGTACCTTGAGACCATCTCATTTTGGACAGATCTGGTGGCAGTCCACTGTAGCTGGAAACCCAATGTCTGACCTTGGCCATCTTCTCCAAATGGCTTATTGATTTTGGTGGTGAGAGGAAAGCAACATAAATATTTCATATGTCCTGTGAAAATAAATCTGTGGAACTTAGAAGAAACTAACTAACTAACTGGCTTCTTTGTTACTCATGATAAAAGCATAAAAGGTGCTGTATATATGCCCTTTAAATACAACTTGAGAGGAAAAGGGTCTCCATCTAAATGGTCTTAACTATTGTGTAATCCATCCCTGCATAAATAATGAATCAATGGTGTGTGTGTGTGTGTGTGTGTGTGTGTGTGTGTGTGTCTTGAGTTAAAGAGAAAGCTGTCTGCCTACTTTCTGGAAAATGGTTGTTTCACACAGAAAATGAGATTTGAAGTGTTGAGTTCTAATCCTCCTTGCAGGTGGTTTGGGTTTGGTTGGCTGTGGCTGATGCGCTTGTAGCTGTAGTTAAAGATGGGTTGGTGCTTCAAAAGAATGAAACAAGTTAGCTGGTGACTGAGGCGGCCACCTTCCTGTTCTTGCCAGTCATTCCCTACCTTATTTTTAACACCCGAGGAACCTTCCCAGCACCACAGGCAAGCTTCCCAACTTATTTTGAAAGTAGGAATTGAAGAGCAATTTTGCACTTGTACATATTTTGTTCTGTTTTTATGGTAGTGGGTTTTTGTTTTTATTGTTTTATTTCCCCTGTCCTGAGACAGTCTCTTTGTATAGCCCTAGCCAC